ATGCACTGATTACAAGACTGCCTTACTCACACTCTACGCACAGGGATTCAAGTCCACGGCCGTGCGGCGTGACTGCTCTAATGTGATGTTAATAGGGAATCTCTGTCGAAATCCCTCGCAATGTAATGTGACAGTAACACATTCTTACTGGGAGGCTTGGTGAGCTGGAATTATCCCATCCAGTTATTATCAAGCCAAGCAGAGGACTAGAAGTGAAATGGCAAATTAGCCTTTGCTTCATTTATCCTGCAGCACGCTCTCCACTCCAGTGTGAATGTGTTTCCATAGGAACATGATGTTACTCTAGGCTTCACAAGCTGCGCTATGCACTCCAGTTTTTTGCTTATCTTTCTTACTCTTCTATTGAGACGGAGAGCAGGGTGCAAGAGGAAGTGGATCAATAGGATTAAAGAACGTCATATATTTCAGATATCTATTCATTGATGCATTTTGATGAATGCCTGTAAGAATAACAACCCCTGCTTTTGGGCTGCAGAACATCTTGCCGTTAAATTGAAATTGCAAATAGTCAAAAGAGCTAATGGCGCAATCATTTAGATCGAGTGCCCACTGTCCACTTCAAAAACTAGTTCTAGACCTCTACAATTAGGCCAGTATTTTCACACATAGTGATCATCCTAGTACAATCCAAACATACATGTATAGTAGCCATTTTATGCAGGAGGAAAAAAAAATCTAAATTCTTCTAGAAAATGTTCAGCCCTCCTCCGCTTCCACCATGCGAAACACTCCATTTCTCCTTTCTCCATTGTACTTACAGAATCGCTTGATCTTTATCTGCTAGAATATCACAGCAATTACTCCATTCCCCGTGCTGGTGAATAAGAGAGTCTGTTACTGTGGTAAAACTGCAGAGTGCACATTAAAATTTGTGTGGGATTCAGCAGCTCCTTTGTGGCAAGGCTGAAAGGCAACATTTCAGTTAATTGCACATTTTCTATCTATGGGGGAAGCGGGAAGCCATAATTGCACCAAAGGGTTTAGTACAGTGGTTTTGCTGAGAGCTGGGATTTAAAACAGGTAATCTAGTCAGGCACGTAGCAAAAGAAGAGATGATGTATCATGGAGGTGAACAGTTATGCTGTTTTTTTGTATGACACAGCAGCTGACTAAGATGCAAACGGCAAGCACAGAAAGCAAGCTCTTGTAAAAGTGTCGGCCAATGATTTGCCGTGGAGTCCTTGCAACCTATCATCCACCTGACTGGATACTTTATAGGAGGGATAGAACCGGAGCGAAGCAGGCTTATAATCCAGCTGACGGAAGAGTTTTTACGGGGGATACAGGCCCGAGGAGCGGCGGGGCGGGGTGTAATAAAACAGAGTGCATCTCTATTGGAATGAAGCGAGAGGTGAGCCAGCCCTGGTTGTTATTCCAGGACACACCTCAAGTAGTCACCTTATTATGATGTCATCAGAGTGGGTGCCAGGAAGAAGATCTGCCAGTTGTCATCAGTCATATCGAGTGGGGGCGGGTCCCGGCTCAAAAACGGCCACATTGACGTGCGCTGACATGCTTGCACCCCGGGCCGATGGCGGTGGACCCGGAATAAGAATTATTCAATGCTAATGTACGTATCTTCTGACCTCTCGAAAACGGGTTTACAGGATGGTCCAAAAGTTGGCTCTTGGCTCAAAGCTACGTTCCACATGTGTGTCAATGCTGAGGGGAGGGAATTTTTTTGGACCAGTCTAGTTTAGTACATTTTGAAGGAACTCGTTAAATCAATGGGGCTTGTGCCGGCTGACGCATGCACAGATGCGTTTTTCCACATTTTCCAACCCTCGTGGCCATTTTGAAACGCTCCATGAAAGCCCAATTTTTGTCCCATTTCTTTAAACGGCGGCGTGACTATGTCCGTCAATATTTACAGTCTATGGTCATATCCCTACCGTGTTTACTATTGGTCAGTGCAGTGGTTCTTTCAGAATAACATTCAAAAAATTCTGATTACCAATTGTTTGACACAAAATGTTTGGGTTTAAGTAAAAAAATAAATAAAATGAAAAAACACGATAATTGAATCCATTAGAAAATAACAAATTACTTCAACTCCTAGAATTACTGTTACCTGGACAATTTTTTTTGCATAATATAGCATATTTTTGGTTGAAATTATAGTATTTGTTTTTGTGCCACAAGATTTTATACTGCACATAGATATTCAACGCTGGTTTAAAACTGCTCAAGGAAATCTGCAATCATCTACGTATCATCATCTAGTATCTAGTTTTAGGTTAAAAGGAGCGTTTCTGCAGGGTTTGAATGTTTAGCACCGCCCCTCAACTCGTTCACAGGTCTCTCATTTCCCCTACGCTCTCATCCTACGGAGCCATCTAGTTTTATTTGCGATCCGATATATATATGCAAACTTTAGCATGAGCGCAACTTCTTGTAAGCTGTATAACAATCACTGATGAAATGGTACAAAAGCAACGCACTGTTAACACAATATATAACTGAAAGATTACCGCTAGTTTCACGTCCGAATGTCCGAGCATAGATAGTCTGAGGCAGTCCCGCAGGTCTCTCCCATAGACAAGTCTCTCCAGAAGATACGATGTTCACCCGGGCTTCTTCTTTGATCATTTTCTCGCTTTAGTTCCCTCTTCTCTTCCTCACTGTTGTGTCGTTTGGACTGTTTTGCTGTGTCTGCAGTTACAGCAAGAGGAGTTATAGCCAATTCTGCTAACATGCTACTGTGTTTAGCAGCGCTGTGGAGGCTAGAGGACTCAGCCTCGTTCTGTGAGTGGAGCAGGATGATCGGCCCGCTAGTCTCTACTCAGCACTTTTTACGGCCTGAATTCATACACAAGGTGGATCAATGAGCTCAAGTTTTCAATTAAATTACGGATTATATTATAACTTGTAGGTAGTAATAAGCATTTTTATGAACTCATAAAAAAAAAATCGGGTATTGCTTCTTAAAAAAAGAAAAAATCTGTCTGCACCTGGAGACCCTTTTTATTAGAACGTTGGGACATTGAAGTAACTTCAAACGTTCTTCAGTCTATACATTATTTATTTGTTATTATCTATATGCATTTTTCCATCTCTTTGTTACAGTCAGACTCTTTATAGTTCGTTTAAACCTCTCCTTCTATTGTTCAGAGTGAGTGACAGGTGGACTTTTCAGTTTAATTTTCCCAAATTAAAGTGTTTTTGTGTTTATTTTCAATCCCTTTTTTAGAATTTAACTTAGATAATTGCAGTTTCTGAAATGTTCTAATTGTGACCACAACAATTTTTATTCGATTAATTGTGTAGGCCTAAGACTAATTCTTTTTTTACGAAGGCAAGGCAAAAATAAAATATAAAATGTAAATAAATCATGAACTACAATAATAACAACATAATAACAAAAAATATACATTTTTATTTGATCTTTATTATATTGTTATGGCAAAATATCTATGCATTCATAAATTCATATTTTAAAGTATTTTTAAATGTTATCTGTGTATTAGCTTCATCATCGTTATGATCATTCCATTTTCATTCCAAAAACAGATGCACAAGTGTGTCTATTATTAGTTCTAGCTTTTTTGTTTCAATCAAAGCAAACCTAGATTATAGGTGCTGTTTCTTGTTTGAAACTCATGAGAGCCTGTGCAGCTGATCCAGAGCCTTGTGAGTCAGCGCTGAATAAGAAAAGACTGGTCCTCTCTGCGCTTAAGAAAAAGTCCTTTCCATTGGACTGAGTGGTTTCTGTATGTGTTTGTTTAGCAGAGAAGCCCACAAGGAAAACTCTTCTCAACCCAATTACAGCAGTTTTCTTGCAATGCAAGCTGGAAAACACTGAGAAGGTGCATTGATCATCTGTAAGGGGTCTGCAGCACACAATACTTATTCATTTTCTTTCTTTTAATTAAAATGCCACTTCATTTTTTTCAGTTTTTTCATCAGAAAATAAATTGAATTAATATTTTTTTAACTTGTTATCAACATGATGTTGTACCACAGAGAAAACTGTTGCAAATAATGTTATGGAAATTATTATTTGATCTCCCAATAATCCTCTATTACATCATATAATAAAGACCAACTGCTTTTCATCATCTGCTACCTTTATCTTTAAGGTCAGACAGCACATAGTACAATGAAGGCTTAGACCTCTTGCTGTTATAAAATCTAGATATGTTCTTTAATTAAAAGTCAATTAAAATTGAGATCTTTAGGTACTTGTTCTCTTATCTATATTTTTGATGTTCAGACACACCTACCTGTATTACTAGTATGGAATAAATTTGAGGAGTTAGAGAGGACTTTAGAGAGAAACTTATTCATACCGTTTTTTTCACTGATAAATGATGTAAATGTATTAAGTAAAATGCATCAATAAGCCGCCTTTGTTCTTTATTTCCCCAACCAGATATGACTGGAGAAAGCCCTTCTTTTGGACTGCTTTCCTTATGTAAAATGAAGTGCAGTACTGACCACGTTCCCAGAGAAGCCTCAGAAACCCAGAGCTATAAATCACCACTGCGGAGCCTCAACTGTCCATTATGCTCCAGTGTACAAACACAGGAACAAGGCTGCTGTTAGGCTGCTGACCCAACAACTCACACCAAAGGATGCTATTTCTGGCACCTCATTGCTTCCAGAGATTAGTTGTCCTCCAATATGACCCCAATCTGTTCATTTGCCACTAGTTTGACTCCTGCCAGCGGTTTTGCCTGTCCTGCCTTCCACACCCTGCGAGTCAGTCTTGTCATCATCTCCTAGGGATCTGTGCGCATTTTTGCTGAATAGAAGGCCATCAGACTGAGCCCTCCAGCCCTGAAACAAATGGAGTATGACGTGCTCCGAATAAAGACACAATAAACACAAGCTCCCAGTACCACGGACACACCTACAGGCTACAAGTGAAACTGGGACAAGATCAACAACAAATGCAAAGGACCTTCCTTTTAATGGTCTGCACTGCTCCATTGAGTAAATTATACCTTTTGGGTAATGTTTTGCATTAACTGAGCAGAATGGAAAAAGCAGACGAGTTGGAGCACCCTCTTCTCGGAGAGGGAACAAACAAAAGTATGTCGGGCCCTGGGTTTGTTCCTGGACCTGTGTCCACATATTCTCCTGGTGAGCGGTTTAAGGGCGTCTTAGTGAAGTGTGAGGAGGACCAAGTGTACCCACCACTGGCCTGGAGTCCTTACTGTGGACACCCCCCTGAGAGCCAAGAGCACCAGCTCTTGGATCCCTGCTCCCTGCCTCGTACCCTGGAGTCTTACTACCCTGGAGCCCCCATGTGGGGGCACACAGACGCACTTCTCAATAAGGACTATCTGGAAACCACCTTTGTGGATGTGCGGCCCGGCTCGACCCTGGAGAGAAAGCTGATGGCGGAGGCTCAGGACTACCACAGCACGTACAGCCTGGATGATGAGGACGACCTGCTTCCAGACTCAGATGTAAGTAAATAAGCTAAAGATAAACAATAACTAAAATATTGCAGTGAGGTTTTTGTTCATAGTAAAAACATAACTTTTTCAAGTTAAAACTAAAATGCATGACATGTCCTGAGCCTAATGTTATTTTGAGTATTTATAAACATCTCTGTGATGCTGCATTTCTGTGCTTTTGTGCTCACAGGACTCATCCATTGAAGACTATACAGACACAGAGAGTGACAGCAACTTTCCTCTAATGATACCACAGGACTACTTGGGTCTAGCCTTTTTCTCCATGCTCTGCTGCTTTTGGCCATTGGGGATTGCTGCGTTCTACCTGTCCCAAAAGGTAACATTTAGATATATGATGCATTTCCTGTAGCTAACGTCATTACAAGCATCCTGAACATACATCTGCAGTAATGGTCCATGGACGACATCTGATTCAGGCATCCCTAGCAAAGTGGAAGCATAAAATCTAATTTGCAATTTTGCTAGAGTCTAAACGCCTGTAAATGGCAGAGGCCTTTTGACCCGATCAATGGTCTTCATTAAGGTTTAATTAGAGTCATAACAAGAACCCCAAGTTGATAGATTTCCAATAGTCGAGAGCTATTTAGAGCAGAGGTCAGACTCAAAGACAGCGACTGAGCTGGGGGCAGTGGTGGAATGAGTACGGCAATTTTCTCTCAAGTAAAAGTTCAGTTAGCCAAGATGTAATAATTACATGTACTGCTGACAAAAATGTAAAAGTTAAAAGTACGCATTAAAATGATCAAATCTAAGTGTGAGTTAGCCATTTTCTGCAGAATTTATATCTGTATTTAATGCATACAATTAAGTACAACCTTCATTTTCTTGAGACAATTTTGCTGTCATGTTTTCATCCCACATTACTATCAACATTTTGCATGTTCACAGCCAGCAAAGTTTTTAAAACAAAATCTGTTTTTCTGCTTATAGACCAACAAGGCGTCCGCTCAGGGGGACTTCCAGGGGGCCACTGCAGCGTCCCGCCAGGCCCTGTGGCTCTCTGTCTTGTCTATTGTGTTTGGGATCATCACGTACACTTGTGCCATCGCTGCCCTCATCTCCTACCTGTCTGGAAAGCCACCTTAAGTATATATGTACATTTAAAATAACACAACTCCAGGCCAATGAAAGTCACAGAAATGAGCATTCAGCCTGTTGATGTAAGATAGCTACCATCTTTCTCTTTACTATCTTTGTGATTTCTCAAGATCAACTTGGATAAACCTAATTATCATATTGAAGGTATGTTCTAAGAGCAAGAGTGCCATCTACACTTGCCATCTACACTTACATCTACACACAAACAAAAGCCATTTAACATAGGTGGTTAGATAACAAGAAATACTGCAGTTTTATGGAAGTTTTGTAAAAAGAAAAAACCCAAAATAAATCAAAGAGCCATAAGTAAGTTGCCTCTGCTTTTATATTGGTGTGAGTGTCTCCAGTATAATATAAGGTGTGAAAGGCTCTAAGGTTGCCCTAAAATAGTTACCCTTTCATTCCAAATGTTAACAATGACTGGATTTGTATTATTTAGAAGTATTCTGCTACCAAGCCAAAATCTGTTTTGATTTGTGAAATATGGCACTCACACGTCAGATGTGCCAAGACACGCGTACACAACTATAGGGCATTTTCTGCTTTAAAACAAACATACACAGAAACATGTATATAGAGAAGTTAAATGCAAAAAATATGGAAGAAACTGTCATGAGCTAATCTAAAAATAGAAGGCACCGTCTCTGCAACTTTTGTCCCAAGTCGAGCTACAGCGCAGAGATGACTTATTGTTGTAACCTAAAATAAATACTGTGAACTCTGCAGAAACACAATGCAACTGAAAGAGGATGAATGCAAGACCAGATTTACATGTCAATGGAAATATCTATTTTGGTCAGAATGCACTCTGCATGGAGAATTTTGCTAATTGAACCAATTTCAGGTATGAAATTTGTATCATGTTATGTGATGTTCAACAACCGATAAAAAAAACTCATCCATATTGGTTTGAGAAAAGTGTGCCATCAATGAAACTGTGAATAATGAATCCAAGAGTATTTTAAACGTTATTCAAGGGTAAAGGTAAATAGTTTCTATTTATATATTGTAAATAGGTTAATTTTTTTAGGTCCACTGTAGAATTGAATTTATGGATGGGAATTTGTTCATAAAACAAATGACAGTGGATTCTAGTGGGTGAGAACACGGTAACCTGTTACTATATTACAATTACAAAAACCACCAAGACAATCCTTCACTTTTCTTCATCTGTTGCTTCAGTTTCAACATTATAGTCCGTTTCTAGTCTGACTTTGTATTATTGAACGCAGTGAATTAAACAGGTATATGTGCCAACTGCTGCTACTGGTTATATATTAAACATGCTGTAGGAGAAAAAAAAGTACCTTTCCCTAGCCACAGGGTGGCGCTGTGAGCTTTATGTGACTGAGGTTTCTTTATTGGCCCCTATGACCATTAATCGTTATTATTATAGATCCATGCCATTAATCCACACAAACACAATACATTCCAGTGACACAGTAAGAAACGGTTTACCTCCAAACCTAGCAGCACCTGTGCCCTCTATAATTCTGACCCTTTTATAGGAGAATGGGCTCAGGTCACATAATGCCCACAGCGCCACCTTGTGGCTAGGGGAAGGTACATTTTGTCTCCTTCACATGCTATACATTGTATAATTTATTTTGAAGTCCATTCATGTAAACTGATCTGTAAAATAAATAAATAAAACCAAAGCTGAGTCCTTTTTTGCTCAGATTTTCACACAGAAATGTATGATTAAAAAGTACAGCGAAAAGTGGTCATGAAAAAAATATTGTAACGTGAGCAAATGTATAAAAAGTCTTTATTCAATATCAAACAGTTTTAGAATATCTGCGTTGGACAGAGTCTCTGTAGAACTTAAAAAGCTTCTCTGAAGCTTTTTGGCAAACTGCTATGCACTCTTGTAGCTAAAGAAAAGGAAGAGGAAAAACTTGTGATTCAATGATTTGTTTTCAGTCAAACCATGGTGTCAGTAATGAACAACTACATTTTCTTGTTGAGAGCAAATCAAATGTAAATGACCAATGTGTAAAATCAGGTTTCTAATGACATTTAAAGAATGGGTCAAATGCAGAAGACAAAACTCCCTTATGGGGACAATAAAGCTGTGGTACCAAACCTTTTTTGTTTCATAAATATGTGAACATGAACATTTTAACACCATTAACAACATATTTTTTATTTTTTTTTTGCATAGTTGTAGGTAGGCCTTATTTGAGCCGTTTGTGTGGTTCTCTTTTTCACTTTTATGTGTGAAAAAACTTGTGACAAGAGGCCAATTATACATCACAACATGTATTGTTGATAGAACCAAACTGTTTGCGACTTGAGACCAGGGAAACTAGTTACATAGATATTATATAGTTCAATTTGTTGTGGTTTAAAATGTAGGTACCTCAGATTTCATCCAAAATTATGACTTGTTTATTACCATGCAAAGGGCATTTCTTAAAGATGTTACAAGACAATCACATATTTTTTTAATAGAATATAGAATATACTGGTACTTGCCTCATGAACTGAAAATGAGCCTCGAGTAGATGACATCATTACTTTACGGTCTGTACTATCAATGGCAAAAGTCAAAATTGCCCTACATTGCTGTAAAAAAAATGACCACAACAAAATAAATTAGCCAGAGCATTAATGAGCTCATGCAGTTGTTCAACATGCAGTTGGTAAAATATGACAAACCTACCTTTTCTTGAGCAGCAGTGGGATCTGTAATTATTTCTCCATCTGCGTTTATGGCACATGTCACTCCACAAAAGAGACAACTCATTGGCAGACCTGCGTCCATTAGAGCCATACAAGCACCGTTCAACAAACAGGATAGGAGCTACACAAACTTAAGGAAGCATACACAGCGGCATTGTCCTATTATAAACACTAATTCACCTTTCACCTTAACTAGTTTAAAGGATACTGAACCATCGTCATGTACCACCTGAAGAATAAGAGTCAGTGACGAACGAGGATAAAGAAAAGACAGCAAAGATGCCTCACATGTTTCTCGCACACACTGCTCAAGTGAACGCTCCCGGACACCTATAAACAAAAGGATAAATGCTGGTGAATCAAAATTAAAACAAGTGATTGTTGATGTTTTACTTAGACAAACACATACTCGGCAGGCCAACTTTAGGTTGAATAAGCACTTCCAGTGTTGCACGATCATAGATTTCTTTGCTGACTTTGACCTCTGCAGGACCATACATCCCAGCCAGCACACTTGTGTCACCTTTAAAATAAGAAAGAAGCAAAAATTTCCACAACCTGAGAAATACCGACCTCTAGTGGTTGTCTTGAATATGAGGAATTTATAACGTTATTTTATAACGTTTTACAAAAACAGGCAATAACAATAACAGATTCAATGATGAATGTCTAAGAACTATTGTGCTCCATGGTGTGAAATGTTAACATCATCATCTGCGTAAAACGTTAAGATATGCCCTGTAATCTGAACATTTTAATACTGTCTTTAACTGTTTGGTTGATTCATTGATTGATAATTTCTTATTCGACCATAGACTAATGTTATTCATTTAAAATGACGAGGAATTATTTGGGGGAAAAACGCAAAAATCAGAAGCCATGGACAAAACGATAGCTTGCATTAATTTGATATCAGATAAAATTCTACATTTAATCATGTAATCATTACTTTATCAATGGCATTTAGTTGTCTCGTGAGTGCATTTTCGGTCAGATACATCGTTTTGAGAGTGACGGCCATGGAACTATTTCATAGTGCGACCATGCGCTGAAGTTCCTTCCCATGGATTTATGTTCCTTCCATGACAGAATGGCTAAACGGCGTTAGATAGATTCTATATAGTGAAAATACCTTGCACGAATGACGCCGATCCGTCTGGTCGCGAAAGAAGATTTTGTTCACAGCCAAATTCCCGCAAAGAAACATCTGAAGACTTGCGAACCTCCATGGCGATCATGAAGCGTTCTGTTTGTCGCGCGATTGTGACGTCACATTATTCTTCTCAAATTATTTATTTTAAATGTACTTTAATTCATAATTTGTCTTTTGCAAATCCAGGGCGTGTATATTATTTTTGTAACAATATAGCATGAATATCTTGCTGTTTGGCATAAAACAATATTTGTATCGTTTTCCGATTCTTCCATTACTCTGACAGGACCCCGGATACAAAAACCAGCAGAATTCGTCTTGACTCGCACCACCGACAGCGTTGATCTGTGCTGTCGTGGTTTTTTCGGGTTTTTTCGGGTTTTTGGATAACATTTTAGACCTCTGCTTCCGTGTGTATCAACATATCGTCATTCATTCGTATTTCAAAAGGGCAGTGTGCAGTTTTACCCATAAAAACATGAACAAGATGTATGGTCTGTGTGTCCGCGCTGCTCGCCAAACAGCACGATCAAAGTCATTTAAGCTGCTTCAACGTAGAGGCTTCAGGTTATCTGTGAGTACATCTGTTGTGTGTACAGCTTCATTTATCCTACTAACATTATTAAAGAAGTCACCTTAACAGAGAGCAATATTCCTATATTACAGACAATGCTGGTGTTAAAAGACCTCAGTTACATTTTAACAACATTAGTTTAACATGTGTACGTAATTACGTGAAATGCCTAACTTTTGAAAGGTGTTATTTGTTATGTTGAAATCGTTGAAATGTCCTTGCTTACACAGCACAGATATCGTGAGGATGCATTGAAGTCACGCGATATTTCATATGTCACAACAACCTTGGGCAAATCCACTCTTCATGTTAATATGGGAGCTGCTAAATTATGTTTTGAAGTGATATTTCAGATTGTGTCTTTAGTTGTTGTTATTATGCTCGCTTGTTTGCTATTGGTTGCTCGAGGGGCGTGAACTAAAGTGACTGCCTGCTTCACCAATGTATTTCCTCAAGTGGTTCAAGATCAGATTTCCGTCAGTGGAAGGCTGATTAAGTCTAACTAACAGTTTAAATGAACGTCTAACCTGCTAGTTATTAGGCATTCATTAACTATTAGTGTCTCATACTAAAAGTTTAGTAATCCAATCTTCTAGTTTTATAGATATACAAATTTGAATAGGTCCAGCTTTCTAAAGAAAATGTTTCGGGTTTTTTTTCCTGTGTGAGACAATATAATTTAATGTTTACTACTACACACCTTGGATGGGACATCCAAATAAAAAATTCATGGATTCTATTTCAAATATGAACTGTTCAATATAAACAGGTTTTTCAAGTTTAATCCTAAACTAACTTTTTGGGAGTGGTGCATACAGTGATTGAGAGAGTACTTGAACAATGGTATTAGAAACAAAATACCATTTTGTACTGTTATGTATACAACATTGTAGTGTATTTTGTATGTCTGGGCATCTGCTTGGACTGCTGCTCCTGCGACCCGGCAACAGATGAATCAGAAGAAAATGCATGGATGGACGGATAGTTTGTATGCAATTATTAGAATAGGGCTATACATTTGCAATTATAAATATTTTTTCATAATAAAAAAAAAAAATGGCAAACTGTAGCACAAGTCCTGCTTCACAGTGAGATGAAACGCGACTAGTTCTGGAAAGATACCATGGAAATGGAAAGTAAAAAGAATTACTTGGAACATTCCATCTGTAAACCTACAGACCACCCAACACAAAATGCAGCCCTGTATATGATCAGGTAGTTATTAAATACAAATCCTATTAAAGTTATAATTTATTTTTGTATTTTCCAATGCAAAAAGTCGTGTGACTCTACGCTGGAAAAGCCACAGTTCCCCGGAGCCTCTGCTGAGTTTGTGGACAGTCTCGAGTTCATCGAGCCCAATGTCATCTCTGGGATCCCAGTGTACCGCGTAATGGATCGCCAAGGCAACATCATCAACCCCTCCCAAGATCCAGGGGTACATGCATGAATTCTTAGCTAGTTTCCACATCAATGAAGCCCAAATAGACCTGTTGTCTGTTATATATATTTTTTTTTTTTTGCAGCTTCCAAAGGAAACGGTTTTAACATTTTATCAAAAGATGACACTCCTGAACACAATGGACCGTATCCTGTATGAGTCACAGAGACAGGTAACTTTGTCTGCAAGTTGTATGTATTGTTTTTAAAGGTGTTTACCTAAACATGACATCCGTTTAGGGTCGAATCTCTTTTTATATGACCAATTATGGTGAAGAGGGGACACACATTGGTAGTGCTGCTGCTCTTGATCCAAGTGACATTGTGTTTGGTCAATACCGGGAAGCAGGTAAGATGATCTAGTCTAGGCCTTTCCAATGCTGGCTAATATATGCCGTTATATTATTATTGGTATGTACGTTTGGATCTTGTACACATTTATTTTTTTTAGAATACATTTAACTAAATTCCCTTACTCAATTTTACAAAAACAGCCTTTTTTCTTAAACGGTCAATCTACAATTTTCCACAGGAGTTCTGATGTACCGGGGTTTTCCTTTGGACAGCTTCATGGCTCAGTGCTATGCCAACGCGGATGACCTGGGAAAGGGTCGTCAGATGCCTGTTCACTATGGCTCTAAAGAACTCAACTTTGTCACTATCTCTTCACCACTGGCTACACAGATTCCCCAGGGTGAGAACTTCCTTTTTGTGATACATTTTATGATGACGCTGTAATTGTACATAATATATCTTGCACAAAAGAGACTATGTTTTCACTTTTAACATGTTTGCACTATTCCTGTGTCTTTTGCACAAGTAGTGACACTATTTATGCCATAAGATGTGCTTTATCTTTTTATTTTATTTTATAGGAGAAATTTACATGTCACATTTAGCATGGATAGATACACTCAGATTGTGCAAAAGGAGGAAATGTGCAAACATGTTACATGCAGGATATATGTACAATAAAAGTGACAATTATGTACAACAAAAGTGACAAGTGTCAATTGGAAACAGTGTCAATAGTAGTGCAGGTTTTCACACAGTGATCATTTAAAGTGACTTATTGTACAGTCAATGTGACCAATGATTTCTCCATTGTGAAATCAAAAGTCTATCTTATCTTATCCCTGCCTTTTTTATAGCGGCTGGAGCGGCTTATGCTGTTAAGAGAGAAAACGCCGACCGGGCTGTGATCTGTTACTTCGGAGAGGGGGCGGCAAGTGAAGGAGATGCACATGCCGGTTTTAACTTCTCTGCCACTCTTGAATGTCCTATCATATTCTTCTGCCGCAACAACGGATATGCAATTTCAACGCCTACCAATGAACAATACAGAGGGGATGGAATTGGTAAGTGGCTCGAATAATTTGATTAGTGATTGAGTTAAAGTAAATAATAAATATACAATCATGCATTTATCAACAGCTGCTCGAGGACCTGGTTATGGTATGCTTTCAATTAGAGTGGATGGAAATGATGTATTTGCCGTTTACAATGCAACCAAGGAAGCACGGCGAAGGGCTGTAGCAGAAAACCAACCCTTTCTAATTGAAGCAATGACTTACAGGTTAGTTCAGTTCAAGAAATGTCAAAGATGGTGTTTTTTGGTCTGATACATATTTAGTCAATGACACTTCAAATCTCACTTCTCTCACTCACTTTCCATCTGAAACAGTTCCAAGAGAATAGAATACAAACATTTTACAGTGCCTTGCGAAAGTATTCGCAAGGCACTTGAACCTCTCGCCACATTTCAGGCTTCAAACATAAAGATATAAAATTTTAATTTTTTGTCAAGAATCAACAACAAGTGGGACACAATCGTGAAGTGGAACGAAATGTATTGGATAGTTTAAACTTTAACAAACTGAAAAGCGTGGCGTGCAATATTATTCGGCCCCCTTGCGCTAATACTTTGTAGCGCCACCTTTTGCTGCAATTACAGCTGCAAGTCGCTTGGGGTATGTCTCTATCAGTTTTGCACATTGAGAGACTGGAATTCTTGCCCATTCTTCTTTGCAAAACAGCTCGAGCTCAGTGAGGTTGGATGGAGAGCGTTTGTGAACAGCAGTCTTCAGCTCTTTCCACAGATTCTCGATTGGATTCAGGTCTGGACTTTGACTTGGCCATTCTAACACCTGGATACGTCTATTTGTGAACCATTCCATTGCAGATTTGGCTTTATGTTTTGGATCATTGTCCTGTTGGAAGATAAATCTCCGTCCCAGTCTCAGGTCTTTTGCAGACTCCAACAGGTTTTCTTCCAGAATGGTCCTGTATTTGGCTCCATCCATCTTCCCATCAATTTTAGCCATCTTCCCTGTCCCTGCTGAAGAAAAGCAGGCCCAAAGCATGATGCTGCCACCACCATGTTTGACAGTGGGGATGGTGTGTTCAGGGTGATGAGCTGTGTTGCTTTTACGCCAAACATATCGTTTTGCATTGTGGCCAAAAAGTTCGATTTTGGTTTCATCTGACCAGAGCACCTTCTTCCACATTTGGTGTGTCTCCCAGGTGGCTTGTGGCAAACTTTAAACAAGACTTTTTATGGATATTTTTGAGAAATGGCTTTCTTCTTGCTACTCTTCCATAAAGGCCAGATTTGTGCAGTGCACTGTTGTCCTATGGACAGACCCTCCCACCTCAGCTGTAGTTATCTGCAGTTCCTCCAGAGTGATCATGGGCTTCTTGGCTGCATCTCTGATCAGTCTTCTCCTTGCTAAAGATGAAAGTTTGGAGGGACGGCCGGGTCTTGGTAGATTTGCAGTGGTCTGATACTCCTTCCATTTCAATATAATTGCTTGCACAGTGCTGCTTGAGATGTTTAAAGCTTGGGAAATCTTTTTGTATCCAAATCCGGCTTTAAACTTCTCCACAACAGTATCTCGGACCTGCCTGATGTGTTCCTTTGTCTTCATGGTTCTCTCTGCGCTTTAAACAGAACCCTTAGACTATCAAAGAGTAGGTGCATTTATACGGAGACTTGATTACACACAGGTGCATTCTATTTATCATCATCAGTCATTTAGGACAACATTGGATCATTCAAAGATCCTCACTGAACTTCTGGACTGAGTTTGCTGCACTGAAAGTAAAGGGGCCGAATAATATTGCACGCCCCACTTTTCAGTTTATTTGTTAAAAAAGTTTAAATTATCCAATAAATTTCGTTCCACTTCACGATTGTGTCCCACTTGTTGAATCATGACAAAAAAAATTAAATTGTATATCTTTGTTTGAAGCCTAAAATGTGGCGAAATGTTGAAAGGTTCAAGGGGGCCGAATACTTTCGCAAGGCACTGTATTTGTCCCTCAGTGGGCAAATTTTGATTTGTGTGCAATCTTTAAATGGCACAGAATTAAGCCTCCCTTTTTATGCAATGTCAAATTATTAGATGAGACAGGTTTTTTTCTACAATATTAATTAATGCTTGTTGCATGGAAAACCTTTTTAGAGGAAAGTAGCTGAGGACACCCAGAACTAGTGTCAATACTAGAATTATGAACACGTTTTCCAATGTATTTAGTTACATGGTTTAATCAGAATACTGAATACTAAATCGTGAATACTTGAGAATCAGAATAATTTTTATTGCCATGTTATTAACGGGAAGTCAGACTAGGAAATTGCTTTGGCTCTCGGTGCAAACAGAGAAAGAATAAGGCATAAAACATTTCTAAAGTGTAAAATTTTCTAAAATAAAAACATTAAAAAGTAAAATTATTATTACTATACAAGTGCACTAAATTATACATTAAGCGGTCCAGTAAGGTGACGGCAGTTAAGTGGCTTTATAAAGGGCGGGGGGGGGGCAAGGTTATGAAGTGGCTTAATTATTTACTAGTATAGTGTAACAATGTGGCACTAGAAAATTGACATTTACATAATTTTTGATATTGTGCCCTTTTGAATCCTAAATTGCATGTGGGCTTCAGACCCTATAACTTGTTCAAACATAAATTCTGGTTATACGTTGTTTTAAACCTTTTTAAAATCATAACTGTCATAATCTAAAGTGTTATGATTGCAGTAGTTTGGTAGTTTCTAGTCCGATACCAGTCAAAGCGCCTAATATACTAAACTTTATTCTGAGATGGATCCCTCCTGGATAAATGAAAGACTTCATCACACGATATGATTGAATAACATTTTGTTTTTACCTTGTAGAATTGGCCATCACAGTACAAGCGATGACAGCTCTGCATACCGTTCTGTGGATGAGGTGAACTACTGGGACAAGCAGGACCATCCCATCTCTCGGCTCAGGCACTACATGGCGACTCGGGGCTGGTGGAGCGAAGACGACGAGCGGAGCTGGAGGAAGCAGTCCCGCAAGACCGTGATGGAGGCGTTCGAGAAGGCAGAGAAGCGCCTGAAGCCAAACCTGGAACTGCTTTTCACTGATGTGTACCACGAGATGACCCCGCAGCTAGACAAGCAGAAGGCGGCTCTATGGAGGCATGTCCAGCAGTATAAGGAGCACTACCCTGTGGATCTGTACGAAAAATAACTCCCAACCGGCCTATCTAACGACGTGACATCATCATTGTGACCAATGACCATGGCAAAAAAAACTGCACAAAAAAGTACTGTTAATGGATTTGTAGTTTTGATATGAGACTTTTTCTTCCTTTTACAAACAAAGGCAACAAGTATGACAAAGTATGCATTTACATAACATGATGTAATATTGTACTTCAGTGTTTGGGGCCTTACTTTTCTTGACTGTAACCAGAAGTTGATGAATGCACATAGAATTAACTACACAATAGAAAAGCTTTTTAACATATCTTGATTATTAACTGGTAAAATGTTTCTGTAATGTATAATTTTAGTGTCTTTTCCTTTAGTTTGCAGTATATCTATTGCACCTGTGTGATGGGAGTGAGTACACTGTTACATGTATTGGTTTTTTGTGAAAATAAAGAGATGCTATAATTTACCCTTAAGTGTTGTTTTTTTGTAGGGGAGGGGGATACAATAAAATGGTCACTTCTATTAATATTTTCAAATCTTAATTTATTCAACATGTCAGGAATGGGCTATGAATTCCTTTCCAGAGTATCTTGAGCTGTGCAGGTGTACGCTGGTGTATCAGGATGAGACCTTTATGAACACACAAGTTCTCCCGGTCGTGTTCGCTTACGTCAAAGGTATGAAAACCAGGATGTGCTTCAGGTGAAATCCCCAATGCTTTTATGCAAATCCCAATGTAAACGTCATCTATTGGAAAAAATGGAATAATGTGCGACATGGAATATAGTCTGGGTAGAAGTGCTCCAGTGAAGACAAAGCCACCACCCCCAACATAAGGAGGGTACGGACCATCATAAAAACTTAGAGGAATGTAGTATTTGCTTTTGGAGTCCCTGAGTGGACTAGCTGTGCTTATAAAATCCCCAACGAAGAGCTCAGCAGATTTTGACGGCTCAAGAGACAGCAGGTAGTCTAGCAAGGCTGGTGTGTTCACAAAAACATCGTCATCCCCACTGAATATGAAAGAAACGTTTGGGCAATTGTTTAATGTCCAGTGGAGGAATGCATCCATTTTGAGAGTTAGGTTTAGTAAAGACTCATCAAAGTCCCATTGGAGAGTATCATGAAATATTTTAGCTTCAAATGACAACAAAGCTCCCAGATCAGGCTCATTTGGTGATTGGTTGCCCAGTAGAAACAGGGTTCGCGCTCTCAATCCATTCTGAATAACACCCTCTTGTCCCCAAGTCTCACGGACCGACTGTCTCTGCTCGAAGTTCCCAGGTCTCGACTTGATGGCAAAAAGAAGAAACGTTTTTCCGTCGTCTGCTTCACTTTTCAGGCATTTGTTTGGCTGATTGATCAGGAGTGGAGGAGATTTACATTTCATGGTCAGTAAAAAGTCCTGAAATCTGGAAGGGTATGAGGAGAAGTCATGGATATTGGTTTTCAGGAGTTCTTGGTTGACTTCCGTACAGTGAGACCACGATGGTTGGTCCAAGTGTTGTTTATCCGCACGCCCTAGAGAAGAGTAAAGTAGTCGATTCCAGTAGGCTTTGTTTTGAGGGATGGCTTTCGTGAGACCACTTGAAACTGTCACATTGAGGACTTTGAGCTTAGAGGAGGGTAAACTTGCTTTCTTTCTCAACGGCAAGATGGTGGCATTGAGATCTTCTCTTCTCCTCTGAAAAATATGCTGCTTCCTAAGTTCTTTCTGTTCTACTTTATGACTATGGGTCTTCTCCAAGCGAAAGGTTGAGAGGAAGATGAGGAACAGAGTAGTGACTAAAACCATAGTAATTAAGCTTTGATATCGCCTCATTTGTTCGGAATAAGTTGCGCAATCCAGTTCTTTGTTATCTCTTATGGTTCATATTTCAAGGTTGCAGTCTTTGAAGTTTTTACAATATGCACAGGCCACAACTGTGAAATAAAAAAGAGGGAAGGTCACACATTCATAATAAAACTATATAGATAGTTCAATAAAAGTCATAAATTCGAATAAAATCGTATTAACAAATAAAAAGATGGTTATAGAAGATGTCACGAGCAGACAAGACACATGGAAATAGTGAGTGAACTTGTCGTTAAGGGCAAAGACTGTCCCCAGAGCATAATTAGGATTAAACCAGCCTGCTATGCTCTCACATAACAAAGTCAACCCTCACCGGCCGCGTCTACGTTTACGCGCGTAGGGTGCTGCCCGTCAGACGTCCGTAAAACGGAATAGTGGCCACACCAGCTTCAGCAGCGCGCAGCTCTGGCTGTGCGTTTATCAGCACCCCGGGCTTGTTTTAAATAGAAGGAGCGGTGTGATTTGCATGAGCTATGGCTATGATCTATGCAACGCACGGCATATTGAAGCATCGAGGACTTGAAAAGAACTCCAACATATCCAGGCTTTGTTGAAAGCGAATCAATATTAACATTACGCGAAAAATAAAACGGTAGATTTACGATCAGGAAACAATTATTTCAATTTAATACATGAAAACAAATTACACACATTTGTTAATAATCATTGTCATAAACAAACACTTATAACCAAGGACCACAGCATATATCAATACATGCATAATAATGTGGTAAATATATTATTCCTTTGTATTTCCAATGGAAAACGGACCAGACACGCGTCGACGGACGTAAAAAATAGGATTGTTTCTTTTTCGTTCGTTGCACCCTGCGTGGACGGACTGCTCCCTACGCGCGTCATACAGACGCATGCGGGCAGTGGAGCCACTTCCATTCACCCTCATGGAGATAACGGAAACGGAGATGAAACGGACACGTTTGGACGGATACGTAGTACGTTTACGCAGCCGGTGGGAAGCTTATCTTGAGTAATCAGTGGCAATATTAGGTGTAATATTGTTAGATACAGTTCTTAGCGACACATTTCTAGAATAATAAGCAATAATAATTTTTTAAAGGAGAAAAAAACCCACATTTTATAAGATTTTAAGACCCTCCGCACATGTTTCTAATGTTTCTAATGACCGAAGTGGCACGATTTCACCAAACTAGATCTAGCCAGGAAACATATCCACTCTATTGATGTACAGGTGTGATATTAATTTATGATAGAATACTTACACCGACAAATGGGGTCCCGGAAAAAAATAATAATACAGACGGCTTAAAACAACACCACCACACAACGAAGCGCAAAGCCACAGTTTGAGCCCGGAGCAAGTTCACCAAAGAAAAAAGGATCAGAGCCACGCCCACAAGATGCACGTGCCATGGTGGGTGTCATCTGCACTTTTATTGAAGAGGGTCACACACAGAGATGCATTATAAATGATTCACACAAGCTGGCTAATATTCATCTTAAGAAGTCTTCGAACAGTCTTTTGTTTTGGGGTAAATAACAGGGGAAATGCAGTGTTCGGATCAGATAAAGAGGCATCGTGCACAGGCTTCAACAAACCTAGTCTAAATTACAATTACAAGTTAGACAATTACGTAAAACATTAGAGCTTGGTACACACGGGTTTTTTTCTTGCACAAATCACGTACTAGGATTAAAAGTGCACCAGTTGAACTTTTATGTACGTACCTGAAATCTGTGCAAATCCTGAGAATCAGGGGATTAAGGCAAAGAGTTGAGGAAAAGATGCCCAAATAAAACATAGAATTGGACATGTACTACTCCAGTGTGGCTCTAGGAGGCAGCACTCCGCAAATGTTCATGATTATTACATCTCAGGTATCTACGTTTCAATCTGGTAAAACTTTGAAAAATTTAAAGTTTGGTTCCATCATTAGTTTTCATGCTTGTATTTTACAGCCTGTCACCTTTTTAGATGAGCTCTGTCAGGCAGAAAACTGAAAAGGAGAGGATCATCAATCTGCACTCAATCAAGTGTCAAATAGTTACCAGTATGCAAAAGATGTGGTCTGACATTGAGGTTTTTTTCTGTGGAAAAAAAAACAATGGCCACTATCTTTCTGACTGCAAAAGAAAGATAGTCACCCCTACTTCACGGATTTTAAGTGTATGCACATATAAGTAACCCTGAATAAGTGAGTAACCCTTACTCACATTACAAATCTTTATTAAATGGGATTTATTTATACATTTATTTATTATTGTATAAGCTCCCTTTGCAATCACACAAATAATAAAATAGTATTTCTCTTTGCTGGCATGATCTCTTGTACTTAGTGCCATAACAAATGAATTAAAGAAAATTGTGTTGATATTTAAAGGGCAGAGAAATTTAACATTTTTACATTTAAAAAAAAGGCATAACATGTAAGAGAAAATTAATAGTAAAACCATATGACATACATTGGTCATAGGAATTATCTGCAAAAAACATAGGCCAGAGGTTAAACGAATCTAAGGAGGACCGGTTTCAACGCAGGTCATTCTCATCATCCTGTATGGTCTTCTTGATCCGGAGGAGCATTGTCGTGAGCCACTGGTCCAACCGTGAAATGGTGTCAAAGTCCTTTACCTAAGACAACAACAAAAAACACCGCAATTGTATTCATGTAGTCTTACACAAAACAATAATATTTTCAAGCAGATAAGCCTTAAAGGAAGTGTTAAATAAGTCTTGTATCATTCATAAGTTGACAGCCCACTCACCAAGATTATCAAGCATTAAAAGTACCAATAACCAGTAATCTAATCAAAAAGTCACCGTGGACTGCATTCACTTTGTAATTGTAAATATTGTTCAGTATCTGTCCTGTATAGTGATCTGAACTGTGGGTTTTGATCCACATTCTAGCCCACGTCTGTAAAACTGGCGGAGTAATTACCGAATCAGTGTAGGCATCCAAGTTCTGCTCCTCATATGCATCTAAGAGTTTCTGGATGAATTAAAGAGACATGTTAAATATGTTAGATTAAAAAAATAACAAATACTAAGAACAGGTATAAAAATATATATATATACCTTGACCAGTTTGCATTCTCTCGAGTCTGAAAAGGCTGGAAACATTTCCTCATACTTCTGCACAGCAATCTTTGTGAAAAGACAGAAACATGAGCACAATTTTCTCTCATACTTGTGAACAGTAGAAGTTGAACCAACCGTTGCATTCTGATGGTCGACACAGAAGTGACAGAGCGCAGCCTTAAAAAAGTGATCCTTCGCACTGTATTTTAGAAGTGTGCTGTCCATTGCATATGTACCAATCTTTAAGAAGAAAAAGCTTTGGGTGAGAATGACGTGATAAGCTTGGAGGTGGACATAAAAGGAGACATCACCTGTTCATAGATCTCAATTGCCTTTTGATATTGTTCCAACTGAGCGGCATAGGTTGCAACTTTCAGGAGGCACTTATTGGCAGAACTAACAAAGAAAGAATCAAAATTAATTGCAATGTGGAAAATGGTACTAGTAGAAGATTTATACTTAAAAATGTATGCACTCACCTCGTTGATTCTTCACCTTTATAATAATCTGCTGCTTGTTCATAATGAGCAACTGCCTGAAATATGAAAAACATGTGACGCACAATTTTATGGTTATTCCTTTAACGTCAAAAAGTATTCCTCAGACAAAACAATGAAGAAAGAAGAGGGGCTGATCTAACCTTATCAATGTCCACCAACTCAGTTTCATATATTTCGGCAATTGTAATATGATGTTTTGCAGCAATTGTAAAACGTCCCTGTACATGAAAAACACATACATCAGCTGAATAACAGAAAGATAAGGTTTTTGTTTTTTTTAAAGACAAAGACTTACCATATCAGTGTAGATTTCTATAGCTCTGTTTAAACAATTGATTGCCTCTGTGGAGAATAATATTTAAATGTTTGAGACAAATAATAATATTGTGAATTGTGAATTACTCTGGTCAGAAGGGGGAAATGTACCTTGTGGATCGGCTTTTTTGAAGGCATTTCCGGCATCAATGTAATTCGTTGCTGCATCATGTTTGCTTTGCATCTGCAGGTGGAGGCGTGCGGCTTGAGAGAATGCATTTCCAGCAGCTGAAGAGACCATAAACAAGTAGACATAAATGGTTTTCAGATGTCAATAGTTTAACAATAAGCTTATCATTTGAAAAACCTACCACACCAGTTTTTTGCCATTTTATACATGTTTGCCGCTCTCACATATATGTCACACGCCTCTTCCAACTTGGAGGAGCCTCTGTATATTAGAAAAAAAGTTCCAAATAAACCATGCTACTTTATTCTGCAGGTCAAGCAATTAGATTAAAATGAAAAAAATATATGTGTATGGCAAGTTAAGATCGTGATGTATATTATTTAGTCTTAATAAAAGGTTCTTATTTTGTATTAGAACAGAGGTTATATTAGTGACATATTTACTCTACTAACAGTAAGACTATTCAAAACAGAAAAGCCTATTCGACCAAGAGTCTGCGTATATACCTGTGGAAAATTCAGCAAATAATCTCAGTAGTACTCCAGCACCAGGAAGACTACTAACGTTGGTAAACAAGATATAAAAGTCCCCAAAAAACAACTTTAAAACACAAGTATATCGATATAACCCGATTTATAGATGCATAGAATGGTTTATTATTGTGTGCACTTGTAAACTGAATTGGTCTTTGACATGACACAAGCTGCGAAGGAGATATCGTGCTAGGTTTTCCGAAAGCTAGCATTAACACTTACCCAAACATCGCTCCGAAAAACGACTGGGAAGATTTCATTTTCTTTTCCGCCTCGGCCATTAAAGCCGCTGCCTCTTTTTCTTTGCCGCTGTTGTCCATTTTTTTGTAACTTCTCAAAAGTGCAAGAGAAAAGGAGGATACGCGTAAGACAACAAACCAACACGTAATGTTAGCAGTAGCCTCTGCTGTTGCGCTGCCTTGTCACATCAGCAGCAGCACAGACCGTCCCAGTCATGTGACACAGGACACGACCCAAATGGGGAGAAGGGAACGGGAACTAGACCACACTCACTGTTGCCGTGGAGACCGCGGCGGCCATCTTGTGACTGTACAAGTTTGTGGCTTGGATGTATTATATTGTATTATATTATCGGTTAGTGGTCATTTTGGGTGGCAATTAGTTGGCAATCCAATGCGTCAAGGGTCTACAACCAGATCAAGGTAGAAATATATACTTTTTAACTTTATATATGTTAAAAATGATAAATTATTATTACTTGTTTTGAATGCGCTGGAAACAGCAGCAAGTTCTAAGTAACTCCGAAACAGTTTTGTGCTTTTGCTTTTTTTCTACCTGAGATGCAGTGCAGTGTTCATGGTTTTGCACTGTTCATGGTTTTGCACTGGTCCAGACCAAAGCGGAGAGGATTCATGGTCCGAAATAAGCAGATCCGGCAAAAATCCACTGGAGGAAGGCTATCTTTTGTAATATGCTAATGAAGATTTCAGCATTTTACTTTGGACCATAGCAGAGAAAATGGTCCAAACCAAGTGGCTACTCCACCTCTGCTGCTGGGACCTGTTGCTTATTATTACTAAAGGTAAAGGTGCACTTTATTAATCCCCGCAGGGGGATCCACTGCATATGACCCATCTTGATGCTGCTAGGCTTATGTCAGGAGCAGTGGTCGCTGTAGTCCAGCGCCCAGGAACCAAGATGTTGATGCTCGGCTTGGTCAGGACTACCAGTCCTAGTGTGCATGTCTTTGGTGATAGGGGAAACCAGAGTACCCAGAGGAAACCTACACAAGCATGGGGAGAACATACAAACTCCACCCAGAAAGACCCCGTTCCGACCGGGATTTGAACCCAGGACGTTCTTGCCAAGAGGGGAGAGTGCTATCCACTCAGCCACCATGCCGCTCTCCCTTCTGTTATTAGCTTTTTAGAATAATACATTTTTTTGTCGGTCGGAACAGGGCTTTTCTGAGTGGAGTTTGCATGTTTACCCCGTGTCTGCATAGGTTTCCTCCGGGTGCTCCGGTTTTCCCTACCACTAAAAAGATGCAAAATAGGTGTGAATGTAAATGAGTGAGTGAATGGATGGTGTTGGTTGGAGGCTTTGATGCGCCAGTGTGTTTGGCAACTCGCTTCTGTCCTCACCGTGTGTGGAATGATTGTAAAAATATCTGAACTCTGAACATTGTAAAGCGCTTTGGGTGAACTTGGTCTGTAAAATGTGCTATATAAATAAACATTACTTACATTACTTACTACATAGTCATACATAATGAAAAAGTTTATTTTTGTACAAATTACAGTACTATTGTAACCCTGATTTCTTGTTGCTCACCAGTTCTTGAGGCTGTGGGTGTGTGGGTTACCATTTATAATAAAAAAACAGTGTTCTATCTCGAAATTTTCCTTGCTAAAATAACCAAACGGCAGGACAGTAAAAGTTCAGCTCTTCGGTTTATTTTCCACCCCGTCTCACGCGCACACGGGGGCGCGCTCTCTCCCCTCTCTCTCTCTCTGACAAACAGTGTTGAAACAAATACTAATAAAACAATATTAATCAATAACAGAAAATCATGAACTAATATACTCAAATAATATTAAGATTACCCAAATGTAAATAAGTAATTACAAAAATCTATGTTACAGTCTTCCCCTGCTACAAATAAAATGTCCTCATTTCAAACAGAACATATATAAGTGCTGTAGTACAACCAAAAATGCAGAACCATGCATATATGAAACACAGGTATGACCATAGGTGCACTGCACTGTCAAAACAACAACAGACTGTGCACTTTTTTTTTTTTTTTTTTTTTTTTTTTTTTTTTACATATACCGTATTATGTCACAAAGTCTCTGTATTTTTGTGGACAACAAATACTACGACCAAAGCGGGTCACACAAGGTCGGGAGATGGGGGAGGCTGGCGGGGACACAGAGCTGGAAGTAGAGGGATTAGAAACATGGGGTGATGGTGGAACGCTCTGAGTGGGCTCTACCGCAGGTGCAGTCTCAGGCTGCCTACATCGTAAAGGCACATATGGCGGAGTAGGAGGGTGAAACGGCAGGGCCCCTGATAAAGCAGTAAGGGGAGGAGCTGCCGGAGCATTGTCCAAGCCGGGTGAAATCGTCCCGTTCATATCCACAACATTCTGCATAGTTCCTTTAAATGCCTTGAGTCTGTTGTGGTGTACAATCCATGTCCGTGAATGTGCTTTCTTAGGATCTGTAATTTCATAAGTCACACCTGGAAGTCCATCTTGTGTCACACGTTTCAAAATAACAAACGGCCCTTTCCATCTCGGAGCCAACTTATTCATTTTGTTAGCAGGGTCATCTAGTAGCACAAGGTCCCCTTGCTCATGTGGGTGAAACACAACCTTTTTGTCATATTGGGATTTCTGACGTAACTTACTAATTGTGGATTTGTAAGCAGAGTCAGCAAATGCATATTTCAAACGTGAAGCTAAATATGAAGCATATGCTGCAGGTGTACTTGGTGTAGGTGTTGTCACACTGGGACTACAGTTTAAAACAACAGCCACTGGCAAGTTTGGTTCCCTACCATGCACAAGGAAGAATGGGGAAAATCCTGTGCTTGAGTGTACACTTGAGTTGTATGCAAGTTCCACTTGAGGAAGAAACTGATCCCATTCACCACCCGTTTGTGCTATGTACTTAGAAAGTTGGTCTTTTAAGGTCCTATTTAATCTTTCTACCATGCCATCTGACTGTGCATGATATGGGGTAGTGCGTGTTTTGGTTATCCCCAGTAACCTGCACAAGTGTTTGACAAGATTGGATTCAAACTGCCTACCCTGGTCTGTATGGATTGACTCAGGCAAGCCATGTTGTCTGACATAGGCCTCAAAGATACATTTTGCAACTGTAATTGCATGTTGGTCTCTTAGTGGAAATAGATTTGCATAACGTGTAAAATAGTCTGTAATAACTAACACATACCTATTACCCTGTGATGTTATAGGTAGTTCAGTAATATCTGCGGCTACTTTTTGAAAAGGTCTGTCTGTCTCGATACATTGTAACGGAGCACGCTCATGTGGTATTGGAGATGCTCGTTTTTGACATGGGAGACACTCAGAACAAAAAACATGGACATCCCGTGTCATGTATGGCCAATAACAGATCCGCCTAGCTCTTTGGAGCGTGCGCTCTGCATTCAAGTGTCCACTTAACGGATCACCATGAAGAGCTGCTAAAGCTGTGGAAATCAGCACTTTAGGCAAAATGACTTGAAAACTTACAGGTGAGTGAGGGCTATGTTTAAACTTTCTACAGAGGATCCCATGTCTAATGTTAAGGTTGGGAAACTCATGCCATAGCTTTCTCAAAGAATGGGAGGACTTTCTCAGTTTACCAATAGGAGGCCTACATGCACTATCATTCACCCATGATAACACTGTACTAAGACACTCATCACTTTGTTGCTGTTGTTTCAACTTTTCTGAGTCAAAAGAGAGTGAGTCACCAATGTCCCGAATAAAATTGTCATTTTCATTGTCCACACTCGTATTGTCTGTAACAGCCACTGTAACATGCTGCTGCACTTGATTTTCTTCCGTGCTGGGACGCCTGGACAAGGAGTCAGCATTGGCATGCTGTTTACCTGCCCGATGTATGAATGTATAGTCAAAGATGTCCAACTCAAGGATCCATCTGCTGCGCCTGCCAGTGGGATCATTGTCAACTGCAGATTTCTTTAGACTAAGCAGCGGCTTATGGTCTGTGATCACCACAAAGGAACTGCCAGATAGAAAATGTTTAAAATGTCTCACAGACCAAACCACTGCAAATAGTTCCCGATCAAAAGTAGACCATTTTCTTTCTGAGGGAGTGAAAGTGTGGCTTGCGTAGGCGATAACATGTTCCTTATTGTCCTGTTTCTGTGCTAACACTGAACCGATGCCCTCCAGTGACGCATCAGTGTAAAGCAGGAAAGGCTGGGAAAAGACAGGATGTGCCACAACAGGTGGATTTGTAAGAGCGTGTTTAAGCGACTGAAACGCATCCTCACACTCAATTGACCATCTAAAAATAGCACCTTTGTGAGTGAGAGTGTGAAGAGGGGCCGCAATGACAGAAAAGTTTTTGACAAACCTCCTGTAGTAGGAGCATAGTCCCACAAACGCTCTCACTTCTGTGACAGTCCTGGGTGTTGGCCACTTTCGTACCTTTTCCAGATTTTTTACGTCCGGTTGAAGTCCTTGGCTGGATACAACATGTCCCAAAAATGTAACATCCGTCTGAGCTATGTGACATTTTGTCGCTTTTAATTTAAGGCCAGCAGATCTGAATCGGTCAAAAACTTCACCTAGACTCTTAATGTGATCCTCAAAAGACCTACTAAAGACCAGGACATCATCTAAATAAATAAGGCAGTCTTTCCAATGCAAACCATGGAGGACAAGTTCCATCAGTCTTTGAAATGTCGGGGGAGCGTTTGTTAGTCCCATTGGCATAACTTTAAACTGATAAAGACCACTCCCACTGTTGAATGCTGTTTTCTCCCTATCTTGTGCCTCAAGTTCAACCTGCCAGTATCCACTTGAGAGGTCCATGGTGCTGAACCAACACGAGCCAGACAAGCTGTCTAGTGCCTCTGCTGGACGTGGAAGAGGGTAAGAGTCCTTGATGGTAGCGGCATTTAGTTTCCTGTAGTCTATACAGAATCTATAGGTGCCGTCTTTCTTTCGTACCAAAACAACTGGAGAAGACCAGGGGCCGCAGCTTTCCTCAATAATATCTTGTTCGAGAAGCTGCTGAACTTTCCTGTCTATTTCTGCTCTGATGTTTGGGGAAGTGCGATACGCTCTCTGTTTAATAGGAAGAGTTTCGCCAGTCCTGATACTGTGCCTAACTAGGTCTGTGCGCCCGTAGTCCTGGTCATGTGCACTAAAAATGTCACCGTAAGACAAAAGTAAAGCATGAAGCCTCTGTTTTTGGTCCACTGTAAGAGCAGAGTCCTTTAAGTGAACATCTGGCAATAACTGCTTAATAGAGTCACTCTGGGTCATAACTGCATTTGCATTTGTCGCAACTATGCAGTAATCATCATTACAGTCTTGGCCTAAGGGGTAAAATTCCCCAAGTTTAGTGTCACTGGGCACCTGTAAGTCAGAAGTAGTTGGATTCATAACTCTAACATAAGTAAGCCCAGCCTGAACCGGAGCAACCGTGCGCGCTGAGAATAAGCCCTGGGTGCTTGGAGGTCCTGGTTCAATAACACCTATGTAGTCTGTGTCAAAGTCAGCCATGCCAATGGTGGGTTGGACTCTAGCTAAAACTGTCATTTGCGACATTGCAGGGATAAGAAGTGGGGTAACTGTAATGGCATTGCAACTCAGGAGGGTTGTCTCTGTAGCGCCCAAGAGTGGGACCCTGGCACGGTTACCTACATTGAGGATGCCTTGTTTCAAATCTAAAATGGCAAAATGTGCAAAGAGGAAGTCCCAGCCTAATATTACAGGCTGTGTGACATTCCTGATCACCTGGACAGTGTGTGTGAACATTTCACTGCCTAACCTCACATTCATTGAGAGGGTGCCTAGATTGTCCAAGTAGTCACCGGTAACAGATCTGGGGACAACTTGAGGTTGCTGTAAAATTTTTGTCCTCAGAGAGGGAATAGACATTCTAAATGCTTCACTAATGAGTGAAATGTCTGAACCTGAATCTATGTAGACTTTAGTAGCAATATTTTCAATAATGGCCAGTACATTGCGCGTCAATGTCTTACGTGTGGTTTGATGTATTGATCTGATGTGGGCATGATTACTAGCAGCAGACACTTGGCCCTCAGTGTCTACTGCCACTCTTTTCCCTGACTGTGGTCTTCACTAAAGGTCACGTGCTGATTTCTGTCATTTGGTCTCTGTCCTTCACAGCTCGATCGTGCTGAGGGGGATCTGCGTCTACCTGTATCAAAAGAAGAGTCATAGTCATAGTTGTAAGGGGAAGACCGGTCATCATGGTGACGAGAAGAGGGACGCCATCCCTCTGGGCTGCGGGGTGTGGAATGCCTCTCGTAGCTGAAGTGATGGTCTCGATGAGGAGAAGGTCCGGAGGAATGCCGACTGTTGTACTGGCCTGGCGAATATCGACGGTTGCGATGGTCCGGTGACTGCCAGCGGTTCCGACGGTCGGGTGACAGCCATCGGTTCTGATGATCCGGTGACGAGCCAGAGAAGCCGTTGTTATGGTAGGAGGACCTGCCGGATTGGTGATAGGTCGGTGTGGAGGAGCGTGCATCTCGGACAGGAGACACGGGTGGGGTGCGCCGATACCTCTCTCTGCCGCGGTCACTCCTGTAGTAGTCCGAATGGTCATATCCATGTTTGGAAAAGTCACTTTGTGAACTCTGCCTGGCATGGCTCACATCACGCCCTTGTGTAGCAACATGCAGCTTCAGAGTTTGTACTTCTCTGGAAAGTTGCTTAATTGCATTAACAAGTTCATCAGAGTGATCTGCCTGGTTCTTATGTTTTGTAGAAACCATGGCAGTCTGCAGCTCTTCCCCGGATGTTTGAGCAGCTGCATAGGATGTATTGTTCGGTGGGAATGAAGGCGGCAAATGTCTCAAAGCCTCTTGAGCACGTTCCCATTTACATGCAATTGACAGAGCCTCCTCTAGTGTGGCTGCGCCATGCTCGTGACATTTCGACTGTAAAAGGGGGTCCAATCCGGCTATAAATCTTCTGAAACGTTCCATTGTCAATGCTGGCTCTCCATAGTTTGGAAAAGCTTCCAGCACTAATCTAGTGACTTCAGCAGCATACACCTCTAATGGTTCTTTGGGGAGGCGCTGTCTTGCATTCACAAAAGTTTGAAAATGAAGCAAAAATTCCTTTCTGCCAAAAACATCATTGAGCTTAGCTACACAGCAGTCATAGTCCTCTTTTATCTCCGGTGATAATGACAACCAGTATGCCAACGCGTCCCCACTAAGGCGAGTGGGAAGTATCGTGGCTATATCTAGCGTTTGTCCATCAGCACATGCTTTAACTGCTAGCTCCAATCTGGTTTTCCACAGCGCAAAACTTTCTTTGTCCTTACCATCGCCGTGGAAACATGGCGGCAAATCCACTCGATAGTGAACTACTGTTCTCGAAGCTTCTTGTGGAGCTGCACGCGCAGAGCCGTTATCACCTGCGCCACCATTACCAGGCTGACCGTTGACTCCGGGTCCAGCTTCTGGCTGCTCATCTGGATGTTGTAACATGCTGAATGTACTGTCCAGCTAATACGAACGGGTGTAACTCCGGGAATGCACAAAACTGCGTACACAGCAAAAATGTATTGTCCGAATAAGTTAGCCACCTCCGATGCTAGCTGACTGCCCGGTTAGTTAGCATAGACAAAAACTTTTTCACGAGAAACACCGCTGCCACCAGTCTGTAACCCTGATTTCTTGTTGCTCACCAGTTCTTGAGGCTGTGGGTGTGTGGGTTACCATTTATAATAAAAAAACAGTGTTCTATCTCGAAATTTTCCTTGCTAAAATAACCAAACGGCAGGACAGTAAAAGTTCAGCTCTTCGGTTTATTTTCCACCCCGTCTCACGCGCACACGGGGGCGCGCTCTCTCCCCTCTCTCTCTCTCTGACAAACAGTGTTGAAACAAATACTAATAAAACAATATTAATCAATAACAGAAAATCATGAACTAATATACTCAAATAATATTAAGATTACCCAAATGTAAATAAGTAATTACAAAAATCTATGTTACACTATGACAGTTATATCAGAAACAACAAAGAATAAAGTTGGTTCATATGATCCAAATCAGCCCTTTCAGATCACTGCAAGAGAAATAACCACATTATAGATTTGGATGGGATCTGAAAACAACAAATATAATACATACTGTATCTTTTGAATGCGCTGGAAAAACGGCTGCATGGATGTATAAGTCTGTCTATGTAGCTCTGAAACAGTTGTTTTGTGCTTTACAATTTTTATTTTTATTGCTTTTTTCTACCTGAGATGTTACTGCAGTACAGTGTTCATGTTTAACACTGGTCCAGACCGGAGAGGAGAGGATTCATGGTCCGACCAAGCGAATCAGGTGAAAATCCACAGGAGGAATGCTAACTTTTTGAAAAATGCTAATGAAGCATTTAGCCTTTTACTTTGGACAAGAGCAGACAAAATAGTCCGAACCAAGCGGCTACCCCACCTTGTGACCTGTCCGGCTCCACCCAGAGGCTACTCCACCTCTGCTGCTGTGACCTGTCCGGCTCCACCCAGAGGCTACTCCACCTCTGCTGCTGTGACCCATCCTGCTCCACCCAGCAGCTACTCCACCTCTGCTGCTGTGACCCATCCTGCTCCACCCAGAGGCTACTCCACCTCTGCTGCTGTGACCCGTCCTGCTCCACCCAGCGGCTACTCCACCTCTGCTGCTGTGACCCGTCCTGCTCCACCCAGAGGCTACTCCACCTCTGCTGCTGTGACCCGTCCTGCTCCACCCAGAGGCTACTCCACCTCTGCTGCTGTGACCTGTCCGGCTCCACCCAGAGGCAACTCCACCTCTGCTGCTGTGACCTGTCCTGCTCCACCCAAATGCTACTCCACATCTGCTGCTATGGCCCGTCCTGCTGCAGCCGAAGGCTAATCCATCTCTGCTGCTGTGACATGAATGGCTGTTGCTGATTATTACTATTGTTACCTTTTTAAAATTATCACTTTTATTTTTTATTTTTTCTTCTACTGGACACCAGAATTTCTATCTATCTATCTATCCCTCTATAAATGCTGAACCAAGGATGCGGGGCAACAACAGCATCAACCAAGATGAGGGAGTCATCCTCCTGTCCCACACATGGTACACCCTCCTCCAGAGACCACCTGACCGTGGTCAGTCAGAGCAACCTGCCAGGTCATTCTGGAGGACCACGCTTACTCAGGAAGTAACATCAGCTAAAAAATGACACGTCACCAAAGCGGGTGACCGTTCTGAAGATTGATGAATAATTCATTTTTTAAATATTTTTTTTATACATTATATAAAATAAAATAAACTTATTTCAAAGAGACTGAGGGAGAGCCTAAATAATGTGTTTATACTTCCATAGAGTTAACTGAATCTGAAATGTATCACACAATTCATCATGTATTTCAGTACATTGCTTTCATCCATAAATGGGAGTTAGCCCAAACACCTTTTAAATCCACCTTGTAATTCGTAAGTAAAATTTGTTATTCTATTTTTTTTTTTACTTTTAAAAATATTGGTTATTCCCATGCTCCCCCCTGGACTGCCACCTTAACGTGGTGGGGGAGTTTGAGTACTCGGATGATCCTGGGAGCTATGCTGTCTGGGGCTTCATGCCCCTGGTAGGGCCTCCCATGGCAGACAGGTCTCAGGTGACGAGTCAGACGAAGCGCAGTCCAAAAACCACCATGGATCGCACTATAACGAGAGCAGTGACGTCGCCCGGCATGGCGCAGCCGGGGCCCCACCCTGGAGCCAGGCCTGGGGTCGGGGCTCGTATGCGAGCGCCTGGTGGCCGGGCCTTAGCCCACGGGGCCCGGCCGGGCTCAGCCCGAAGGGATGACGTGGGCAGTCCCTCCTGTGGGCCCACCACCTGCAGAGGGGTCCGTGGTGGCGCGGTGCTGAGAGGACTGGGCGGCAGTCGAAGGCGGAGACCTCGGCGACCCAGTCCGCACACACAACATCTGGCTCTTGGGACGTGGAACGTCACCTCACTGGGGGGGAAGGAGCCCGAGCTCGTGGGGGAGGTTGAGCGATACCGACTAGAGATAGTCGGCCTCACCTCCACACACAGCTTGGGCTCTGGAACCCAACTCCTTGAGAGGGGTTGGACGCTCCACTTTTCTGGAGTTTCCCGCGGGGAGAGGCGGCGAGCTGGGGTGGCCATTCTCATTGCCCCCCATCTCAGCAGCCGCCATGTGTTGGAGTTCTCCCCGGTGAATGAGAGGGTCGCGTCCCTCCGCCTCCGGGTGGGGGACAAGTCTCTCATTGTTGTGACGGCCTACGGGCCTAACAGCAGTGCAGAGTACCCGGCCTTCTTGGAGTCCTTGGGAGGGGTACTGGACGGTGCACCGCCCGGGGACTCCGTCATTCTCCTGGGGGACTTCAACGCCCATGTGGGAAACGCCAGTGACACTTGGAGAGGGGTGATCGGAAAGAACGGCCCCCCTGATTTGAACCCGAGCGGTGTTCAGTTGTTGGACTTCTGTGCCAGTCACAGTTTGTCCATCACGAACACCATGTTCGAGCACAAGGGTGTCCACCAGTGCACGTGGCACCAGGACACCCTAGGCCGGAGGTCGATGATCGACTTTGTTGTCGTATCATCTGACCTTCGACCGCGTGTCTCGGACACTCGGGTAAAGAGAGAGGCGGAGCTGTCAACCGATCATCACCTGGTCGTGAGTTGGATCCGCTGGCAGGGGAAGAAGCCGGTCAGACCTGGCAGACCCAAGCGTATAGTGAGGGTCTGCTGGGAACGTCTCGCTGAGCCCCCTGTCAGACGGACTTTCAACTCGCACCTCCGGGAGAGTTTCTCCCAGGTCCCGGCGGAGGAGGGAGACATGGAGTCCGAGTGGACCATGTTCTCTGCCTCAATCGCCGATGCGGCGGCTCGTAGCTGTGGTCGCAAGGTCTCTGGTGCTGGTCCCGGCGGCAACCCCCGAACCCGGTGGTGGACACCGGCAGTAAGGGATGCTGTCAGGCTGAAGAAGGAGTCCTATCGAGCCATGATGGTTCGGGGGACTCCTGAGGCAGCTGTCCAGTACCGGCAGGCCAAGCGTGCCGCGGCCCGGGCTGTTGCAGAGGCAAAAACCCGGGACTGGGAGGAGTTCGGAGAGTCCATGGAGCATGACTATCGGTCGGCCTCGAAGAGATTCTGGCAAACCATCCGGCGCCTCAGGAGGGGGAAGCAGTTCTTTGCCAACACCATGTACGGTGCGGGTGGAGAGCTGCTGACCTCGACTGGGGATATTGTCGGGCGGTGGAAGGAATACTTTGAGGTTCTCCTCAATCCCCCCGTCACGTCCTCTGTTACAGAGGCAGAGGCTGAGGATGTTGGGGCGGATACATCTATCTCCCTGGCTGAGGTCACCAAGGTGGTTGGTAGCCTCCATGGTGGCAAGGCTCCGGGTGTGGATGAGATCCGCCCTGATTATCTAAAGTCTCTGGATGTTTGTAGGACTGTCTTGGCTGACACGTCTCTGCAACATCGCGTGGCGATCGGGGGCAGTGCCAATGGAGTGGCAGACCGGGGTGGTGGTCCCTCTCTACAAGAAGGGGGACCGGAGGGTGTGTTCCAATTATCGTGGGATCACACTCCTCAGCCTCCCCGGTAAGGTCTACTCCAGGGTACTGGAGAGGAGGTTACGGCCGATGGTCGAATCTCGGATCCAGGAGGAGCAGTGTGGTTTTCGTCCCGGTCGCGGAACACTGGACCAGCTCTATACTCTCCATCGGATACTCGAGGGTTCATGGGAGTTCGCCCAACCTGTCCACATGTGTTTTGTGGATTTGGAGAAGGCGTTCAACTGTGTTCCCCGGGGTGTCCTTTGGGGGGTTCTCCGGGAGTACGGGGTCGGGGGTCCTCTGCTGAGGGCCATTCGATCCCTGTATGACCGGAGCCAGAGCTGTGTTCGCATTGCCGGCAGTAAGTCAGACCTGTTCCCGGTGAATGTTGGCCTCCGACAGGGCTGCCCTTTGTCACCGGTTCTGTTCACTGTATTTATGGACAGAATATCTAGGCGCAGCCAGGGGTCGGAGGGGGTCCGGTTCGGAGACCACAGGATTTCATCTCTGCTGTTTGCGGACGATGTTGTCCTGTTGGCTCCAACGAACCAGGACCTGCAACATGCACTGGGGCGGTCTGCAGCCGAGTGTGAAGCGGCTGGGATGAGAATCAGCACCTCCAAATCTGAGGCCATGGTGCTCGACCGGAAAAAGGTGCCTTGCCCTCTGCAGGTGAGTGGAGAGGTCCTTCCTCAAGTGGAGGAGTTCAAGTATCTCGGGGTCTTGTTCACGAGTGAGGGAAGAATGGAGCGTGAGATTGACAGGCGGATCGGTGCAGCGTGCGCAGTGATGCGGTCGCTGTATCGGACCGTTGTGGTAAAGAGGGAGCTGAGCCGAAAGGCAAAGCTCTCGATTTACCGGTCAATCTTTGTTCCCTCCCTCACCTATGGTCATGAGCTTTGGGTAATGACCGAAAGAACGAGATCGCGGATACAAGCGGTCGAAATGAGCTTCCTCCGCAGAGTGGCTGGGCGCTCCCTTAGAGGAGCTCAGTCACACGGGAGGAGCTCGGAGTAGAGCCACTGCTTCTCCACGTCGAGAGGAACCAGTTGAGGTGGCTCGGGCATCTGTTCCGGATGCCTCCTGGACGCCTCCCTGGGGAGGTGTTCCGGGCACGTCCCACCGGGAGGCGGCCCCGCGGAAGACCTAGGACACGCTGGAGGGACTATGTCTCTCAGCTGGCCTGGGAACGCCTTGGGGTCCCCCCGGACGAGCTGGAGGAAGTGTGTGTGGATAGGGAAGTCTGGGCGTCTCTGCTTAGACTGCTGCCCCCGCGACCCGACAACGGATAAAGCGGAAGAAAATGGATGGATGGATGGATGGTTATTCCCATGGATTGATAATATTATCTGGTTATTCTAAATTGGTGTCTGGTGTGGGGTGATATTGTGTTTGAAGATGAGGTTCCAATGAAGGACCTGCAGGTCTCACTGCAATTCCACTTCACAGCTCCATAAGTGAAGCCGAAGTCATTTGACCATGACAGTTGGACATGCAACTGGGTTACCATCGAACCCATGCATGGTTACCATAGTGAGGAACCCTCTAGTTTTTAGTTGTTTTTTTTTCTTACCACACTGATACTGCATAACTCCACACTCAAGTAAAATTATGGCCTGTCTTCATCTCTTTTTTTAAGTACTACTTGATTGCAAAAATAATAACCACAGAGTCCCCAGTCCCCCCAGTGCGTTGAATATCAAAATTGGATTATAAACGCAGCTTCTGTCAGAAGACGTGAGTGGCTGAAATGAACTGTACACATTAACTTACATCACATGCTTATTACTCTCCATCTATACGTTTTGTTCGTAATCCATAGTTTGAAGCTCATATTAATTGTGGCTCACTGAGAGCCTGTAAGCCTACTCTGGCTGGTTAATACAGTCAATGGATTGGTTTGAACCATAGTCTGAACCATAGACTGTCCGAACCATGCTCTGAACCAGTGACTGAACATTATCTAGGACGTTACACAGGCAGAGCGCAGGGCGCCTGTTTCCTGCTGTAATCGGGTCCTGAACTGCAGCCCGTGCGAGGCTGTCCTGGAGACCCCGCGCCGCCTGCACCTCTATCGTCTCGGGTGAGTTTGGTACAATGTACATATTTCTCTATTAATCCGTAAAACTGCTTGAAAGCTGCAGTGTATACAGGGCACATGAAATGCGCCCACGGCGCAGTTACCATAATCCAAAGTTACGATACTCCGAGCCCCTCTAACCCGCTCATTTTACACCAAATTCCCAAGCATACCCCCTCATCCAAGAGTATTCCAACATTAACTCATATTTTACTTGCAAGGGAAGTCATTGCATGCTGCGTAATTGCATTTGTTTGTATATGCAAATACTATTGCTGTTATGGTCTGGTTGAACACTCAATTTTAAGCTTTAGGATCGAAATCGCATCAATTGGTGGTTTGTTTTGAATGTCAAAGGCTAGCTGGACCTCTCAATATTGTTGATTGCTAAGAAGGCTAGTTAGCTTGGCTAGCGACAGCTAGTCAGTTTTCTAATACTTTAAAAAAACAGACTACTACCCAAATCACAAGCCTAAAACATAGTTTTGTTATCAGTAAAGGCGTATAATGTTGTCAACTAGGCCAAGCCTGACAAATATTCAAACTAATCATGCAAATCATTGTTAAAAAACAGAAAAACAACACTACTAGCATGTAGCCGCTCTCCATTCATATCCTGCGCACTACTCAGCTCTTAGATAGTAATGGATACGACCCATTTAGGGATAGAAAAAGGGACTTTACTTGAGCACATTCTGAATCCAGGCTTTGTAACAAGTGATACATTTAAAGTAATGTAAACACTGCAGTAACTAAATGCTACACCTCATACCTATTCTTACTTGACAAAAAACCGCGCATTTCTGGTGTGTTGCTTGCCATCAATTGCAGAATTAAATATGTGTCGAGTCACTATTCATAAATTCATCAGACCTTTACAGATGTTCTTAGGCTGCGACATACAATACTGGCAATGGATCATTATAATAAAAACAATTTTCACTTTAGCAACAAAAAAAACCTTTGCCGATGTTGTCCGTCTGTACCACTGTTTTAACTTGTCAAATCGCATAAAATTCAACCACTTTAAATTCATGCATGCTTCTTTCCCAATGACGTTTGGGCAATTCGTTAACATTCAATCACAGATGTCTGACCGCTCTCACGGATTTTCAGTTTGTTTTTTTTCTTCCAAAAGGTTCAATAATGATTACTATGACAAAAATTCATACTACTTTGTGGCCTAATTCATCTCGTGCTTTTACTACAAACGTGTCAATGATCTTTTTTTTATTCGTACTCATAATAATGCATGCAAAGTTGATATATTTGTAAGTTACTGGGGCTACTCACAACAAACCACATAACCCACATGTTGACCGACTCTCAACCTTAACCATCAACCGTAACGGTTTTCATAACCAGTCAGTAACCCTAACCACTAGCCTAGTTTGACCAATGTTGGCATTTTACCAACTCATGTTTTGTCATAATAATCATTTAACAAACTAATGTTGTTTTAATGTTTAACATGTGTGATCAAATCAAACAGCAGGACACCAACCATATACTTTAATAATAATAATAATGCATCGGTTTTATATAGAGATTTTTTGGACACTCAAAGACGCTTTACACGTCATTATTCATTCACTCCATACACGGTGGTGATGAACTACTTCTGTAGCCACAGTTGCCCTGGGGCACACTGACAGAAGCGAGGCAACCAGTATGTGCCATCGGCCCCTCCGACCACCACCAACCATTCACACACACACCAGACTCATTCTAGGCAATGGGGGTGAAGTGTCTTGCCTAAGGACACAACGGCAGTTTGGCACTTTACAGCCGCAGCCGCCCTACTGTGGCATCAGGTGTTCCCAGAGGTTAAGTGTCTTGCCAAGGACACAATGATAGCAGACAGCGGGAGTCGATGGTGAAAGTCATGAGGTGGGCTCGAACCCACGACCTTCTGGCTCAAAGGCCAATGCTCTACCAACTGAGTTACTGTCGCCTCCGCGTTCTAAAAAAACGAAATACATTTTTTGTGTGTAAATTCCCACATCTTGCCATATTGGAAATGTATGACGAGATGTGATTATTTTTAGGGCTGAAACAACTAATCGATTAATCGACGACTAATCGATTATTGAAATAGTCGACAACTATTTTAGTAATCGATTAATCGTTTTCTGGTTCACACGGACTCAAACAGAGCAAAGATTACATGAAAATGTAGTATTTTTGATTAAAACCGACTTTGTTTTTATAATTTCATGAATATCTGTCTGTCTCATCCAATCAGATAGCAGAATTAGCACAAAGAGCCTGTTACACACATTTACTTTAAGTTTACGCCATCAATACGTCCTCGAGTGTTGCCACTTTAGCTTTTTGTGATGAAAAAATAAAACATTTCTACACAATTCACAGCCAAGCGATTACTCGATTAATCGTAAAAATAATCGATAGATTAATCGATTACAAAATAATCGTTAGTTGCAGCTCTAATTATTTGTTTGGATAAACAAATAACCACATTTCCCACATGCAAAAAAACCCAAAACTAAACGTAATATCTGTAGATTGCATTTATTAAAGATGTTATTGTATCAGATGCAGACCTAACTGTTTACTTTTATCAGTTGTCATGGATGATGAAGACGGCAGGTGCCTTCTCGATGTAATTTGGTAAGTTACACTCAAAATCCTGGCATTAATTTTAACATGACATGAATTTGGCTTCTGATGTTTGTCCTTTTTTGTCACATTGCAGTGACCCAGAAGCTCTAAATGACTTTCTTCATGGCTCTGAAACGCACGTGAGTCTGAATTCTTTATTTGGGGTGTTGTTACATGTTATTAACATTCATAATCCCTTCCAAACATTTGTTTGCTTGCCTTGCTTTTCCCAACATTCTTGCTATTCAATTTTCTTAAGGCACTCTATTATCTACTTAAAAACACTAGTCTTCAAATTAATATTAATAAATGAAAACATAAAACACCTTTTGAAAACTAATGTTCCTCTGTTGTCAAATCGGTCTTAACATCTGTCTCTGTACTTGCCTTTCCCCTGATTGTTCGTCTTTCTGCCCCGGTGGCTTTTCCCTGCTGCTTTGGGTGGCTTTGGTTTTCTATCCCTATTGCTCTTGGTGGGTGTCTCTGTAGTTGGACACTGACGACCTTTTGGATGGTTCGACTGATCCCTCCAGCTCGTTCTTCTCTGCTGCTGGGGTGAGTAAAATCCCCCCTTTCTCCTTCACCTCATTTGTTCCTCTCAATCCTTGTGTTCTCCTCCTGGTAACCTTTCTTTCCACTAACTCTGGAAGCACTGCCATCAAGTAAACTTGTGTTGTGTAGTTTTAGTTGCATTTGGCGTTTTTAATTGTTTTTTTTTTTTTTTTTTTCTGTTTTTTAAATAGGGCCATGTATCAGAAGTTCAGCCCACAGTACAGCTTTCTGCAAATGAAACCGCCGGCCTGCCCAGAGTCAGTGTTGACTTGGACTTTTTGGAAGATGATGACATTTTGGGAGGATCACCAGGCGGTGAAAGTGGAACCAACGGCATTGGGACGAATCATGAACCCTGTGACATTCTCCAACAGAGCTTGGCTGAAGCAAACATCACAGAGCAAAGCCTACAAGAGGCAGAGGCCGAGCTGGACCTGGGATCCTTTGGTATCCCAGGACTCACACAAGTGGTTCAGACGATGCCTGATGCCAGCCTCAGTGGGCCAGGGGGCCCTGTTGGAGTAGGAATAGGCGTTGGGGGGTCAGGAACCATCTTCACTGGAGCAGGCCCGAGTTCTACTGTCACTCCCCCCAATACAACAGCTGATATGCTAGGCTCAGTGCTTGCTCAACAAGGTCTTCAGCTTCAATCCCAGGTGATGAACAAGGCCATAAGTGTGCAGCCTTTCATGCAGCCTGTAGGCCTTGGAAATGTGACTCTTCAACCCATTTCAAGTCTCCATACACTTCCCAATGGCAGCCAGTCTGGTTTAGGAATCGGACAAATTCAAGTTGTGGGTCAACCCACAGTTATGACCATCAATCAGTCTGGACAGCCAATACTAGCCAAAGCCATGGGTGGTTATCAGATTCATCAGTCTGGGCCTGAGATTTCAGGAGCTGGCTCTCAAGCTAGCCTTGGAAGCTCAGGAAGTGGACTTCTCATCCAAGGAAACAAAACCACGCTAGGACCCACAGCTTTAAATGGACCTGTAGTTTGTGCCAGTAACACCAACAGTAGTAGTAGTGGTAGCACAGTAAGTGCCCCTGCTGGGATTGTCGGCTTTGGCAACACCTCTTTAGCTTCAGGAATAACATCCCAGACACCTGCTCAAGGTCAAATCATGCAGAATGTTATCATCCAGCGAACACCAACACCAATTCAACCCAAACCACCTCAGGGTGGAGCTATCCAGCCAAAACTTTACAAGCAGCAGCAGCAACAGTCAACTTCTCAGCCTCATCAAAATGATGCTCACAAGGGACTAGGGCTACAGCAGATTCCGGTCTCAGCAGCTCAAAATGTTGCCTTCTTGGCAGGAAAGCCTGGCTCTAACGTGGTCTTAAGCACCCAAGCCACATCACAAGCTTCACAATTTTCACAAACACTATTCAAACAACAAGCAGCACAAGCATCTGGCAAACCTCTTAGTGTACATTTATTAAATCAACCTGGAAGCATTGTAATTCCTTCTCAGACTGTTCTCCAAGGTCAAAATCCTCAGTTTGTTCAGCTGCAACCTGGAGGACAGATACTTACACAACATCCTGGTGGCCACATCATAGGTCCAGGTGGACAGCTAATCGCAAACCAGATTTTAACAAACCAGAACATCAACCTTGGGCAAGTCTTGACCTCCCAGGGTCCTTCTGGGGCAGCACACATACTTTCTGGTTCTATCCAACTCCAACCTGGTCAAATGGGCACTCCCACCCTTTTTCAGATGCCAGTCTCTTTGGCGCAAACTCATAATCAGGCCCAGACACACACAGTTACTGGTCAGACAGTCATACAGGGAATGCCCATCCAGAACCCCCTAATGTTGAGTCAAGTGGAAGGGCTTAGCCCAGCAGTTAGTCTTCAGACAAACATACAGCCCCAAGCAGGTGGAGTCCCAAGCAGTGGGAACATTAGTGGCAGTATTGCGACAGGGACCACAGCGCAGGGGCAGCCAGAGTGTGCCACAGTTTTGGGAAGCTCCACAGAGCAGACCTCTCATCCCACACAGATACATGTCCCACAGCCTTCGGTTCCCATACCTTCATCATCTCCGTCCATTTCGGTTTCCACCTCTTCCACCATGACGACAATGGGGCTTGTACCCACTCAAACACAGCAAAATCCAGGACGACTTGTGTTTACCAACCAGGGATCCAGCATGATCCTGAGCCAGGAGTCTCTTCAAATGTTTCTTCAACAGGTATGTTTTTCATCTTCTCTACTTCTATGTCTTTGGTCAACTAACAATCCCCTTATTAAATTCATGACCTGACTGGATAGAGTTCTTTGGTGATTATTTTGTTCTATAATACTTCATCACTTACTATCCTACACACCTGAATGGTAAATGTACTCCTATCAGGAGCTGCACCAAAAAGAGAAAGTGTCAATGGGAGTGCCAGCATCTGTAATCGTCAGCAGCAACAACATCACTGCTCCGGCTCTTACTGTCCATGACAGCCACTTAACAAAGTCTTGGGTCAATCAGAGCCCCTCTCACTTGACAACAGTGGTAAAACAGGTAGAAAAAAAGGCCTTATACTATGCCCCACCCACCTGTTGCCGCTGCCAATAGAATTTCTTACCCTTTTTCTTTAATTGCACTTTTTTGGATTTCTCTTTTCTAACCCTCGTATTTAGCTTTTTTTCTTAATCATGCTTTTCTATAATGTTGACAACTGTACATTTGATGCAATTGCCAATAATATTATTAGACCTATATAATTGTGTCTTCCCCTCCTAACACATGTGTTTAGTCAACTGGTATTTATGACTTAATCTGTCAATATAGTCAAGATGTTTAAACTGCCACTTGCATGTTTTTCACATATTGCTTGCAATATAGCCAAATACTACACCACTGGTTTTCCCTCATCCCATAATTGCAAATGTTGTTGCATGGTAATCTCCACTGCTTTTGTAGAGCATCTGGAACGATCCTCACAGCAGTTTGAACAGCAGCAGGAACACAACCAATCTAATCTAGTGTACATGTTCAATACTTTTTTAAATCAAGAGTCAGATTGCTTATTTAGAGGTACGAAGAGCTTTCAAGTGCACCCAAGATGCATACTAGGAATATGTGTGAAATGTTAAAGAACAACAACGGCTTCAATTGTTTATTTGTTATTTAAAAAAATGAATCTATGAATTCAATGAAGGGCCTTATGTTGAAAATCCATTAATTGGTCTTTGTATTGGTCTAAAAATGGCAATTTCCTCATTTGTTCAGCAATTATCAAAATTATGATTCTGTCTTTTGTGTATCTTTTGTATCAGAAGTGCTGAGGCTTGCTCAATTATTTTTTTAATGAATTTTGCCAATTCTTTACGCTTATTTCACTTGTAATTGGCATGAATATTTGAACGTGTTAATTTGCTTGACTATATTTCTCATGGTTTGTTTCACAGGTTCCCTCCAGCGGACATCAGCAGCCTCTGAAGATCCAGAGCATGTGCCCTTCGCCGACATTGCCCACTCCTCAGCGTGTTTCAGAGAGTCCGCAGCCTTCTCAGTCTCCGCTCACATTAAGTCAACACATGCAGTCGCCACATCACCAACAGTCCAGACCGCCCTCACAGCCCCAGCCCCAGAATCAGACGCCTTCTCGCTCGTGTACACCATCGCACCAATCACTATTTATAATTCAGAACCAAAGTGCAGACTGTCCGCAGCCGACATCTCAGCCACAGACCACAATACAAGTTCAGCTCCAGCCGCAGCCCAACGCTCATCAGTCGGAAAGGCCTTCTTTGTCACAGTCCCCAAAACCTCAGTCTGTCCAGCATCAGTTCAGCTCGTCCCCAATAAACATTTCGCCTAATACAGTGGTGAAAACCCAGGTTCCTGTCATTGGCCTCTCGACAGAACAGCAACACCTTCAACTAGTAACGGCGCAAATTCAGACATTGTCAACTATTGCACAGCCCTCACTTCAGCAAAAACAACTTTTAGAAAAGTTACATCAGGTATTTCAATTATCACCCATAACTCAAAATATGAAGGGCCACAAGTCCTGTTTTTAATTATATGCTTGCTTTTGCTCTGTAGATTCATCAGAACCTTATGCTAAAGCAGCCCACTCAGCCTAAAATTCAACTTAATGCAACGTCTCATTTTGGCTCCCAGCAAGATGTGCCTCTCGACAAAGTGATAACATCCAGTACTGGTTTACCTGCTCAGATCCCTGCAGTGCTGCAGCCGACGTCAGTAGTTATGAAAACACCCGCAACCGGTAAGGACCCTGACATTTAACGATAAGGAGACACATGCTCAGTATTGATCCATCAATGTCTTGATTTTTTTTCAGGAATAAGCGATTTACAGGTATTCTCAGGAGCCCAAGGGGCAGCTGCAACAATTATGAATCAAAGTGTCACTCCTACCTGCCTTAACCAGCCTGCACAGGTGTGTATATTGTCTCTTACACAAAACTAAATGAATACATAATTTAACATTGTAAATTGTATGTATAGGTTCAGCCAAAGCCAGGGGTGATTAGTTCAGTCGGAGGACTGACACTGGGTAAAGGAGGGGTGCAACTACAAGTGTTAGGATCTAGTCTGAATCAAATGCCTGCTCTTCAACCATCTGCTGCTGTACAAACTCATGTAAGAAAACACTTCTTACATGAGTGTGATATACTGAAATCTTGTTTTATTCACTTGTTTTGAATATCTTTGCAGACTACAATAAAGATGCCTTTTGCTGCAGAGCCCAGCAAGGAAGCAAGGTAAGTGTCAAAGATCATTTAAACTCGTCATTTTCGGTTGTGAGACGGAATCAAATCATTTCCTCACAGGTTGCTGGAACAACTAAGGAAACAACAAGGTTCTGCGCTTCACCCAAACTACAGTGCTCCTTTTAACACATTTGAGGACACACTGCAAAGACTACTGCCTTATCATCTCTACCAGGGAAATATACACTCCTCAGAGGATTATGAAAATGGTATCTTGGTCTTTGTCTTTGTTGTTTTTGATCTAGAATCATGCATTGTTAATCCTATTCTAACATTGTTCATTTGCTTTGGGGCCAGTGGATGAAGAATTTGAGAAGGTATCCTCCATTCTCCATAAGCGGACACAGGCTATGGTGGATAAATACAGGCATTTACTATTTTCAGAATCTAAGGTACCTTCCCAAGCAAACCTTTTTGGTGTTATTTAATTTTTATTTATCAGCTTTTGAATAGATTTTTTTATCTTGTATTCAAGCAAAGACTGGGACCCTCCGCAGAGATGGTGATGATCGATCGCATGTTCATACAGGAAGAGAAAGTTGCAATAAGTCAAGATAGAATTTTGGCCAAGGAGAGACCAGGTATTTTATACATAAGTTAGTGCTATCTAACAAGGTGTAACAAGACTTTTGTAATATATATTTGAATATTGTGGTAACCCTGCTATATCATGGTAGTCCGAGAGATAAGATAAGAGAACCTTGATTTTTTTCCAACAGTGGATGACTTTGTCTTCAGGGATAACGATGAGGGGAAAAGGCTGTTTTAGATGTTTAAAGGGCAGAGGGGCCGATGGCACAAACTGGTTGCCTTGCTTCTGTCAGTGTGCCCCAGGGCAGCTGTGGCTACAATATTAGTTTATCACCACAGTGTATGGAGTGAATGAATGATGACATATGAAGCGCAAAATAAATCTGATTTATTATTAAAGGGCAATACATGCTATTGAGAACTGGGGTGGAGACTTCATCCATGATTTGAAGTCTCATTAGAAATAATATTATAAACAATAAGCTACTCAGATAACCCTAATTTGAGTAGGTTATCACTTATAATTAGAAAATAGAAAACATTATTTTTACTTAAACATTCCTTCATTGTCATTCATGATCTTAAAAATGTGGCCCGAAAATGCTGCTGGAGTGTGTTACCTTTAAAGCGTACATTGGGACAGTTTAAAAAAAAAAAACATTGTTACTCTGTTTTTTGCAGACGAGTTTTTGGCCAATGTGCGCAAATGGGAGAGTGCAGCAAGAGAAATCTCAGCAAAATATTCTCCTCCCGCTGACACAAAGTCAGAAAGTCAGGAGGCTGCTGCTTCCCTTGGTTCAGCCCTCGCCTCTGCTCCTACACAGAATGTGACCCCAAAACCCCCGACTCCACCAGCACCCACCCCTCCTGTCCCTCCTCCCCCTGTTTCAGCCCCAGCCCCAATCCCCTCTATTCCGACACCGGCCCCTGCTCGTATCTCCACTACAACTCGTGCTTCAGAGCCCCCTCCTGCCTCGCTACCTTCTGCCTCTGCACCCCCTGCTTCTTCTTTTCCTCCAACCAAACTGGTCATAAAACAGGGCGGCAGCGGAGCCTGTGTGTCCTGGTCCAGCAGTTGCCCGACACCCCCCAAGGACTCTGCAAAGTCAACAGCAGAGCCCACGGCTACTCCAACCTCCGCTCTCAGTCGTACCGCAGCTGCTTCATCCTCACATTTTTCTTCTTCCTCACCATTCAACTCTAAAGCATCTGATGACGATGACACTTTATTGCAGAGAACTAGTAAACCACCCATTAAGACCTACGAAGCCCGCAGGCGGATTGGCTTGAAGCTCAAAATCAAGCAGGATCAGGGTGGCTTCAGTAAGGTGGTCCACAACACTGCCTTAGACCCTGTGCACACACCTCAAGCTCAGCCCAGCAGTCAGTCCACACAGCCACCCTCAATGAAGCATAACTCTTCTGTTGTAGCCCCAAAATGCCCTGCTCCTTCCACCTCTGTGACTGTCATCCGAACTCAGACCCCCGTTTGCACAAGTAGTTCCTCAACCTCTTCTACCACGGTAAGTACAGCTTCGTCTAACCCAGAGCTTAGAAATAATCCTCTCCACAAACAAGCTCCCTCTACTTTATCAAACTCTTCTGTTCAAATGAATGGGACAATGGAACATCACAGCGCAGGTAGTGTCAAACCAAACCCTGCTGGCTCTAGCACTTCATCACAGACTACCTGTCGTTTGCCACTTAGAAAAACCTACCGTGAAAATGTCAGTCCACGCGTTCGCCCTGGCATACCGGGAGGAGGCGATGAGGGCCCCCGAACTACAGACTCTCCATCCGTTCACAAATCCTCCTCTCCCCCTTCAGAAAGGACAGTCATTGCCAGTGTGAAGGTAGAAAAGAGAGACCACAGGGAACATGTGTATAGAGAGACTAGTAATAATGTTGGCCGATTAGAAAGTGCAATGCATGGGCTGGATCATGTAGAGGTCTTCAGTCGTGGTCTCAAAACCTCACAACATAATGTGCCACAGCTTTCAGACGGGGACTGTTCCAAAGAAAGGCAGAGTGAACACACAGATTTTGAAACTGGTGAGAGTAAATACAAAAAGATGAAAAATAGACAGAGGGCCGGTGGGACATTTCGAAGGGATCAGCACGCACCCGGGCCCCCATCCCCAGAATCTTTCACCAGAGACTCTCTGCTTCCTGCTAAACGCTGTAAGTCGGACTCTCCAGATATGGATAATGCCAGCTTCTCTAGTGACAGTCCCCCTGATGACTCTTTAAATGAGCACTTGCAGTGTGCTATTGACAGTATCCTAAACCTGCAGCAGGAGCCCCCTGGCCACGGTCCCATCAAAAGCAGACCTCACCATGACCACCACCTTCAAGGGGTCTCAACGTCTCTGTCCCACAGACCCTCAGTCCTACCGTCCGCCGCCTCGTCCTCTCTGGCCCAGCGCCCTCAGGTTCGTGGCAGAGGCCACAATGGCAGCCTGGTGCCCCAGACCCAGAGCAGATAACAGGCCCTCACTCAGGACTCTCACTGGGGACTACAGAGTGAGTGAGGGTGGGCACTGAGAACAGTATCACTGTAAACTCTGCCTAGACATGATGGCTTTGTTTGTTCATTTGAATTGTCCAGACATTTCTGTCTTTACTGTTGAAGGTACATGTGTGAATTTGTGGACCGCTTTCATGTACATTTAAATGCTTGGATTTTGTTCTCAGCTAAAGTCAAACAAAAGATGGTCAAAAATTGTTCCATGTTCCCTATTCTCTATTCTCTATAATGTCTCTTATTTAGTATTTCTACATTCCATCACAATGCCTGGGATAATATATTCTCCATATCTGATGTACTGTTGCATTAAGCACACCAAAACTCAAAAATGACGATTACACATTTGACATCAAAGAACATGTTTATTTCACAATGTGCAATGTGTTTTTTTTACACGAAGTTTAACATACTTTATTCCCGCGTTATTCTTTGTTTTCAACGTGACCTTTTTTAAGGTCAAAATTCAAATTAAACTGAGGCCTTTTCGTTCCGGCTGCTTGAAGTCCCAGGCTTGTCCAGAAGGGGGCAGGTCATTTCAACCTGTTTGAATTATGAGTTTGAGTTTTTCATCTTTCAGCTGTTTCTCTCTTGCTCTGCTTTCTTCTCATGGACAGTTCAAACACAAACGTCACAGTGAAATGGAGAAAAAAGGAACAATAATAATGTACAAAAAGAATTTGAAGTATAGTATTACAGAATAATTTTGTATTTATTGTGTATAATGACACTTTTTTAAAAAATGTACATTTAGTAAAATTGTAAATTAAACATTGCTTCTTATGAAATGTAGGATATCTGTGTTTGACTTTATTTCTTACTATAAGTGTGTTGTGTCTGATACTGCTTTGTAAAAACCTCATGCCTTCAGTGTTATCAGCAGCACGAGCAGTGATGATCTCCATTTCAGCCGGTTAAAATAAATTAATGGTTCCTTTTTGCTATTTAAACATTTAATAAAATTTGAAAATTGCATAATTTAGATACTAGTACCAAAGAAATGTAAGTAAAGATACATATTTGATGCAGTAGCTTAAACGTAAATTATTTTTTACAAAGTCAATAGTAATGTGTAACATTGACTTTTTTTTTTTCTTTTTCTGATGCCTTTCAATACTAGTTTTATTGTAATTGAATATTTGACATGTGTATATGAACATATTGGCCTGTATATTACATGATCAAGTGGATGAGCCAGTAGGGGGTGCGTGGAAAAACAACTTCTACTTTGAATATTTTGACGCTGATTTTTTTTACTCTCTGGGAGAAATGAGAGCACCAGAGCAAAGTGTTGTCACTCTAACCCTGGAAAGTGTGTGAGATCTTTGTTTATATTTGTTTCAGGGCCATTTAGTTTATTAATTACAGTTGTACGGAAACATTCCTTTTGTTTCCATTCAAATTATTTGGTACACGTCCCTCCTCCAGAGCCACGCCCTTTGACCACAGCCCATCTCATCTGAGTTTTAGTGCTGCCTACTGCTGTGCCCCTGAAGAGGAGGAGAATAAAAGTAATCTGGAGCTCGTGTCTGCCCTGTGCTGGTTTCAACAGGCAGAGGGAGGGTCCATGCCAGGTCTACGGCTCATCTGAAATACATTACACTCTTGAGAAGAACCATCCTCTGTAATCTGGGATCCTATTTGCTGTAAAAGAAACACCCATATGCCGTAGCAGCTCCACCATTTGGCTTTTTGGGGAACAAATATTTTTCAAACTCCAGTTGTGAGAAAGACTGCAAGATCCTGAAGCGGTGCTCTCGCAATCTGGTAAATATGTGTTGGTTTTCTTTATTCAATGTGAACTATTTGCATGCCAGTGTAGTTCATTCCAGGCCACGTTGAGCCCTCGGGGTATGTCTTTTTTTCTCCTAAGAAAAAACTTTATAGCCGTCTCTTTAAAGTTTGACGATTTGTTTCGAATTGTTTTTCTGAGTTTATACGCGTGGAAGTCAAGACCATTGAATCTAAATTAGTTTAACAGTATTTATCATTGCTTGTCTTGTGACGCATTATGATTAATTCAGTCCCAAATGGGTTTAAAAAGAAGCTCTTTTCATACAAGCTATTAATGCATGTCTTGCTGAAGTTTCTTTATGGTTCTGTACATTCAGCTCTGTTGTCAGTAGATATGCAAGATATTTCCATATATGGTCTGATTCTAAAAGCCTTCTGTTTCTGTAAGTGAATTATTTGTGTGTCTTACTTCAAAAGGAATGTCTTACTCACTGTAAGACATGAGCAGTGCTTCAGCAAATCCTTCCTTATGCAGGGTTGGGTTTGCAAGTTTTCCATTCTAGTCTAAATCTTTTCCAGACATGCACTGACAACATTTAACTGTCAGTGGGTGGGCTTTTTCAGCTTCTTTTTTCTCTTTTTTGAATTAACGGCTACATTTTGTTTTGCAGGAGCTATATTGACACAAGGGACTGTGTGACAGAAGGTCTGATCACAGGCGTGTGTCCAGCGGTTTCCAAGGACACGTGAAGCTACAGAATAAATACAGGAAACATCTGAAGGCTTCTCTGCATCTGCTACAGGAAACGCATCTCTAAACATACTCAGGTTTGACAGCTCTGAAGACGTCTTCTTACAAATAAGCATGTCTCGTTGGGGAAAGAAGAATGTGAAAAAAGCACCTGAGGTGATCCGCACTGTGACCGAGGGGCTCAAGACTCTCTATCGGAAAAAGCTGCTGCCCCTGGAGCAGTACTATGGCTTTCATGACTTCCACTCTGCCAGTCTGGAGGACGCAGACTTCGATAACAAACCCATGGTGCTGGTTGTTGGACAATACTCCACTGGAAAAACCACATTCATCAAGTAAGTACCCACTTCATCAAGGAATCAAACAGGCAAACTGGTTTCTGAAATCTCACTGTCCTAAATATTGACAGGTACCTGTTGGAGCAGGAGATTCCTGGAAGTCGAGTGGGACCTGAGCCCACCACTGACTGCTTCACAGCCATCATGCACGGGGATGTGGAAGGAGTCATTCCAGGCAATGCTCTCATCGTAGACCCCAACAAGCCTTTTAGGAAACTCAACCCTTTTGGAAACACATTTCTCAACAGGTGACCAAAATCCTCTCCTCTCATCTTCTACTTCCATTGTCACAATCATCAATAGAAACTGCTCAACTAGATTGAGAGAAGGAAGTGGAGATAACAGAAAGAGGCCTGTTGGAATTTCGAGTTTGTGTGCCAAATGTCAGTAGAGGGAGGCACTGCCTTATTTGTGGAAAATTTGAGAAAGGGAGCGATATCACCAGAGAGGGTGATGACGGCTGATGTTCTCTGAGAGGAACTGCTATGTACTCAAGTTCAAAGATGAGGTCAAAGCTCAGCTAATCTTTACAGCAAAGACAAATATGTTAGGTCATTAGAAATGTACATGCAGGACATATACACTTGCATTCCATTATATAATGTATTTATTTTTATTTGTCTTAATGGCGTTTTTGATGCAAGGGAACTATGGCTGTAAGAGGGACATCGTCTAAATAAGGTTCAAATGTCACAGAAACATGAAGAGCCTCCTGTTAGCACAGCACCAGTGTAACTGTATGATGATGGTTTTCCAACGAAGGCCTCTGTCCCGTAGGGTGTGTTTGTGAATGTACTTGCGTCTCCTTTTGCTCTGACTTCCTGAACTGGAGCCGGTGGACTCATTAAGTTCATAAACTACAGGAAGTCATGTTGTTGTTCTAGGCAGCAAACTGTTAGCACGCCTTATTGTTTGAATCTGGCACTAGTGGTCATTTTCCTTCAGGAAACCATGAGCATTAGAGGCCTGGTCCTATACAATGGTCTGCTGGGGAGGGAGCTGGAGGAGGGGAACAATATGGTCCTTGCATCATATTTGGCACAAGATGATTTAGATAGTCACTGTTTTGATCTTTTATAAATAATAATGGGTAGTTTCTATTCACTGCTGGTAATACCAGGTTCCAGTGTGCCCAAATGAACAACCAGGTCCTGGAGAGCATCAGCATCATTGACACGCCTGGAATCCTGTCTGGAGCCAAGCAGAGAGTGAGTCGAGGTGAGAGCGCCTACAAAGGTGAGGAGGGGGTGAGGGGTTCTCACAGACACATCTCAAACTTTACCTCTGCATGTCTGACTAATGGGACCAGCCTCAGTGTCACAATCCACCTCACAGGAAATCAAGAACGCCTCTCTCAGCAGTGTTCCCAGCATCTATAAAACGATAATGAAGAGCAGAACTGATGCAGGTCTGTTTCTGCTGAGGATACTGATGAGTACTATCTGTCATTTCACTCTAATTTTAAACATCAGCTCATATCATCATGCATTAAACCACAAATCATCATAAATGCATGATGAACTAACTTTACATTTCTGTTCAGAAATGAAACACAAAAGCATACAGATGGTAGGAATGCAGATCTGGTTGATTCCTGTCCAGTTGCCAGTGGCGCAGAGAAAGGAATGCTGGAGCAATTCTTATTGTTCAAATGAGAGTAAATAACCAAGGATTTTACTTTTCAAGCCGTTTCTTTTTTCATTCAAATATACAAGAACAGATGGTACCACAGAATTAGGTTTTACTTGAAATATTCTCAGAGAATTGTCAGATTTGTGTCTGTGGTGACCTCATCTCCTCCCCTATTCTATGATTTGTTATCAGTTTATAATTATGATGTTTTGTGTTTGTACAGGCTATGACTTCCCAGCAGTACTACGCTGGTTTGCCGAGCGTGTGGACCGCATCATCTTGTTGTTTGATGCACACAAACTAGAAATCTCGGATGAGTTCGCAGAGGCCATTGGTGCATTGAAAGGCAATGAAGACAAGCTGCGTGTGGTGCTGAACAAGGCCGACATGGTGGGCACACAGCAGCTCATGAGGGTCTATGGCGCTCTGATGTGGTCCCTGGGAAAGGTCTTTGGGACTCCTGAGGTTCTGAGGGTCTACATTGGGTCTTTCTGGTCCGAGCCCTTGATGGTCTCAGACAACCGTAAACTGTTTGAGCTGGAAGAAGAAGACCTGTTTGCCGACATCCAGAACCTGCCTCGTAATGCGGCACTGCGTAAACTGAATGACTTGGTGAAGAGGGCACGGCTGGTCAGGGTCAGTACAGTCACCCTAAGGCACTCGTAAAACAAATGAACGCGCTATTAACACACATCCTGTTTTCATGCTGTCTAGGTTCACGCACACATCATCAGCTACTTGAAACAGGAGATGCCATCTGTTTTCAGGAAAGATAACAAAAAGAAAAATTTGATTTACCAGCTCCCAGTCATTTTCTCCAAGATCCAACTCCAGCACAACATCTCACCAGGAGACTTCCCAGACTGTGCTAAAATGCAGGTTTGTCCCACTTCTTGTTTTTTGGAATCATCCATGTCAAGTGAGCTCAAATTCACTTTTGCTTTCTGTGTGGCAGGAACAACTTATGGTCCATGACTTCACCAAATTCAAAACCTTGAAACCAAATCTGATGGCCGCCCTGGATGAAATGCTGTCTTCTGATATTGCCAAATTGATGCCCCTTCTTCGACAAGAGGAGCTGGAGGCGACAGACCAGCCTGGGGTTCAGGGAGGAGCGTTTCTGGGCACCCACGCTGGGCCCTTCTCTGAGGGAGATCCGTTCGCTGAGGAGAACGGAGAGGCAGAGGAGGAGCAGGATTCGTGGGTAGTGACCAAAGACAAACCGAAATATGATGAGATCTTCTACAACCTGGCTCCAAACGAGGGTAAGCTGAGTGGCACCAAGGCCAAGGACTGGATGGTGAGTTCTCGTCTTCCTAACTCTGTACTGGGACGCATCTGGAAGCTCTCGGATGTGGATCGAGACGGCATGTTGGATGATGAGGAATTTGCCCTGGCGAGTCACCTGATTGAGGTCAAACTAGATGGCCACGGTCTGCCCCCTGAGCTTCCCTCTCGCCTTGTACCGCCATCCAAGCGCAGGCAAAAAGGCTCAGATGCGTAAAGACTCATTCAGTTATGTCACTCATGCTACTGTTTCTTTTGTTTTTACCCATGCTGAGATGCTCGAGATGCTGTATGCAATGTCTTCTTTATCTTGATATTAAGAGTGACATTGGCCTAGATTCCACAAAAAAGATTGTGTTGTTAAAAAAAATAGAAAAGAAAAGAATGGTCTTTATATCTTCTGCTTGGCCTCCGGGATTATGTGTGAGTATTAAATTCTTAAAATATCTGTTTGGTAAGCAGAAGTTTGACGCCCTCTGAGAGAGCTATTATTTAATATAATCTGAAGGGGAGGAAAAAAAAATACTTTAACCCAGCATTTCTTTAGAGATTAGAATGTGGATTCACATAATTCACATATTTTTTTTTAACTAATGACACTTGTTTTACCAAATAATGAGTTGCACGTGTAATCTGTCACTTATCTGTGCTAACCTTTCAAAAATATATTATTTTTATATTGTTGCAAATGCTTTTTATGTAACATGCTGAAACTTTTGAATGATACTGACTACTGTGCACTTCCTCACCAAATGTTTGAAACCTAAAGAAATAAAGTTCTGACTGTGCATTGCCTCTTTATGATCATTGGTCGGTTCAAACTTGCTACAGAAACTTTCCCTCACTTTGTATCAGGCTCTTTTGGTTTCTTGGAGACCAGAAAACAGTGACTCACTCTCTCCCTTTGCCAAATCCCAAGACCACTACTTTTTTCCAATCTCCTCACCCTTTCCCTCCAACCTTTCTGCAGCATACACAGGCCATTCATTTGGTCTGTTTGTATCTTTCTGTGGGGTTAGCCTGTGTAAACTATGCAGTGTGTGTCCAAATATCTATCCCGTAGCCTACTCATAAGGCCTTAAATATTCGCAGAAAGAGGGATGGCCTTCCTGGGTCTTTCCACTCCCACATGGAAAGAAATACAAATGAGAAACAGGCAACCCAGTGCTCTCCTCGCCTGCCTCAGTGACTCACATGTGAAGAATGCAGAGGGCAGGCCTAAAGGAGTTATTAATATCCTCTTTCCTAGGGTCCACTGAGTTTCCTAAGGCACGAGGACAGGAGCTAGACAGTATACCTTTGTGGAAGAATATTACACATAGAGCCTTATTCGGACACATAATTGAGCTAAACATGCAGTCATCACCACGCCCGTTCCAAACTCTTACGAAATTCCTTACGATGCATGTAAAATACTAAATATTTCATTGTGGTAACAATAAATTATGCTTCCACAACATCATGACGGAACGACAACCACATAGACTTACGCACATATTCAGATGCAACGTTACACAGTAGACTTACATTTAGGGCTGGTACAGCGTCGTGTACAATGCACAGGACTCCCCACCTGCAGCAAAGCTGACTCAAGGAAATTGGGGTCTCCGTTTGCGTCATTGTCTTTACGTGGGGAATTCCTCACCAAAACAAAACGTCAAACCATGAGAGTTTGGATAAAGACCGAGGGTGACACCTGGTGGACGAAGTTACATTTACATTTCTTTTTTCGGCCAAGTGAGTTCAGCAATTCTCAAACGTTTCAGAGAAATGAGGGCTAAATCTACTATTAGTAATCAAGGCTATAGTGGTTCTATAAATAGTTCTCAGATCAAAGGAATCTGTACCACCAAAAGGAGCTCAGGTACCACCAGTGACACATGTACTACATTATGAGAAACTCTTAAGAAATAGAACTGTAGCAAGTTATTCAACGAATTCGCAATTATCAATTGATTTCTAAAATAATTGTCAACTATTATAGTAACTCATTAATCTGTGTTTGAAACATACCTCAACAGATGTATTCTAGGAAGTTTAATGACACAGAGCTAGAATTACTACAGAATGACAAAGAAATACTTTGTAAACAAAAATTGCAAAGCCTAGTCTCTTCAAATATGTTCTGGAGTGGCCTCGCTTAAATTTGGTCAAAAAAAAAGCCTTCCATCTATCATAAGAATTGCCCAACTAATCAATTATCAAAATAATTTGCTGCTTGTAATAAGGACACAACTGTTGTAAGTCAAAGTGATAAATTTATTTATCAAGTACAAAACTTTCATATTTTCAATTGTTTATTTTCTACTGTAAAACACATTTGTAGCAAGTCAAAACAAACAGAAGGAAACTCCCTCAATAATGCCAAAAATTACATAGTGCTTAGAAACTGAAATGATTTTTCATGTCTTTGATTTGCTTCATCATGTCTCCGATCTGCTGCCCATGTTCTTTGAGAACATTCTGCACCACTTTCTTCTGCTGCGCGTTCAGCTGCACTGGCGTCTTCTCCGCAGCTTGATCTTTGCCAACTTGAGTCTTCTGGTACTCCATCTTCATGTTCACCTGTTTGATGCTGTTGTCCAGATTTTTCAGTTGATCACTGATGGACTGGAGCTCTTTTTTCATGTCTTTTTCACTACTTGACAAAATTGGCAGTTGGTTTTGAAGGCTACCAAGCACCTTTTTAGCTCGGTTCATTATTGTCTCCTGGCGATACTTTGCGTCCTCGTACTTGTCAGCCAACCTCTCTGCAGTCTCCCTGAGACTCTTCTTCTCCTCTCTGCACAGAACCAGCTCCTCCAGCTGCTTGTTCTTCTGACCTGTAAGCAGCTTCACTCTCTTTTGCAGCTCTTCACGGGCCATGTCCTGCTTCAGGATGTACTCCTCTCTGAAAACCTGGGTAGCTCTGCTGAGGAGTTGGAGGCACTCCTGAGGTGGAGGGGATGTATCTTTGTCCCCAGCTTTTAAAACAAGTGGATTGGTTGAGCTACGCATCAATATATTACGAATATGTTGCTCAAAGGAGTCATCAGCAACTGCACGAAGGGGTGAACTGCCCAAGCCTGGTCCAGGATGGGAACAGAGGAGGGGAGGAGAGGAAGGGCGGATGGAACTCAGGAGGGGCAAGAGGATACACTCATAGCTGTTTGTGATGCAGATCATAGTGGCTCCAAGAGAGAGGTCTGACAAAATCACAAAACCACGCACAGGCGCAGACTCGCTTGTTGAGAGTGGTCTTGTACAAAGGATGTGCTCTACAATGCAGCGCTTCTCAGCTGACAGCTCCTGAAGACAATCCTTGTCCTCTTCACCTGCCCGTAGAAACTTTTGCAGCTTGTTAATCCAGATGAGCCCCACACTGTGCACCCCGGCCTCGTGGGTGCAGTGATACCTATGCTGGCACAGTGGATCTCTGTGCAAGCGAATGGGGCAAGTGAAATCAAACTCTTGGGGCTCTTCGTCCTCTCCTGTAGCCACTTTCAGAGTGAGCTCCAACTCCACACACTCAAACACATATAGCGCTGGTATTGCCTCCGAGCTGTCAAGCCACTTTTCAGCAGACTCTTCCTCTTCTTCAGACTCCAGCAGCACACAGTGATACAAAATGCCAGTTTCTGTGGCAATGATCAAGATGCTGGGCTCACATGGAAGACACAGGATGGCACAGGCGTCATATCCATAGTTATCCTCCGCCGCAGGGTACATAGGTAGAGGCCCAACCAGCTTGCTGAGAGTGATCGCGTTGCTTTGGCTCGCGTAGCTCACGTAAGTCTCTCCGTTTTCATAGAGGACATACAGGGGGTAGAGGGGGTGATCTTTGGAGCGCTGGGACGCCAGTTTTCGGGGAGTTGAGCAAACTGGACCGAAGTCAAACGCAACAGCTATTTCCCCAAGAGATGCAGCGAAGGAGCGCGCAGGCTGATGGGCAGAGCTGTCATCTTCAGACTGCGACAGTGAGAGGACTTTAGCTGGCGTCTGAGGGGAGTTCAAGCTGTAAAATCTCATAGTGTTGTCTGACATAAGTAACGCCAAGTAGGGCTCTCCAGTCTCGGTGGGGAACCATGCTGCCTGTCGTAGATTCACAGAAGGAGAGCTGGTGAAGAAGCGCTCAGCCACTGGGATGGTTCTGCAGTTTATCACGCTCTTTCCTCCTTCAAACTCAGACTTTTTACCCCATCTCTGCGGAAGCTCCAGCACGGAGACACCTCGCTTTCCAACGAGAGCCACATGATGTCGAGTTGGACTAAGCAAGACTTGGCTCACTTCAAAAAAGGGAGGATTGATGCACATGAGAGTCTGGTAACTCCCATTGTTGTGAGTGGAGTTTTGATGCAACAAGTTTAACTGTCGCAGGTTAGTGGTGTGAAAAGCGCGGGTGGTCTCATTCCAGAGAAAAAAATCTGCACCGAAACAAAAAGCGAGATTTTTAGCGACACTTCTCTCGTTCCCGTTCGCATCTGGTAGAAGATCATCACGAATTTCGGCAAAGATTGAATGATTTGGTAGATAACTTCGCCACAGTTCCGTGTCGAGCGCCGCCATCTTGAATCGCGGTGCGGAGACTTTACGACAGTTGTTTAACGTATTCCGATGCCCGGTGCCGTACGTTTTGCAGAATCACCACCATGGCGCTGAAAGAGACTGCGGGACTGTACGAGACGCTGAAGACAGAATGGAACAAGAAAAACCCTAATCTGAGTAAATGCGGAGATCTTTTGAGCAAACTGAAGGTACATCCTATGTTTATGTTATTGTAGTGTTACATTTCTCGATGGATGCTACTGAGGGCTAGCTACGACTATTGACTACAGACGCTCGTGATGCTAAGCTAATCCAGTTAGCATGTTTATATGATCAAGTTTGACGTTTAAACACCTTCAAAACATCATTTTTCTTAGACTATTGGCATGTCATTAAAACACTAACTTGACTCATGAGTAACAATTGACCTGAACGCGCTATATTATGGTTTTGTCATGAGATTCGCTTGTCAGCTTGTCACTGTTATTGTTTTGATATAGGTTTCATTACTCGCACTTAACTTTTTACCCACAACTGGATCTTCACTCACCAAGCAACAGCTCATTTTGGCCCGTAAGTACAAGCACCACAGACATCATGTTACTATCCCTGTGAATGTTGTAAACACCTTCTGATTATTATCTGTAGGTGATGTCCTCGAGATTGGAGCTTTGTGGAGTATTCTCAAAAAGGACATTCCCTCCTTTGAAAGATACATGGCACAGTTAAAGTGTTACTACTTTGATTACAAGTAAGTTATACCTTTGTGATGTACTTATTAACACATTGTTTATTGTATCTAAAACTTCTTATCTTTATTTTTAAAGGGATGAGCTACCTGAGGCTGCCTACATGCACCAGTTGCTTGGGTTGAACCTGCTCTTCCTTTTGTCACAGAATCGAGTCTCAGAGTTTCATACTGAACTTGAGAGGCTAAGTGCAAAAGATATTCAGACTAATGTGTACATCAGGCATCCAGTGTCCTTGGAGCAGGTAGAATATATATATTTACGTGGTTATTATTGTCAGATCTTATATTTTCATATTTTGTTCCCTATGTCTTTTGTCTAGTACCTGATGGAGGGAAGTTATAACAAAGTATTTCTAGCAAAGGGTAACATACCTGCTGAGAGCTACACTTTCTTCATTGACATTCTCCTCGATACAATTCGGTAAGGGCCAATGTCATTAGGTCTATAATAAAGTTAGAGAATGTAATTTAATGACTTTGGTTTGTTTCTGAATGTGTTGAACCCTTATTGAAAGTAACTTAAACTAACCATGCATGTGTTAAATTTCAGTGATGAAATTGCAGGCTGCATAGAGAAAGCATATGAGCAAATCCAGTTCAGTGAAGCCACACGAGTCCTCTTCTTTAGCTCCTCCAAAAAGATGACAGAATATGCCAAAAAGGTATTCATTCTCATATGAAAGGCTTGCACGTAATTATTTTAACACACATTAACCTCTACTACTCTTTCCCAACAGAGGAAATGGACCTTGAGTCCTGATGGACTATATTCTTTTACCAGTCAGCAGCAGCGCACAGAGGAGGTGAACATCCCATCTACAGAACTAGCACAGCAGGTCATCGAATACGCAAGGCAGCTGGAAATGATTGTGTAAAATTCGTATCTACTTTTCTGTAAATGTTTCTTTTTACTTATTATTTCCACTCAAACAGTTGGCCTTTGTTTGCAACATAAAATAAAGATAACAGAAAAACACTGTCTATTCTGAACTTTTACAAACATTTCAATAAATACTGTTTGTTGGTGACATTTTGACTAAACAATTGTCTTAAATTCCCTTAAAAATAAATATAAGAAAGAATGGTCAGTTTTGCATTTTTTATTTATACGTCAGCTTCACGGTCCAGCAGTATCAGACAGCAACAATTGCTTTGGCAATCTGTGTAGCTTCAGAGAAAAAAGTTACCAATAAACATGCAATTTAAACAAATTTTCTGATGCGGTCTGCTACCTGCTTGTTACAATGTTATAATGTGTAGTACACCATGAAGTCAAAGCTGGAATACCTAACTTTTTAACCACAAAATAAAACAAATTTAATCCATGTAACAGATTGTGCAAAACAATAGTCATTTTTTTTTTTTTTTTACTTTCTTTATGACCTCAGTCACATGTTTAGATCTACCTTTTCAGTTTGGAAGAAAATTGCTCCCAGTACGTAAAAGATGAAACATCTAATACAGTAAGCATTTATTTCCCCACAAAATGTTGCTTTCTTTTGAGAAAACGCATCTAATGAAACTATCAAAAAAGGTACTCCAGTTATAGCTCAAGTCAAGGGTAAAGAATTGATTGAAAATGTTGAATTGATCATACCTTTTTGAGTCCCCGGCTTCCTTTTGGGGCAATCCTTGTGCACTTCTGGTTGACAGTGAATGGCGGTGGCCTGCTGGTTGTCTCACAGTTTAGTGTAGCTTGTTTTTCAGAGTTCTTAGTGGTTTGAGATTCAGCCTTAAATTCTTTTGGCATATTCCCTGCACTAGAAGAGCTATCTTGGATTGAAACAGGTCTGATGTCCTGGTGCTCCACAGAACTAATCCCTGATGGTTGGAGCTGTGAGGGTGAATTGGCATTTTCAGTGAAGAGCTGTGGCTGATTTGATAGTCCCTCATTTGTTTCTCTGGTCTCAGTTTGATGAGAGCTTTTGCTGCCATCTTCTGGTTGATCGGTGGCTTCCGTGTGTTTCTCAGCCACACTATTCTGTGTTTTGCAGCCACACTCTGTTTTCAGTTTCATTTTCCATGTTTCTTGTTTTGCTTTTGCTTCGAGCTCTTCATATATCTTAATTATCGTGGGTACTTGGTTGTTCTTGTCTTTGATTCCAAATCTGTGTATAAACAAACAAATCTTTCAATACAAATTCTATACTATTCTTTTCTATTCATGGGTTTAACCAATTATCATTTTGGACCATCTTCATATAGATTAGTATATTCAAACAATGGATGGACAAAAAGCACTCACCTGGCAGCATCAGGGATTCTGAAAGTTGACAATATTTTGTGTATTGATTTTGCACAGAGCTCTTCGTATATCTTTATTATCACGGATACGTTATTGTTCTTGCCTCTGTTCCCAGATCTGTGTATAAACAGATATGAAAAAATAAAAAAATCGTTTAGCTATCCGATCCAATCCACTTTATTTATATAGCACATTTCATAAAAACAGTTTCCAAAGTGCTGCACAATAAAATACTAATTAAAACAAATCCATAGCATTAAAAATAAAATAGGAAAAACCATGTGCATATATGTAAATATAAAAATAGCAATACAAAAATAAAAAAAAGATAAAAGCTAAGAACAAAAAAATGGGTCTTAAGACGAGACTTAAAACACTCCACAGAGGGAGCAGTTAGAATATGGGGGGGCAGAGCGTTCCATAGCTTTGGTCCAGCCACAGAGAAGACAAGCTATGTCCTATTTTAATAATTTGGTTTTAGAATTGTATAAACGTGTTTTAACTCCATATTGTTATTGTAAAATGAATGAAGGTTTAAAAAAAATAAAAAATAAATAAACATCCTAAACATATGATGTGTAACTACTTAAAACTACTTAAAAGTACCTAACTTTTGGCTGAGCTGATTGGCTAAGTGATGGCACTGGCACGTTATTAAGATGTGGCCAAAAATACACAGAAACTAGGGTTGAGAGTGAAGAACTAGTTACATAGATTTGATTAGACAGTTTACTCAAAATTTGGTACTGCAGCTTTAACCCTTGTATTATGTTAAGGGTCAATTTGACCCATTTCAGTTTTTGAGTTGATCAAAGTACTGGTTATCCTTTTTTTTTCTTGCTGAAATTTGGTGACTTTTCCTCATCTAGGGTCATGAACTGGTGTGTAAAATCTGGACACTTTGATGTGTAGTGGAATGTCTGTGCAGAGTTTGTATACAAAGATGATGTTGCGGGTCATTTTGACCCAGACGCTTTAATGTGGGTAAATAGTTGTTCAGATCCAAAAAAACATGTCTCTTTGACATTGTACTTTGATTGCCTCTAAGACCCAGAGCCAGGTGTGTGAAGAGAGGGAACTTTCTCACACTTGTCCTTGTCACTGTTCTCATGTCATCTCTTTTGCCTAGCGTACATCGGACTGGCAACTCATTATATCCGTCGCATATGAGTTGCTGCCCCGCACACATCGACAATCTGGCGTAAACGGGCAACTCCTGTATCAGGCCAGTCTCGGGAATCACAGGAATAATAGTTGACAGCAACTGGCCTCAACTACAGTGTGTTTTCTGACATAAACTGTGGAGGGCGCAATACACGCAATACACACATGTTGTTGGAGCACATCGGGTCATATCTCCGGATCTGAGGACAACTAGTTGCCGAAAAGTAGAACACGGGCAACTGATTGAAACCGGAGATCAACTGTTTATCTCCAGTTGTAAGAACGCTCACATCGACCGATTTCGGCAACTGATCATCTCCATCATCTACTTTCAGTTGCCAAAAGCCGCCTTGCAACTAGTTGTCTCCAGTTACTCTGTCGATGTGCGCTAGGCTTTAGACAAACTCACCAAAATGAGCTTCAGAAGGATGACATCTGAGGAGGCTTTATCAAAAGATTTTTAACTGGGATAATGATGTAGAGGAAGAGACTTCAGAAACAGAGGATTTTTCAGAGACAGAGGACAATGTTATTGCTGATCCAGATTGTCAATTTTCCTACGATAAGGAGGATTCAAAGGACGAATCTTTGGTCAAGGAAAGAGGAAGGGAGGACGGACGGAAGATAGGAAGGAAAGAAGGGAGGAAGAGAAAAGAAGGGAATAGATGAGGATGAACAGAGAGAAGGAAAACAGGATGAGAAAAAAGAAGGAGAAAGCATGGCAGGAGGAAAGAATTGTCATTTTGACCCGAGAGGAGGAAAAGAGGATTAGACTAAATATTTCTTAAATATAGCGTTGGAATTAAAAATGTATTGTATGTCACTTTTCTAAATATTTATATAACCTAAAATAAAGTTGTTATTGGTTTAACCTGTTTTCTTGACTGTTTTGAGTGCATTTACACAGTACGGGTCAAAATGACCCGCAACATAATCAATGTCATTTTTTTTCAACATAATACAAGGGTTAACCTAATAGTACAACAGCACGCACCTGGTAGCAGCAGGAGGCCACCGTAGTTGTATTTCCATCCCATTGTTGTCTTCAGAATCCTTAACATCAGTTGCTTTCCTTTCTGTCTTTTTAACTTCTGGTTCCACTCCTTGCCCAATCCCATTTTGTGTTTGTGGCTGTGTCCTTTCTGGTTTAGCAGTTGCACTTTTGTCTGACTTTTTCTTTTCATCATGAGAAGGCAGTCGTGTTGATGGTTCCTGCGTGTGCACATGATCTCCCACCTGTAGGGCAGCACCTGTGTTTTCATTTTGACTTTCTGCTTGTGGAAAAGGAGCCCTCACATCATCATGTAGCGTCAGTATGATGGAAGAGTCACTTGGTGGGACTGCTTCACAAATGGCTGCGGGAAGCTCTTCAGACAAAAGCAACTCTGGTAAATATATGTCTGGAAACTCGAATGTTACAGGTGGTATTGTCTGCTATTGTTTTTTCTTTGGCCTTTTCCTTTTACTGCATCCACCACCCATTTTGTTTACGATTACCTTCCTGCAAGAAAGTGAAGAGAAAGTTGTGGAAAACAACATGGTAGCATATATCACAAATAGTAGACTTGCCAAAATAACAACAACAAAAGAAACTACATGTTGCTAATTTGATTGCAGTTATGGTACATTTATAGTGTTAAAAATAAAAAAGGTTTAACTGACCTGTTTTGACTTGCTGAGAACGTGCTGACCCTGAGTGAATCTGTTTGAACATAAATAATTTCTTCAAAAATCTTCAAAACACGTGAAGACTGTATACATTTAAAATTCACCCATAACATTCTATTGTGTCTCATGTGCATCTTTTTCAAACGATTAATGAATTAACCCTTTAAGTGCAAAATTATTGAATCCATGACACATTCTACAGCGACCTGGCTTCCCACAAATTTCACACATCAACTCTGACCCTTTTTTTTGTTATTTTTTGTTCTTATTTTATTGTTTCAACTTGTTTAAAGATTAACTTTTTTATTAATGTTTTTGTTATACTTTTATTAGTTTTTTATTGGTTATTGCTTTTTCCTGTACTCTATCTCTTTTGAAGCTTCAGGGCTCCACATTTTAGGGTTAATTATACAGCCGGAGTTGCACTTTTTTTTTCTCCTCCCTTAAATTCAACTACATCGCCTTGCACTAACACAACATGCAGTTTTAGTTTATTCAGTGTCATTGGGTGTAGCTGGCTCTTGAAAACTTGTGTTAAAATTGCTAATGAAAGAAGTATTTAACTTGGGCCTATATCTTCCAGTCATATATATACACCAACAGACTCAGATTTAAAAGTAACATAATTTTATGAGATAATTGCATCATTTTCATCTGAATGTTGCACGACTTTCCCTCTTTCTGATCGGAGCTGGTTTTACAGGATCTGTATGGACATGACATGAAGCGCTTTGTACTGGTGCTGTCCGTGGTGCTGAACTTCACCGGAGGCGACAATCAACACCAGCGAGTCGCACAAAGATAAATGAGCAGGTATATATCCGCGTATATATTGTAAACACACACAAACAAGTAAAAGCCCCGCACATGATGTTTCAGACTTTATGTTTGACGCTTTTTTAAGACATTGAGCTGGACAAATTGGAGGTCATTGATGGTTTATGCAGCTTGATACACACCACACGTCACCGCATCTATCATCAAGTGAGAGCTACTTTTCACTCATTTGCAATCACATGGCCCCAGTGAAACACCCTATAGAGAGGCACACGTTGCAGTCAGTGTCGTACAGGGCAGGTAGAGTGAGAAAGGGAAAGAGGCGACGCGAGGGAGTGATTTGAAGTAAGAGGGAGGCAGGGAGGGAGGGAGGATGCTGCCAGCGGAAAATGGCTGCTGCAACCTCAAACCTATCTTGATACACCGAAACGACATAAAGGTGGGGAGAGAGAGAGGTGCCGGAGTAGCAGAGAAAGGCAGCGGAAGATTGGCAAAATGAGAGCCGAAAAACCGAGGATGTGAGAGCCGTCTTTCCTGAACGGAGGATATTTGAGGAGACCCAGGCTGCTGCAAGCGGCGGGCTACAGCGAGCCATGGAGGGCGAGTAAGTCCTTACATTTTCATTTCTAACATTGCAATCAGACATTTGTCAAGCCATCCAAGCACACTGACAGAGCGAACAGCAGCGCCATGGATCTACTCCAATAAGCCAGCATCACGCACTGGCTGTATTGTCACAAGCGGTGCACTTCAGTTTAGCTGGCAGCCGAGGATAAAAACACCATTACGTAGTCCCCAGGCAACATTATACGGCCCATTTCCCATAGATCCAAGCCAATATGTGATCAATGTACAAGCAGCCGCCGTGTGGACTTGCGCTTTTGGACAAACGGCTCTTATATTGTCCAAGAAACTGGGGAGAGGTGTCACGTTAAACAAGCGACATAAGCAGCGCTCTTCTACAAAGTCATTGCGTGCTTAGCAAATGGCAAAAAACAGTCACGAAATCAGCCAATATGTAAAATGTGGGAAAAGGCAAAATGTGGCGAGGCCAGTTTGCGTCCAGAAAGAAGCGCCTTTACTTCTACCACAGAAGAATGAATGCGTTTGCTTTTTTATCAACGTGTCTCGGGCTTTCATTATGATTTTTAAAGCCAAACTTTATGAATGAAATGTGATTTTTCCCCCCCCTCCTCGCGCTGCCTCCTCACCCTTCCTCTCCTCCTTCCCTTCTCTAATGGCCCCCTCCCCCATCTCTTGTTTCCTCCCCAACCTCTCTCCCACTCGCTCTCTTTTTCACACGCGATTTTATTTAGACCAAATAACAGTTCCGGCGAAATATGTAAGGCACTGGGCGATGTCGAAGCCAGACTGGTTGCGTCCCATTCATAAAAAAATCTGGCTTCATATAGGCCTGCATTAATGAGCGCGCGCGGGGCGTTATGGTGGAAACTAAGTAGGATCTGGCTTTAGAATCAAGACTAACATTTATATTTTAACCGATGTACAACACTGGAGCATCAACGCTGCTTTATGTGCGCTTATGAATCGTCGAATAGCGTGAAGGCTGTCTTAAGAATGTCAGGCCTCTGATGGCGAATGGGTGCGTTCATTGATACATCTATGTGGGAAACTCATTCTCCCTCCCTCCGCCTGTTTGGCCATTCTCATCTCCTCGGCGCTGCTTTTGCTTTTTATTCAGTTTAAACACCTTTCTTTTCGAGTTTCACGTTGAATCACAGTTTGGACTGCTTTTAGAGGCTGATGCCAGCACAATAGACTTCTTCAGTGTCTCTCATGTTTACATTATAATGCTCAATAAAATGGCAACCTCTTGTTCGACAATGTAAGGATTACAGTAGGCTATTTGGATGTGTTATTATTAGTATGTATAGTGTGTGGATGTAGGCTTGCTGGCTAGGCTGAGCTGAGCTTGGATACATATTTAATCACATAGAATAAATCATGTATTGTATGATAATGTATAATGTATAATGTATTCATTCAGAAAATAATTTGAGAAATGTTTGTATGTCCCCCCTTTACACCTGTTGATATAAATAACAACTTTGGCAGTATATGCATTGTTATTTTTGTGCGTTAAATGCCTCATTATGTATATGTTCATAATTTTTACTTTATCTAAACATGATTCCCATTGAGATTCAAAGACCTCTTTTCCGAGGGTGTCCTGGCCAAGAAGCATCCACAATACAACAATAAAAACATCCCATCATTATATTCAATTAACCTGGCTATCATTTTCTACCTTCTTTGACTTCCCAGTGTACGTGTTCGTGCAGTGGTGATGACACGTGATGACTCCAGTGGCGGTTGGGTGCCCCTCGGAGGTGGTGGCCTGAGTCATGTGGTCATATGTAAGGGGCGGAGTGAAGGCCGAGGACGCAGAGAGTACATCATACGAGGAGAACGGCTGCGAGATCGAGCAGTGAGTGTGTGGTCTTCCTGGAGGTTATGGCACAGCTGATATGGTGTCCTGTTTGGTGTAACTGTACATGTGTGGTTTGGGGTTGGCTCTCTTCTTAGCCGGTGTTGGAGTGTGCGGTACAAAGAGGGCTGGTGTACAACAAGGTCAACCCCATCTTCCATCACTGGAGGGTAGAAGATCGCAAGTTTGGCCTCACATTCCAGAGCCCTGCTGATGCCATCTCCTTTGAGAAGGGGTTGCAGGCCGTCATAGACAAACTTGACAGAGGTATTATTGTCTTTTGCAACTGTATATCCAGAGATTTCTATCATGTTTTAAAATAAGATAAGAGATCCTTTATTTGTCCTACGGCAGATACATTTCAATGTTGCAGCCCACATACAAGATAGTAGTAGGAGCACACAGGGAGCTGTAAATGCTTCAATATCAATATATTGATATATTTTTCAGAATCAGAATCAGAATAATTTTTATTGCCACGTAAGTAACAGGAAGTTACATACTTGGAAATTGCTTTGGCTCAGTGCAACAGTCAGAGAGAGATAATAAAAACTAAAGAATAAAAAACACTTCTAAGGAATACATTTAAATTACAGTTACAGAGTTACCGTTACTATTTACAATATACAAGTGCACATGGTGCACACAATGTACGGTGACAGCAGTACAGTGAAGTAAAGTGACGTATGATGGGCAGTAAAGTGACTTTATAAAGGGCGGGGGGACAGGTTAAGAAGTGTTTTTGTATATATATATATACGTATACAAATATATATATATATATATATATATATATATATATATAGTTTACATATAGTGTAATAGTGTAATGTACATGAAGTAGTGTAGTGTAATACATTTAGGGCAGGATAATAAGTAGAAAAAGGGACATTCAGTGGACCTTCTGTAGTTGCAGTATTGATCATTGAAAATGATTACAGTATTTACTATTTGCAGATGAATGACATTTTCAGTATCATTCTCAAATTATAACATAGTTGGAGGACAGTAGTTGATATGTACTGACAAGATTTAGTTTAATGTGCACTGGCCCCATAAAGAAACACGCTCCAAACTTACATTGGACTGACCCTTGACACTTACTGTACCATAGTCACCAGCAAGGACTACAGCTGCCCTCCTCCACAATTTTAAGCCATAGGCTCTTTGGAATGTGGTGATGTCACATAAAAGCAACTATTAAATCCACTATTATATTTCCTTTTGAAAAGGCTCAGACTCCCCATCATCCTCAACCCCTGAAGAGGCTGACACAGAAGATGATGGCCAAGCGGTAAGTTTCCACCACTTCTGTTTGTCGTGATGAGGCATCGTTTATGTTGGAGTCCAGCTTGTGGAATGACTTTGAATCTTTGTCAGTCTCATACAGGAAGTGAGTCATCATCAAACAGTAGGAAGGAAATGCTTCCTAAACCCATCACCATCGTCACAAGTGAATCGTCCTCAACCTGTTTTGTACGAACAGAGGAATTTGGCTTTGGTTCCAGTCATGCTGTCACAACACAAACTCCTGCTCAGGTAACTTTTGTGCTATTAAACATTGGCTTGTGGCATTGTGCTAATGATTACTACAGCTAATTGTAGAGAAGAGAGAATGCCAAATGTCCCATCCCTTTTTCAAACACTCTTGAAATTATATTCTTGTGTGTACTTTCACTGCCGCTGTAAACATAGTCCTTGGTCCATTTTGTAATCCTATACCCTCTCGTCAGATCCACACTCGGCCCGGACAGCACCAGCTTTCACAGATGTCGGCTGTTTTGAATCCTCCTGCTCCTCCGCCTCCTCCACCTGCTCCTCCGACGCCTGGCCCTCCTGCATCATCTCCTCTGTCCCCACTTTCTCCCACCATTTCGCTGTTAGAGGAGGGAGATCTGCGCAGCGTTGACCCCTGCAAAGACCTGTGGGGCTCCAGGGGCTATGAGGACTACAGGCGACCTGTGGCTACGAGGACTATGGTGGGGGGCCTGACAGGAGGGGTAGTCGTAGGCAGTGGAGTTAGTCTGGAGGACAAGTCTGAGCTGTGCGTGGTGCGATTCGAGAAGGATCTGGCAGGAGTAGGGACGACTGGCTGTGATGTGACCGTCAGTTTGGACAGTAAAGCATCTCAACGTCTGTCCTCATCCTCCCCCACTTGCATGTCCATGTCCAACGCTGTCTCCGGGATGTCCTCAGGCGGCGGATCACCCCAGGACACAGGTAAAGGGTCCCCCTCTCCTTGCTGCATTCACGCCTCTTTAGCTACGCCTAGATCACGGACTCGTAAGAGAGGAGGAGGGGCTAGCAGTAGTGGTGACCCCGGGGTGATTTCCCCAGATGATGACAGCCCGTGTCCTCAGGCATCATCATGCTCGTCCCGCTGTGTGTACTGCCGTTCTGTGTTCAGCGCCTCCGAGAACGGGAGGGGCCGCTGTAGAGACGCCCCTGACCCGGCCCTGCACTGCCTACGCCAGTGGACATGTGTGTGGTGTGCAGAAAGTCTGCTCTACCACTGCATGTCGGACTCTGAAGGAGAGTTTTGGGAGCCGTGTTCGTGCGATGACTCACTAGGGGGCCAATCGCACTCCTTGTGCTGTGCGCGCTGGCTGGCCCTCCTCGCCCTGTCAGTCTTTGTGCCCTGCATGTGCTGCTACCTGCCTTTGCGCGCCTGCCTGCGCTGTGGAGAGAGGTGTGGCTGCTGTGGGGGGAAGCACAAAGCGGTGCGATGAGGCCAGGCGCGGGGGTGGGAGGGGTTTACTGGACCAAATGTGGTTTGGATGTTGAGATTAGCACATATAGGCACGCACCACATGGAGCAAGAGCGAGTGTGGGGCCTTCCTCCTGGGCCCCGCCTGCTGAAGGTGCCCTGCGCTCACAAGGATCTGTGAGCATCATCTCAAGCCTTCGTAATGGATCTGCAGAGAGTTGGCAATCTTCAGACACCCGTGAGAGAAGGGCAACGATAATGTGTACACTGTTTCAAATGTTTTGTTTCTTTTTATTTAGAAAGAAAACACACAACTAAAGATGTTTATATATATAATTGTTATCCTTTTAATTGGTATATTTTATTAAATGTAAAACATATTGACAGAATCCCCCAGTGGCACACACATTCAAAACATGGTCGAAAAGTAATCTGTTTTGTGCTAGCCTGTTTATCCATCAGATATCAAGCAGATATCACCCTTTACCTCTGATTTTACCTCAGACCCCAAGGTAAAGAAGTCAAAGTGCGGAGAGGCCCCTTCATTGTTGTCTTTTGATTGAGTAGTTTACCACAAAAGTTGTGATTGAGAGATAGTAAGGGAAGTTGCAATGACAACCACTAAGACTAAAAGTCAAAATGTTATTCATTGTGGTCCTTGGTAACCATAAAATGGGGATTTTTTTGTAATCATAAAATCCAAAATATGTGTCAATCATAAAACACACATTGATTATTTAATTTATTGATGTATTTGTAAAATATTGAGCATATAATACTTTACATGGTACCACTATACTTGTTAAATCAGTCAAGGTGCTTTCAAGTGAGGCTTCTGATTAGGTTTATTCTACCTAATGTATACAGCCATCATCGAGTCCCAAAGAGCAGTGAAGCAGGACCCTGGGTGTCTTTCCTTTAAGGTGGACACTAGCAAATGTGCAATGAGCAAAAATGATATTAAATGCATAACTTCAGGGTTAAAGTTAGAGACTTTTTGGGTAGACAAATTGTATAACTGTCGAAAAACAAAAGCGAAACAACATTATCGTTTTGTGCAGCATGTGAGTCTCAAACTGCACAGAGCAGACGAGAACAGGACCAAACTCTTTGTTAGGGAACAGTTGAGAATATGTTTGTTGAATGTTGCTTTAAATATGAATGGAAACGCTGCTATTTTGCCCTCATGCAGACCTGCAAAGTGGTGCAACAACGTCCAAATCTAAGTCTAAATATAAATCTAGTCTATATTGTGGTTTAGAATATGCAAGGCACGACAAACCAGGCAAAGAAATGTTTTATCAGCTTAGGTTACGGAGAAAAAGCTGTACGTAAATGTACCATGCTTTATGAGGATGTATAAAGTTGCAATGTATAGGATTTGCAAAGGTTTTCTCATGTTTGTTCCATCAAGCATTTGTTTTCTGTCATTTCTCGATTTCACATCTTTGATTTGAATTTAAGAAAGCACTTCCTTCATCTCCATCATCAGTAAAGCTTTTTTCTACAACTCATTTAGCCGTACTAAATCCTGCACAGTGCACCTTTAAAACAATCGCTTGAATAGTAAAAACGTATAATATTCAGGATTTATAAGACAGTATACGTAAACAGCTTAGTCCTCAAGCAGCATACTTGATTTGTTCGTTTTATTGAGAACAAGTTAAATGCATTTGACCATTGAGTAAAGTTAGTCCCTATAGAGTGGTATAATACTGTGAAATACATATGGGGGAAATAAATCCTGATTATTATAGCAATCACAGGGTATTTGTACTAATAAAATGCTGAAATTTTGTAATAAAAATGGGAAATAGTCCAGAAAATCAGCGTATTATGAAATCTATATTGAAATGTAATATGGCTTATGATGTTATGGCGATTACAGTGTTGTTTGTGGAGACCCTTTTTTTACGGCAGAATGAACCTTTCAGATGCTTCACCAAACTTATATTTAGGTTTTAGCCACGAACTGTTATCCAAAGTGACTTAATGTGAACAGGCAGCCAGAGGTGTTTCGACCAGGGTTAAGTCCAGGCCCTTTCTGCCACCAGTGAAGCTACAGTATCTTGTCAAAATGGCGGGGAACACAAACCTAGTTGGTCACGAGACTGCCATTTTCTCATCTTGAATTACCGTCTCACCCACACACACCCACTCCCCACAATTCTGCAGTGCGAATCCTGCACACTGACGCACATGTTCACTCAATGGTGCAGACACAAACTAGTAAAGCCATCGCACACCGTTTGCTACTCCTGGTTCATATTTAGTGTTAGAGGCGAGGACAGCACTGAGTCATGCAATCACACCTGCAGGCCCCATTCTTACATCTTAATAAATGTGCCTTTTGATTTGATTAATCAATAACGTATTATTTCAAAGTAACTCTGTATTAAGTACTATTTACATTTTGGGTTTTTTATTTAATCTTCTTTTTTTTTTTTGCCAATGTGCATATTTTTGATTGTCTGTATTTATTTATGTTTCAAAGTAATTCTTGAAATATTACTTGTTTATTTATTTATTGAGATATTTATTCTGATTTATTTTTTGAGACAGGTTTTTATCTTCCGTGCTGTCTTACTTCTGACTTGTGCCAATGTGCTGCTTTGAGGTGTTACATATCGTGGGTTTGTATCATTATTAAACCCTCACTCTATATTTTACACAAGTGTCTCTCATCTCTCCGCACAAACATCAAGAAAGATCGGTTTGAAAATTCTTCATTTTATTTTATTTATTTTATCTTTACAAGGGGTTAGTGGCTGGTTATTTGATGGTATACATGTGCTGTCGCTTGTGTTTAAGGATCTCAGTTGAAGTCAGAGTAAGATCTTTATCACAAATGTCACAATGGTAAACTCTACTCAAACTGGACATGGACGAGCTCGGCTTTTCACTCACAGTTTCTGCAAAGGAAACGCAAAAAGGGTTAGGGTTACTACAAATTTAGTAAATTTTATACACACTCCAGTATAATGCAATAGAAAGAGGCCAAATAAAAAACGCACCTTCTTCAGACTGCTGCTGTTCCCCTGGTGGCCTGCAGGTGGCCTCGTGCTGCATGCGCTCCAGCGGTGTGAGAGGCATGTAGAGATCACAGTTTGGACAGGTCCAGAATGCGCGAAGACATTCACTGTACAAGTCCCTGGAGTCCTATAAGACAGACCACACATGTGTTTTAGAAGCTGCTTTTAAGCAATTCATCTCAATCAAATAAATAAAATAGATTGTAAAAGAGGATCAAATTATAAGACAGTAAATTCAATAATCAAGTTCTCCATCCAAGTAGATGTTGACTGCCTTAAAAACAAGATTTGCCAATGGGAAGATCATTTTCTCATTCCACGTGAGAATTTGCTTTTCTCTTTTAGTTTTTTTTATTGCCCCATTTTCAAAAGAAATCAGAAAAAGCTACTGAAGTAAGTTTATGAATCTTTGCAATCCACTAGGCGACAAACATTGTCTGTTTTGTATTGTAGGTAATTCAATGACTTACAGACAGACAGTTGTAGTTGAAAAAGCTGGTGACACAAAGGCCTCCCTTAATGGGATCTGGTTTGGCATCCACTCCTGGAAAAATGGGGTTTCCTCCTGGGAATGTGGAGTCCTCGGACTGTGGGCCTATGTACAGGTTCTGTGTCTGTAAAGCAGTTAGCCTGCGGATACTGTATCTGACCTTTGAAAACCAAATAATTAGATAATTAGAGAATGATCATTAATTTTGTATTAAAAATAAGTGGAGTGTGCACCTCAGTGTACAGTAGAAAGCGAACCAGGCCTTCACTTAATTTCTCGAGATCTTTTCTGGACACTCCCCTGGCTAATGTTTCCTCCAGAGATCTCTGGCTCAGCTGATGGACAAGAAGACGCTCCCAGTCTGCTCTGAGGGAAAGTGCCGTGGACAAGATCTTCAGAGCTTCCTCCGGCATTCTGAACTCCACCTCCAGCCATCCATCCACCACAAGCCGACTGCAGTCTGCATTACTGTCCACAGCGTTGGCCACAAGCAGTAACATCTGAGGGGAACAGGGATAATAGATACAGCCATAATTTATGTATATATTTTAAATATGTTTGTGAGAGGTAGTTTTGCTTCTTACAAACAAATTCACGGTTATTAGTGGTTCAAATGAGAGAGCACTACCTGCAAGGCTGGAACTCGAACACAGTTTGTCAGATATGGTTTGTTCGTCTCTAGCAGAGTGACGAAAGCGAGGAGCTGATGTTTGCTGCTGTTTTTCTTGGTAGGTGCTATTGGAATGAAACACACAGGAAGTAAGTTTAAAATGTAGTACTTAAGGTGCTAATGTACAATTGTTTTCTTAATCTTTGAATCAAATGCATCCATTTTACCCTCTCTTCCGTCATCCTCAGGAACTTGTAACACCTCCGGATCACTGGCAAAAACACTTGTTGGATGGATCACAACCCCCTGCTTACTCTTTGTGTGAAACACCTAAAACAACAATGAGAAGATATTTAATTTAAAGGAGACCTGCAACTGTGAACTGGTCGCCCCAGACCCGGACTCATGGGCTGCATGTTGTGCAGGAGTGTTGAGGCTCCTAGATGGGAGGGGGTCCCATCTAGGAGCCTCAACACTCCTGCACCACACAGCCTCAGTACTCGTTCTACAGTCTGTCCGGATCAAGCCTGGATCCCTCTATCAATGTGGGCCTCTCAGAGGTTTGTCACACATTTTTCCACTGTTTTTTGGAGTCGTTACTTGCATATGCAGAAGGGTCAAAAGAGAATGACAATCTGGGACATTTATGGACATTTATTAACATTTATGGACATTGGTCATCCCACTCCCAATGGACCAATGGCTTCTATGCGTTTGTTAATTAAATAATTTAAATGTGTGTTTTTAGAGGTGTGTCTGACCTGGTCGGAGTCCTTGCGGGCGGTGTTGTGTTCATCTGGTAAAGCCAGTTGTGGATAAAGCCCTCGACAGACCAGAAGTTTTAGAAGTGCCTGTTTTCTGGAAGAGAGGTCCTGACAGGCGCCCACAGCATCCTGCAGCTCAGAGACGTTATGACGCAACTTGAACTTCACCTCCTGATGATGGAAAACAGAACAATCAACAATTAAGACATGGAATACATTTAAAAGATGTGTAGGTTCTACAGTTGTCCAGGACATCCATGTTGTCTTTAAAACACTTGTACCTGTATGTCCAGATTCTGTCCTGCTCCCTCTTTGTCCTTCTTCTTCCTGCCTCTGTCCTCAGTGTCTGACCCTGATGAATCCTCCTGACCTTCCTCCATTCGCAGGACTTTACGTTTGCTTCCCTCTTGTTGCTCGTGATCTCTCTTCATCTGATGCAGCTTCCTTCTCTCCGACAGCCGCTGCATGCGCTGCCCGCGGTCACCACTAGAGGAGGCCTTGTCTTCTGATTCCAACAAGCCTTGGGTTTTCAATAACTCCTATGGAAATAATCATCCAATATTAGATTTATTTTCAAAAAGTTATGCCAAAACAGTGACCTGCCTTGAATTGCCTCCGTAAGTTGACCATCTCATAAAGTCGCTGCTCCTCCAGACCTCTTCTACGACACCACTTCCTCGAGCCTCCACCTCGCTCTCCCTTCACCTGTACAAAGTAAATATGTTTTAGCTTTTAAGGCAGAATGGGGTTATGGCAGAATAAATAGTTTACCTCAACCCAGGAATTAAAGGTATTGAGCAAAGTAAAAGGATCTCCCTGGTTGCTGTGCAGCGGTTGGCGAGCCGTGGCGCAGTCTGGGTTATGCTGTGAACTGCGTAGAAAAGGAGACTGGACACTGAGAGCTGCTGCTATGGTCAGAACAGGCTCCACCAGGTTAAACACAGAGCCCAAAACCAACATCTTTCCTGAAAACACATGTTAGGCAGATTACCTTCACATCTTTCAAGTTCAAACTGCTTTAATCACATGAAGGAAAAATCACCTATGACCACGTCCACTGGAAGTTGGGCCAGTAATGTCCCAATAGTGGTTAGCTCGGCTCGACTGTCCAGAGCGCCTTGGTCTTTGAGGTAGGTCACTGCGGTCTGGATACTAGCAGCAGGAGGAGGATCAATGAAGACAAAACTGAGTGGATCGCCGAGATTCATGCTTTTCATCTGTGGTGACAAGTAACAATGGATCAAATAGATCCTGATGGTAAAAGTATGGTCTCTATGGTCACTTACTTGAAGAACTAATGAGTCCAAGGCCACTCTGTGAATTTCTGGCACAGGATATGGAGCAAATGCATCATAGTCAGATTCTGCATACAGGCGATAGCACACTCCAGGGCCTGTGCGACCTGCACGGCCTTTTCTCTGTTCAGAGCTGGCTCTACTGATCCAAAATTCCTGCAAACGCTGCATTTTGGCTTTAGGATCATAACTCATTTCTTTTACTTTTCCTATAAATAAAACAAGAACGCCACCATTTAGATCTCTGTCCTTAATTGACAATAATGCATCAGTTTTATTTAGCATTACTCATCACAGTGGTGATTATCGAAAGTATATAATGTTATATATTTTTCTATTTATATAAAAATATATAAGATTAAAAGTGTATATAATAAAAAAAAATTGCTTTTTACAAAAAATACCTGAGTCAACAACAAATCGCACTCCATCAATTGTCACTGATGTCTCAGCTATATTTGTAGAAATAATGCACTTTCTGACCCCAGGAGGCGAAATGTCAAAGACCTGTAACAGAAAATGAATGAGTTGTAAGTAAAGCCAGTTTTAAAGTGTCCATGGAGGAAGTACCTTATCCTGTTGGGCCAGAGACAGTGTGCTGTGCAAAGGTAAAATGATCCACCGCCGTGTGTGCGTGGCATAAACCTGACAGGCCTCTTGGATTGTGGAAATTTCTGTCACACCACTGAGGAAGATGAGGAGGTCTCCGCGTTCTTCTGGGGGATATCGCTGGTCAATGCCCTGAAGAATGCGCAGGTACGGTCGGGGGTCAAGCTTTTCCGAACGGGACACTTGCTCTTCAGGTAGGATCGGTTTGTAGATCACCTGAAAAGTAGAAAGTTGTGTTATTATATGTTTTTACAAATTTGTATATTCTAATCTAACATTTAACATCATCACAACAACATCATTTAACCCCTACTTGAACTGACTTTGAGGTTCATTACCAAAAATTATTATCGAGATGTATTCTTTTCTCCATATCGCCCAGCCCAACACACCACACAGTTCAAGAATGAAAACTCCAAACTCCAACAAAACAATAATTTGAACATAACTGATTGCACAATAAAAACAGACATTATAAGATGATAAACATGTACTACCTGTATGGGGAACAACCTCCCTGGCACCTGCAGCACCGGAGCACTGTGGAAATATTTTGAGAAGAGGTTGATATTGATGGTGGCCGACATGAGGATGAGCCGAAGGTCTGAGCGATTTTGCAAAAGAGAGCGCAGCACTCCGAGGAGAAAGTCACAGTGGAGATGCCTCTCATGGACCTCGTCAACGATCAGGACCTGGTACTGAGACAACTCTCCGTCCTGTTGGATCTGACGCAGCAGCAGCCCCTCGGTCAGGAATATCAGTTTAGTAGACGTGGTCCGGGTTGTTTCAAATCGTATTTGGTAGCCCACCTGGATAACAGATAACCAGTTTAGAATAAGAAATAATACTCACATATACCAAAGCAATGTTGGGGAGTAGACATAAACCAGGAATGCATATTCATGTTACCATTTCTGAACACCAACTGTATTCGAAATACATTACTTTTGGTATTACAAATATAGTCACTTAAAAAAACATACTTTATTATTTGATCAGGTAAGAAAAAAAAAGAATGGTGCAAAAGATCCATCAGTGCAAGATAGAATTAAGAAAATGAGTGAAACAGCGTATTTTACGGACATAGAATACAGTCCTCTAATTGGAACAGTTAGAGGAACATGTTTCAAAATATATTCTAAATCAGGTATTTAGTATTTCGTACTGTATGTAAGTATGTAATCTCCCCAACACAAACTATAAGAATAGCGGGTTGCTGTTATTGTGGCAGACCTTTGAGCCATACTGGTTGAGGCTTTCAAAGCTGACCCTCTTGGCCAGCGATATACACGCGATTCTTCTTGGCTGAGTGCAGGCGATCTGTGAGAATCCTGCAGACAGGAGATACTGAGGCACCTGCGTGGACTTTCCACAGCCTGTGTCTCCCGCTACAACAACTACAGGGTGGCGTCTCACAAGCTCTATTATACGGTCCTTGTATTGGAAAATTGGCAAGTTCTTCTGTTCCCGTCGAAGTTTTGCGAGTTTTATAAAGCTCTGTTTTTGAGCAAAGTCTAGAAAATGCAGATATGAGAGGCGACATTCAGCGATTTCTTCAAGCCCTGGTCCCGAAGAGCGGCCGCCTTTATACTGCTTCCCCAGACGCTCTTCAATGTCTTTGGTGCACACAGAAATGTTGATTTTGTACCGAGCATCGTAGTCACTCGGAAGCCCCAAGTCCACTTCCTTGTGGCCACTTTTACTTTCCTTGACCATGCCGTTTTCTGAGCTACAATATCCCGACATCTCCCTCTTTGTTTTGAATCTCTGGAAACGGTCAAAGAAAGCCCAGAAGTCCTTGTGCTCCGAAGTCCCACTATGAATGTAGTCATGTTGTCTGAAGAAGATCTCATCCAGCTCTGCTCGACACCGCGGACTGTCCCAGTCCCAGCTGCGACTCACTCTCCTCCCAGAGCAATCCATTTGACTAAAGACTGAAGCTGTTGGCATTACAATTAACAGTAATCATAATAAATGATCTGACACTACAGATCTGCCTTTTACCGTCGGAAATACTGTATTATATTCCATTCTATACACCACTGATGCGCTGCACAGAGCGGAACAAAAACAGAGATGAACACTTCCGGTACGTTTTTAATTATGTTCGGAATGAAACAAGGCTCGAGGTGGCTGCATCCTAGATCCGTGTCTGCATCATGGATGTATCAGATGCATAAAGCGAACATATCTATACGATTCAATCCGTGTATCATTCGTTCTTTTGATTTTCTAAATAAAACCAACATTGAAAAAACGAATAACGAGGGATGTTTTTGATTCTCAATATTTGAATTTAATGCAAACTTGAAATATCGGTTTGTTTTTGGTTTTCTGTGGATCCAATTAAAACGAAAATGCAGTAAACCAATAATGATCGTCTAAATTACTGTTTGCGAATTCCATTTGAAACACAAGAATCCCCCGGAAGTGATTCGCAAGTGCGCACCCCGCAGGTAAACAGTGGAGTAGCGGTGGAGATGAACTAAATGATGGGTGCGTTGGAAGACTTTGCAGTTACAGCGATAGAATGCTTCTAAAACATTCAAACATGTGCAGAAATATCAACCACGTTACACCGACTAGGTTTGTCCAAATGTCAAGTCATCAGCTGAGTCATGTCTCTTCTTTTGATACAGTGGTTAATCACGAAAGCAAACTTTTTGAAGTGGCGTTATTTCATCGTATAGGGCTCACAGAAAGGTATTCTGAGTAAATGTATTCATTAAACATGGATCATGTTCCTGCCCAATATATACATACATATATATATATATATATATATTTATTTTTTTACATATCAGCCGCCTTAAAACTATTGCTGCTCCATCTCTTTTTCCTGGAATAATTTTATTGCAACATTCAAGAGGGATTCTGTCTCCCGAGGCTCAGGAATCACAGCTTGTTGTGTTTTGGCAAATTATGAAGGCCAAAGACTAAATTCATCATGTATGTAAATCTTCTGTCTGTTCCAGTGTAAATATATTTGATTAGTTTGTTCCCAAATTAAAACACACTTGGACACAATTTTGTACATTTTTTTTCTAAATTGTGTTGAATTGCAATGGAAAACCCGTTAAAACAAATACTAAACTATTAGTGGATTATGTATCAATAGATTTATGAATTAGGAAATGACATTCTTAACTAAACAAGACTGTAAAATGACATGTTGTGTATTTGAATGTACCTTTACAGAACAACTTACACCTCAGACTTCCTTTCAGCAGCAACATGGGTCCAATTTTATTTAGACTTTACTAAGGACTTACATGCAAGCACAGGATCCAGAGCTAAGAATGAAAGAATACAAAAAAAAAAGCTGTATTAAAAAGACACATAATCACATATTTACAGCAAGTCACACATACAAAGAAGCCAGTGACTCCAAAGTTTAGAAGTGAACCTGACTCTACACATGAACCGATAGTAGCAGTGACGTAGGAAAGGAGCGCACCCTGCACTCAGCAAACATCTGACTGGACGACTGTGTCTGGGATCTTCAGCAGCATCCTCATTGAGTCATAGGAAACTGTTCACCTCTGCAGACTGACCTGCTTGTAGCTCCGCCACAGTTGGTTTGTGAATAAAGGAGCCCAAAAAGACTGGAACAAGGAGGTTTTTACATTCACAGAACACATGTTAGATTGACCATAGAGTTTACATCTCTGTGAGGTCACTGCGTGTGTAATGCCCATTAAGACCAGGACAACTGGATTTAAGAACAGTTTTTACACTTTCAAATGTGACAGAACATAATGTACACGGATGAGTATGTGCTTTTTCATGCAATGATTCTAATTTTGTAACATAAATTTACAATGAATGATAAACACGAGTTGAAAGTTTAAAATGTAAAGGAACGAAAAGGAGATTTGTAGATCAGTTATTATTAATTTTATTGCATTGACATAAACACATCCATCTTTGCAGATCACTGGTACAGGCCAAGGCTGGGAGTAGTGTGAAGTCTGAAACCTTTACCTGCTGCACACCCAGTGAGATCTAAAACAGAAAAGTGGGTTTAGAACAGACAGTTAAGTTATAACAAGTAATAATTATATATCTTATAAAGTCAGCAGAAGAGAAATAGTAACCACCAAACAGAAAGATGCTATGCTAGTCTTCTATCAGGACAGGAACTCAAGCTGAACATGAGCCCAGCGGCTTTGACTGTTTCAAACTAGGGATGTAAATCGGCGACCGTTTAACCGGTGGTTGACCGTCACAGCGTTAACCGGTCAAAGCTGTCGGTTAAAAAAAGAGAAAAAGGGGAGAGGGGAGGTCTCTTCATAACGCTATTTTAAGCCCTATTTGCACGGTGTGACGAGCGGGTCCCTATCTAGTTGTGTGCGCCCATGTATTATAAACTCTGGGACGACTCTCACGCCGCACGAGCCACATATGCACACACGCGCATACACGCACGCACACACACACACACGTTTTTGTTACCTGGTGGGTCCCTTTGACAGGGCCGTTCAGAATGGGACCCATAGACATAATCTTTTTTTACTGGGACTACTTTAAGTAATACAAAACAGTCAATAGAAAACAACCAACTCTTTTAAAGGAATTTTATTTTAGATTTTTTTTTCGAATTGCAGTGATTCTATTTTTGACATAGAATTTAATGCCACTCCATGTCCGATGTCTAAGGTCATCTGGTGAGGCATTAATGCAGGCCAGGCAGTGAGACTTCCCAGGGACTTTTCCAGTCTGTATGAAAGGCGTCATGGTCTTCTCCACAGCCTTCACCTCAGATGCAGACCATGGCTTTCTTACACGTTCTAGGGAGAGAAATATAAATATATTAGCAATATACACTCCCAGGGTTAGGACCAAGCAGCCTGGCTGTAATCCCCCACCTGGTACACTTACCAGAAGGGGCACTGCCACTATACCATGGGGTGCATCTGGATGAATGGTTGAAGGTTCTCCGCTTGAAGTTTCTTTTAGCCCGTCCGTTTGTGAGAGGATCTCTACTGCTCTCCCTGTCGCACAGAAAATAAAAATACAAGTGGCCTTTAGGGGAAAAAAATCATACATATTTTAATAATATCAAGAATTACCTTCAGGCTCAATTTGTATCTGGTCGAGGCTCTTTCCTTTGAATTCCGTCACTCTTCCCTGCTCCATGGCCATCAACACTTTGCTGATTTTGGCCAGCTCCAGTGTCCCCTCTGGTAGTCTGTAATATTGCCTGTGGATGCGAATGTCATGGCCGAAGAAGTTGGCAAGTATGTCCATTTCATTCTCTTTCATATTGAGAACTGTAGACATAGTAGCTATGTGCTTTCTAAGTTTGGTTGAGGATAACATCTCTGGATGCACCGCACCACATTCTTTGGCTACCTGGCGTAGGGAGTCTGATCCCCTGATGTGGGTGTCTGCGCCCGGGCGGGAGAAGAAGTATGGGTTATGGTCAGAGATGGAACAGGCCCTTCTGTTCTCCACCAGCACCTCCATCGAAGCAATCATTTCAGGAGTCAAAAGAACCGGCACTTTCCGACTTCTTTTCCCTTTTATTTCAATGCGTTGAAAATGCTGACACAGCTTTTTCTCAAGTTGGGACAGTCCCAGAGCAATGTCAGAATGGATCCCAGTCTTACTTCTTAAGGTAAACACTGTCAGTGGCATCTTGAAACCTCACCTTCCCTTCTTCGATTGAAAATAATGACCTCACAAAGAGTCAAAACTGCCAGTTTAGACCAATGCTTAGACGTTGGCTCACTTATTAGGGTTTGCACATATTCAGGTCGACATACCTCAATATGTGCATGCATGGCTCTAACGTCCTCAGTCAGAGGGAGCAGGTCCGGAGTGTTCCACTTGGCTTGCCGGAGGGTCTGTAGGGCAGCAGAAGAAACACAGACGTCCCACCTCTTCTCAAAAAGCAGCCGGCTTCGTTGGAGGTTTTTAATAAATAGTTCATCAACACAATGCTCCATTTTTGAGTCACATTCAAGAATATCTGCTAGCTTTCTGAGGCTATGGCCGAGTTTGAGGGCCAAGGAGGGAGTCTTGTATTGATTTGTTTCCTCATCATATCCAGCCACAGACCTGACTGCATCAATCACATGGTTAAAGTTGGAAGGAATAAAGAAATCCTTAATTGTTTTCAGTTTCCCTGCGGTTTTTGCTTCGTTAATTAACCTACCGACTTCTCTCATTTTCTGCCTAATGTAATCATGCTTAGTCTTATCATGCCCGTGTTTTAAGTACAGGTGCTCTCCGAGTCTCAGAATCCCCTTTTCTGCTTTGACAACACCCGTGACCTCATCCTGATGCATTGCCGAAATTAAAGACCACAGCTTTTTGCTGATGCCCTCCGGTACAGGCTGGGCTAGGGAGCAGAGGGACTGGACCCTACTTCTACCTGGTTTAGCCTGGTTTAGCCTGGGCATCTTTCTGTGAAAGCCGGCACCTGGCCACATGCCTCCACAGCGACTTTCGCTTAAGCAATGCCCCACAGTCTATACAGTGCAAAAACTCACTGGATTTAACTGGGCAATTTGGCTGTTTAGCTGGGACTAAAGTTCCAATGCCGGCCTTTAAAACCTCAAAATTGTGCTCACGGTTTCCACTATTCTTGATCAAATCAAACTGAAGTTTACGTGCTTTAGATTTCACAGGTAGAGCTAATGCTCTGGCTACGTCACTTTCATTTCCATGTTTTCTAGTCAAATGACGGGACATTTTGTGGCAGGACATTGAACAGTAGAGGCAGAAGTGTCTCTTGCTGTAAACTCGCCCCCCATTTTTCTTCTTTTGCAGCTGCATGATAACAATCTTATTTGCCTTTGGTTCGTCACTTTCCGAGTCTTGAAGAAAAGTGTTTGATTTTTCTTTTTCCATACTTTTTTACAGGTTTCTTCTTGACAGTTAAATCGTCAGAATCTGAGTCGACTTCATCAATTAGGGACTCTTGACTAAGCTGCACAAACAACAAATAATTTGTAATCATTCTATATAACAATTTGAAGTCATGACTTGTAGTCAGCACTTACCAGTGGTTTGTAAGCGTGCGCTTCAGTGTGCTCCTCCATGATTTCTTGCAGCCTAATGAACCACACACTTGCACCTTTTTCTAGCCTGACACCTGATTTCCTCTGTTGTGCTGCTCCATGATTGGCTCCAGCCTGCTGGACTGAAATTGCCCCAGTGTGCCCCTCCTTGATATTCCGCAACCCACCACCAGGGTTCCGACACAGAACACACTTTTTTCAGGAAGGTAAACCTCCAGGGGTCCTTTCCATATTTTTACAGAGACTGCATAAGGACTGTTAGAAAAGCATTACCCATTGATTATTAAGCTTGGACCAGTGGGGTCCGGTGTTCGGGCCCCACCACGTAAAACCAGTCCCCATGACGTGAGTGGAATCTCAGGTTATGGAACCCACCAGGAGTTGAAAACAAGTGCACGCACACACACACACACACACACACACACACTTTCCCCCTCTCCATACGTAACATCCACACGCATCATCTCTCCCCTCTGTTACCGTCAAAGTTGCACAATGGCGCGGGTCAGAACTACATTGGAGCTTACATTTACACACACACACACATACATATACACATACATACACACACACACATACATACACACACATACATACACACACACACACACATACACACATACATACACACACACATACCGGTCTGTCGCGCTCCTCTGTGTCACGGAGCCCAAAGGATTCGCGCAAATACGCGGCTCCAGTCAAACCACATGGAACATGTTTGTGTTTATGGTCCTCGGGATCAGCTCCACACACATCACTTGTATTTAAACTTTTGTGAAGACCTGTGAGACGTGGCTCGTCACTCGCTGCTCTGACCATGTGAACGAGCAGTCGTTTGCTGCTAGAAAGTTTTGGTATTAACCCGCAGCACAGCAGAATGGGAAGATTAAAAAAGCAGTTCTCTGTGCGCAAAGGTGCCGGAGCTGTTGCGGGTTTGGGCGCCGCTGTCTCAGCTCTGATCCAGTAGAACGCAGAGCTGCACTTATGAAAAGTACGCGGCTCGAAATGGCTGTTATTTCAAAGAACGTGGACTATTTTAAACTACGCGGTTAACCGGTTTCAACCGGTTAATGAGGCTCGGTGGTCGGTCATGAAAATTCATAGTTTTTTACATCCCTATTTCAAACCTGCAGTCTGAGGGCTCCTCGTTTCTCTTCATAAGCCTGAAGCATCTAGCTCCAACTACTGTCCCTCGACAATAATTGAGAATGAAGCAGAAACAAAGCACAATTGAATGGTTAAGGTACATCTAGCATCATCTTTTATTTACTAAAATGTAGCATGATTACTTTCACCAATACACAAAGATATCACGTTCTTATATAATATGAACGTCTAACATACATTTATAATAATAAAGCACCCAAATTAGGTGCATTTGTTACATGTGTAAGTGTTTCATGTATGTGCTTAAGCTAAATGTGTCGTAGCTAATGCTAACTTAGCTGTTAGCGCTAGTTGCTAAGTTATGTCTTACCTTGACACTTGTGTATATATTTTTCATCGAAGAACCCCTTCTCTCGTGAATCTGAGAATTCTCATCTGCGATGGTCTCTGCAGCAGCGAACGAAAAAGCTGGTAATCTGACTGATGTTGAGGAGAGTTTTAAGAGACATTTCTCCTACAACCAGCGCTAACAAGGTGCGATCCAAGCACCTGGAGGCGACACTTCCTGTTCTAGTGACAAACGCGCACTTTTTGAATCACTTCCGGGGGACGTTTGTGTTTCAAAGGAAAATCGCAAAATGTAATTTAGACGGTCATTATTGGTTTACTGCATTTTCGTTTTAATTGGATCCACAGAAAACAAAAAAAACAAACCAATATTTCAATTTTGTATTAAATTCAAATATTGAGAATCAAAACAATCCGTGTACCCTTCGATCATTAGTTATTCCGTTTCAAAATAAAATCAGAAAAACAAATTTTCCATTCGTTTATTGGTATTTTCGTTTTCTAAATCAAATTGGAAAATCAAATCCTTTATGCTTCAATATCAATGTGTTTGTTTTGGCTCTAGTTGTTTAAAATTCTCAATAGAATTATGGCATCACTATTATTTCGTTTTATTATTTAGTGGTCAGCCCCACCCTGGACCCGCTGCAGTTCGCCTACAGACCCAACATCGGAGTAGAGGACGCATGGATGTATTATATTAACGGAGAGGACGCCGTCATCTACTTCCTGCAGCGGACGCTCTCCCACCTGGAGCCCACCTGGAGCCCGCCGGGAGCGCTGTGAGGGTCATGTTTTTCAACTTCTCCAGTGCTTTCAACACCATCAGGCCGGCACTGCTGCGGGGGAAGATGGAGGACGCGGGAGTGGACAGTAGCCTCACTGCATGGACCATCAACTACCTCTCAGACCGACCACAGTACGTGCGGCTGCGCAGCTGTGAGTCTGAGGTGGTAGTCTGCAGCACTGGGGCCCCTCAGGGCACTGTCCTCTCACCGTTTCTCTTCACCATCTACACCTCAGACTTCACACACCGCTGTCAGACTGTACAATAAGTCACTTTAAATGATCACTGTGTGAAAACCTGCACTACTATTGACACTGTTTCCAATTGACACTTGTCACCTTTGTTGTACATAATTATTGTCACTTTTATTGTACATATATCCTGCATGTAACATGTTTGCACATTTCCTCCCTTTGCACGATCTGAGTGTCTCTATCCATGCCAAATGTGACATGTAAATTTCTCCTCTGTGAGATAAATAAAGCAATCTTATCTTATGTTATTATTATTTGCGACACCGGAAGAGAGAAGAGACCTCGCGGAAGGGGGGCTACAGACGCGGGGGTGGGACTCCCCTGGTCCTACCCGCGGTGTGAATTTGACGCGCGGGGGATAAAGGACCAGAAAGTTATGGCCCTTGGAAACCACCGGGGGACCGCACGTCAACCATCCGCCCAAGAGCGCTCATTTTGGGGGAGGAGAGGGCCGCAGCAGCAGGGTCAGGAGGCACGCTGCTCCATACCCCCGTGCTTACGGCCATACCACCTTGAGAATGCCCGATCTCGTCTGATCTCGGAAGCTAGGCAAGGTCGGGCCGCGGGGGCCAGCCGCGTATAGTGGGCATATCGTTGATTGGCACTGAACTGAAACTCTATTTTCTATACAGATTGTTTTGTCAAATACTACTGTTTGCCCTGAAATATGATCAATAAAAAGAAAGACTTCAATAATGTATGACATTATAATATATTTATTGTGAACAGATGAAAAAAGAGATATTTACAAATTTAAGAAATACACTTAAAGGAAAAACAACAACATGCTATCTTTATCTTCTTAAACTAGTATTTGTGTGATGAGCCCTGTGAATGTGACGGCTGAGAGCTGACTACAGAACTGTAGATGCAGACTTTACAAATGAAATTATATAATTAGATATAATCAATATTAAGTATATATTTACATAATAATTAGAATATTTATAAACATTTATGAACAGACAGGTATAATATAGTAACTATATACAATAGCACCAATAGACAGCAGATAGCTCATTTATTTACACGCCACCTTTCCCTCTCCCGGTCATAAAAAGGAGACTGCTGGAACATCTGCGTCTCCATCCCCTGGTCCTTGTACAGGGAGAATACTTTGGCAGGGCAGTAGATGTATTTTCCTGACAGACCAGGGAATTGTGTATGAATGTGAGGACTGTTTGGTCCCTGCTTCAGCTGCAGTTTGCAGAACCCGCACTTTCTCCCAGTGGCAGGAGACTCATCTCTCTTCCTTTTCTTCTCCTGCCGCTCATTCACTCTCTGCTGCGTGGCCTCCAGCTCTCTCTGGCAGAACTCAAGTGTCCATAAAGTCTCGGAATGGCATCCTGGAGTTGGTCAAACCCTCTGTGCGATAGGTGTTATAGACCTTGGTGGAGCAATAGAAATACCTGGTAGGACCCGGCTGGTAAAACTCGTGGATGGAGCTGCCATCGCCCTCATATTTGGATTTTGGCTGGCCACAAGACAGGCATTTCTTTGTGTGGGGTTTATTTGCTGGAGGCTGCTGCTGCTTTTCCAAGATCCGCTGCACAACCTTCTCTATGGCCTCCTCAGACAGCGGTGACATGAGTCTGAGCAGGAGGAGGGGGGTTCACTGCTGCAGGGGGCATGGTGACAGCAGGCGCTGTGCTGGTCTTACTGCCTGCTGTGAGCGATGTACTCCCCCAGCACTTCAGCCTTGTCTGAGGCATCACCTCCTCTCACTCGCACCAGAGTGAGGGCGTTCTCCCTCACCACCTCCTCCCTCAGAGGAGCACCGCACTCCGTCATGGACGGGTCGTCCCTGATCTTCCTCGCCTCCTCCGAAGGGTTCTGCAGCAGGAATCCACGTGGGCCCTTGCCAAAAATCACAGTGACGCGGCCAGGAAAGAATGAAAATGTCTTCATATTGTCTGCAACAACAAAAAAAGATCATAAAATATCTAGCTATAGCATGATAGAGAAGTATGTATAATGTATATATCTTTAGCATAATAAAGAATAAAATAATTAAATTTAGCATTATAAAGAAGCATGAATCTTGTATAATCTAGAGAATATACAGTTGTATGTTTACATCTGGACATTAGCAGCATGAGGCTCTGGGATACAGTAAGTACAGTTATAGAAGGAAAATATGAACTGGTAAAACACTAATACATTGTCGTAAACTAACTGCATATAATTCATTTTCAACTCAATGTGTTGCTGAACTATAGAAATGTGAAATACATATAGATAGTACACACATCAACAATAATTAGCTAATAATAATTAGCTAGCGCTGGAAATACTACTACAACCAGACGTAAACAAACTGCATTACTGTATACAGTAGAATACAGTGAATACAGATTGTTTGACAACGCAGAGAAAGTGTTTTCTTTACAATATTGATCCAAACAGAGAGATCTACAAGCAGCAGCAGCAACAAACATATGACACGGAGCGAGGTAAACAATCATAAACAGCGCACTACACACTCGAGATTTAAACTACAGACGTGTGTGAACGATCTACGCACAATATGAGAGATTTATGGAGTGAAACATAAAGAACGAGCACAAAAACATTGTGTTTATCAGAGGAGACTTACCGAGTGCGTGTGTAATCCAGAATGAATGGAGAAAGCCGGCTCTCTCTGTTTGAGAGCAGCACCCACAAAGTTTTCCCCATAGTACTTGGATGGGAGACCGCCTGGGAATGGCTCATGACCCCCCCAGGTACCTATCCTGAGATCGCTCAACCTTAGGATCAGCTTGATCTTAGTTATGTTTCGAGGTATGTGGTTCGAGCCCAGGTCTTGCCATTTTTTGATTTATGTAGAATGTACTTTTTATTGCTCTTAGTTGCATCCAGAGGTTTGTGGTTCGAGCCCAGGTCTTGGCATTTTTTCATTTATGTAGATTTTACCATTTATTGCTCCTCAAGGTTTGGGGTTCGAGCCCACGTCCACCCGTTTTTAAATTTATGTAGATTTTACCATTTATTGCTGATTATCTTGATAATTTAGTTTACATTTGTGTTTGGCAATCAAACAAACTTGAATACTTTCTCATGAATCATGGCATAAATTGTTCAAAGCACCCCCTGCAGAGTTCTTACCTTGTGGAGCACGTTCATGTCACACTCCGTACTGCTGTAGAATAACACATTCATCTAAACAGACTTCAGCTTTATCTGCTTTGTCTGTGTATGTATTGTATGTGAACAGATGTGTAGTATTCTTTTTTTTGTATTTTATACTGTAAATGTACATATTCACAAATATGTATGTTGATTTTCCAATTTAATTTAGAAAATGGAAATACAATAAAACAACCACGTAATTTGTTTTTCTGATTTTGTTTTGAAACGGAATAACTAATGATCGAAGGGTACACGGATTCAAAACATCCCTTGTTATTCGTTTTTTCAATGTTGGTTTTATTTAGAAAATCAAAAGAACGAATGATACACGGATTCAGTACACTACTAAAATACATGATGAATTCGAAAGTTTCCACTTTTTGAACAACACTCTCTGGTCTTGATGATTGATGATTGGGAAGAACCAATAGTCCTGGTTATCCACCCGGAAGTTGATAAGTAAGTAAGTAGTCTTTATTTATATACCGCCTTTCACAGACCAGAGTCACAAAGCGGTTTACAATTGTGGGCTTTTGTCTCTCACTCCACACAGAGATGAGAGCGGGGTCGCCAGTACAGGAGGCATACGCCAGACCTATTGTACATATTTTTAGTGGTAGGGGAAACCGGAGTACACGGAGGAAACCTACAGAGACACGGGGAGAACATGCAACCTCCACTCAGAAAGGCCCTGTTCCGACCGGGATTCAAACCTAGGACCTTCTTGCTGAGAAGCAAGAGTGCTATCCACTGTCCATGTGAAAATCCTCCTATATACCTTTAAATACAAAAATACAGTAAAATAAAGTCACTTTACTTCACGGTTCTGCTGTCACCTTACATTGTGTGCACCATGTGCACCTATAGTAAGTGTATAGTAATAGTAACTGTAACTCTATTTTAAATTTAAATGTATTTCTTAGAAGTGTTTTTTATTCTTTATTTTTTATTATCTCTCTCTGACTGTTGCACTGAGCCAAAGCAATTTCCAAGTCTGTGACTTCCTGTTACTTACGTGGCAATACAAATTATTCTAATTCTGATACAAGTAACATTGCAAAACAATCAGCAATGCCTTACAATTATAATTAAAAGGTAATACAATTAAATGTCTTGCATTCTAATCGTATGTAGAGAAATAATAATGTATTCAGTGTTTCCCACAGGTTTGAAGGCAATGTGTGGTGGTCGTCGGCGGGGGGGGGGGGGGGGGGGGGGGAGTGGGGTACAGTGGTACAGTGGTAGAGGACAATCTTGAGGTCATGAATCCAGTGAAATTAGTCGCACACCTTTTTACAGTAATAAGTTACAGCAGATCAAAAGTGACATGTTTTGACCATTTTTAGGCTATTTTGGACCAAAATGGCTACTTTACCTCAATATTTCTCAATATTTCTAGAGTAAAAGTGTCTGGTCTTTGGTACAGTGGTAGAGGACAATCTTGAGGTCATGAATCCAGTGAAATTAGTCGCACACCTTTTTACAGTAAAAAGTTACAGTAGATCAAAAGTGACATGTTTTGACTATTTTGGAGGTATTTTGGACCAAAATGGCTACTTTACCTCAATATTTCTCAATATTTCTACAGTAAAAGTTTCTGGTCTTTGGTACAGTGGCAGAGGGCAATAATAAGGTCATGAGTCAAGTGAAATTAGTCGCACACCTTATTCCAGTAAATAGTTACAATACTTGAAAATTGCACTAGCGGACCAAATTGTGTACTTTATATATGTAAACAATAGAGTGGCTATCCTCCTGAGGACTCACAACCTGCAGGAGGAATCGTAGGGGGCTGGTGCTATGTGTGCCGGGTGGCATCTCTATAAGGTTTTAATCACAAAAAACGTGTCTCCCAGACCCCAGCGCGCTTTCTGTTCGATAAAAATGGGTGACTCCGAAAGGACGTTCCGCTGTTACCGTAAGTTCTCAACAAAACGCGCACCGTCTTTTCCCCGATGCGGGCCGCATGTTCATAGAGCTGAAAGATGCGGGCCACTTTACCGCGGTAAATTAATAGACACAGCTGCTTACAGCGATGATCGCTGATGGAGACGGAGACACGCGGTGTGCACGAAGGGGAGGGGCTGTGTGTGTGTAGGTCTCTGTATGTGGGAGAGACGCGTAGCTTGAGTGAGAGTTACGAAGGGCCGCCACATTTTAAACCCCCCTCCCCGCTGTCAAATTGACCGCTGCGGCGGCACTAGACGATGCATGTTTTAAATAGCGTAACAAAAAAAAATATATATATAATAATACGAAACGCAATTTGTGGCGGGCGGTCTCTAATCTGTGGCGGTGCGCCACAGATTAGTCTATGTGTGGGAAACACTGGTATTTAATGCATGAAGAATACATGGTTTTCCAAATATTTTATTTAAAAACATTTACTATAAAACATATTCACACAGATCTGACATTCACACAAAGCTTAACATTTTAAAGAAGGAATGAACTGGAGTTTAGTTCTTGGTAACCGCAGATACAAATATATATATACACATTAATTATTATAAAATTCATATTGCCATCAACCTTGAAAAATGGTTTTTGTCTGAATCAACAGTTATCATCATCATCATCATCATCATGATGATGAAGAAATGCATTGACTTGTCAAGTCCTCACAGCTTAAGGTCTGATTTACTCGGTTGAGCACATGATTATATATATACATAAAATAAGTAAAAATATATAATTAATCTGGTAAATGGGGAGTTAAAAATAAGTTTGGTCCAATTTGTATCCATAAAAACAAAACAGTAACAGTTCATTTAAAAATAACAAAATAAATATTTACAGTTCACAAACCAAAGATTGCTGAATCTCAGTGGACAGTGCTTTTCCGCTGCAGGTTAAACTCCAGGGAATCCAGGCAAAAATTCAGGGCCTTGTTGATGAGCACATTAAGTCAATTATCTTGGGTGACCACCGTGTGGCGCTCTATACTGATGTTTTTTCTTGTATCCATCCTCTGAATTTTGTGACTGTTGTGTAAATGCCAGGTTTATTTCTTCGGGCACAGCCATCACCCCAGCTGACCACTCCAGCCAGGAACATTCGAGTCCCGGTTGGAAAGGACAAAGGACCACCGGAGTCTCCCTGAGAACCAAACATGTACATCTACAGGTTAGAACGATCATTTACAGACACAGCAATTCCTTTGTTCCTGTAGATCTGTGGTCTTCAAACCACCATCAATTTCATCAAGTCTCCAAGACTGGAGTCCCTTGTGGAAATGGGTAGAGTCTGCTTGGTTGGAATGAAAACCTGAAGCAACACGACCCTTTGAGGACCGGTTTGAAGACCCGTGGTGTAGATATAGATAAAACACATCTTTTGATATTTATCAAATGTGCATTAATTATACCTGGCACGCATCCACTCCTCCAGTGAGTACTCCAGCACACACCATTCGAGAGGTGAGCTGCCCAGACATCAGTTTGTTACACACGTCCTGGTTGATCATTCGCACCTGAGCCTTTTGTAAGACACTGGCTGCAAATCCTAAAATATGTGAAGAAAAAAACAGTCTGAACACTTGAAGTCCCAGTAATTATATATTATTGGGTGAGGGCAATATATCTATAGATTGGAAAGTAGCTAAGAGTGAAGGCCAGAACTTTTTAGATTTTCTTTAATTATCAATTTTCGTCCAAACCTTACAAAAAAACCAATTTGGTCATAAATCTCACCTCCTTCTCGAGTCGCGCCCCATCCTGTGATCCACACCGTGCTGCCCGTGGGAAAGTCATGTTGTGGAGAAGGTAAGCAGATGGGTTTAATGAAGTCCGAGTACTCCACAGGACTCGACAGCTCCATCAATGCAATATCACTATCAAAGGTGTAGTGGTTATAGTACGGGTGGGGGATGATCTGCTTCAGTGTCCTCTTTACCACCATAGAACCTATTTTTTGCTGGATGTGGAGGCCAAGGAATGCCTCCCAAGTGCCAGGCTGAGAAAACCTGGAAACGTTATGGTAATAATGAGAATTCAATAAGGTTTCAACCCATTACGAGTACATGTTTGAGAGCCGATACCTTGTCTTTCCATCATCTTGCACACAGTGGGCCGCAGTGACCAGCCATTGGGGACTAATAATGGACGCTCCGCACACGTGGCCGTAGCCCGCGACATGTAAGCTGACCTGCCACGGAAACTCCCCCGCTTCAGCATCCTCGCCGCCCACGATACGAGACGTCTTGAATGCACTCCGACCACATTCTGTACAGATGCACTTTTTACTATGATGGATAAACTCAGAAAAAAACAGATTGCGCTTTGCTTGTGTAACTTACCGCAGTTTTCCTCGTCGGAGCCATCTTCACAATCGTCCTCCCCATCACATTCAGGATTCACCTTTGAGATGCACTTGTTGTTTTTACATTTATAGGTACTCTCTGTGCAAGTGACAGAAGAGCCTGAGGAACAAAAATAATAATACAGTCATAAAATCTATTGATGTGCTTGTTTGGATTTGTAGATTAGGTGTAATCTAATCTACAAATCCAAATACATAATTTTAAAGAGTTCATTAAAAAAAAGCGACCCAGACCAAGAATAACTAAAATCTCAGTCACAATGACCAATGCGAATGTTTTGTTTGTGCAAAACTCCAGCTTGTAAAAAAAACTGTAAACCCTAGACGTTTGCAGTGAGGAGAAAAGTTCCTTACTGGCTTTCACACATATGGGTTTACACAGGGGCCACACACACCATGCAATTTATTTCAGAAGTTGTCATTTTGGTTTGAAAATGTGCACTTTCAAATTACTTTCAAAACTAGACCATAAACTGAGTGAAGGAATTGGGCAACAAATCTTTATTGAGTGTCTAAACAAAGCACTGTATAACACAATGCACAATGCAAGAAACACAACAAAAACCCTAAAAAAATCTACCATCATCAATGAATGTTAAAAGAAACAAATGAATGTGGGCTGTAGTGCAGAGTTTTGACCCATGCACTGTATGTAGCAAATATTGGCCAATTAAACCTGGCTACACTCTAGAGACAGGCTTAGAAAGGAAGTGAGCTCAGGTCCTGGACTCACCGGTGCCTCTGTTACACCCGACTTCATCTGATCCATCACCACAATCGTTTCTGCCGTCGCAGCGCTGCTTCTCTGAAAGGCACTTTTTGTCCTTACACATAAACTGTCCAGTCGGGCATTCATCTGGAGTGAAGAAAAAAAAATGAACCAAAAATTCCAGTTTATTTTTTGAAAACCCAGAAAAGTTGGAAGAGTCACACTCACCACAGTTCTGTTCATCTGTGCCGTCTCCACAATCGTCGATGCCGTCACATTTCCAGAAGGGTGGCTTACAAAACCCATTCTTGCAGGAGATATATGTTGAGTTGCAGGCTGAGAATTTTAACAAAATTTACATTTAATTAACTAATGTTCTTCATTGTCAGTTTTGTCCAATGCTTTAATAATAATTTACACTCGATAATTTCAAATTATAATTCATAATTTATGTCATCTCAAGCATTCATCAATAAGAAAAACAAATCTAATATATTATATTGTGGCTATAATACAGACCAGACCTTTTCCCAATATGTAATCAGAGTATCATTGTGTAACACTTACAGCACTTAAGCTCGTCGCTCATGTCTCCGCAGTCGTTCCATCCGTCACACTTGAGGCTAGACTTGATGCAGCGCTGGTTTTTGCACTGGAACTGCTCTGGACAAGCTGTGGGTAAAAATATCCTTCAGATTTACTCTGTCAAACTGGATTGTTAATGTCATGGTTAAACAGGAAATGATGAACGTACGATCTTTCATGTCCACGGCCTTGAACTCTGCGTCGAAGCCACGGTCCACATAGGATCGATCAGAGTAAAAGGTGATGGTCATTTTGTTGTCTTTGCTGGTTTCAGACACAGTTCTCACTGGCTTTTCGCCACACTTCCTGTGTAACAAAAAAAATGTCAAATGTGATTATTGTTATCAATTTAAATCATTAACTAACTTGGACTTACTTTTCCCCATTTATGTCCACATAATCTTTGAGACAAGTCTTACTACTTTCCTGTCCAGGCTCCCCCAAAAGAAACTTGTTAAAGGTCACCTTCACTGCCTTACCTTCAGGGACCTTCCATTAAAAACAACAACAACAAAAATCAGACCAGAAAACATTATTAACTGTAACATTTATCTTCTGTAATTAACCAAATACCGTAATGGTCCATTGGCACAGTGTGTCAGGGGGATAATAATTGGGGAAATTTGGAGACATAAAAGAACCCTTTTCGCCTAAAAGTTGACCTCCACATGTCGTCCCTGTAAAATATAAAAACGGCAAACTTAGGCATGACAAAGAGAAGACATGACATTTCTAAGTCAAACACAAACTGGAATCATCCACTGGTATTTTAATAAAAAGTTAGACATGCCGATGTATTGTCAGATACTGTGCACAGTGCCCACCCCTACTCTACAATAACTACTGTAGTTTTCTGTGGGTTTAGTCACCCCAGATGAGACTGTGGTGCCTAAACTGCTTCTTCAGTAAATAGAAACATTACCTTTACTGCCCCGCTTGACTTGAGAGACTTGTGCTCTAAACCCAGGATAGTTTTCTTCCTCATTTGTTGCCATAGTCACCAACATGACGTTACTTGAGGAGAGGAAAGTCATTGGCTCACTTGGTGAATAATATCCACACAATCTGTCAAAACCAATCACACAATATTCAAGTTATTTTCAAAGACAACATCTGTGGCTCGCCTGTAAACCTTCAAAGAGCTTTAAACCTGGCGCTAATATAATGGTACAAATGTCTTATGCTCTTAAAAACAAATTTTAACTCACTCTTCCAAAACTCTGCTTTCAATTGCCACAAGAGAGTCATAGATTTTCACAAAGTCATTTTTGCAGTTTTCCTCCAGGTTCATGGTGTCGAAGTCCAACTGGATCACGTATCCAGGATCGGCTCTCAGCTGCCACTGAATGAATGTGTTTGGAGAGTACGGACTGTCGGGAAAACCAGGAGACTGAATCGTCCCAATGAAGTTGGTCCTGGTATGTTCAGTAAACCTCAATTCTAAAACGGACAAAAGTGAATTGCAAAAATCTTCATACAGTTGCAAATTTGCAGTTGAATAGGCATTAAAATAGTGTAGTGAACTATGCAACATGAATATTTACACGTACGTTTTAATGCTGTTGAAAGCAGGCGAGTATCGAGGGCTGAACAAAAAAAAGAAAAAATTTGAAATATTAGATATTGCTAAATTGAAAATTATGACCACAGAAATGCAATAGGACGGCACCTGATGACACCACATCATCGAGGACCAGAGCGTTGCCTTGTCTGTTAATAGAACTGCGCTCCTTATCCACCTGCTGGTTGATTGTGGTCATTGCATTGTCGACAGCTGCCTCTTGACCCGCCGGAACGTTGAACTCAGACAAATAGTAGGCGATCACACTGCCTTCACTAGACACAAAAAGGACATTTATGCAGTTTGCTTTGTCACCCACTTGGTCTCCAAGAAATTCATTATTTGTTGTATATAAATAAATGCATATAAATGCTTACCTGAATGCCTGGACTGTAGAACCGACATAGTACTTGGCCAGTTGTGGTACTTTGGAGTAGACCAGTTTGAGCTAGAACATAGAATTAAACACATTATTTAGAGACATCACTGATTTGTCTAATCTATGACACATGTGGATCATTACAGAGTTCGAACATTTGAAATCTAAATTTGATTTGATAAAAATAAATGTGTAAGCAGACGTCCTTATATAAAATGTCTGTACTGATTTGCTGCTGCCCTGTTAAACTACGTTAGCATAAAGTTCATCACAACATCAGTGACCAGCAAAGAACATAGTAAGTAAAGCACAGTGGGCATGTACCAATTTAGAGGTGAGAATTCAGGATGAAAAAATTGTTTATTATCATTGACCTAACACCTGGAGAAAACACACACACACACACTGGGAGAAAATGCAAACTCCTAGGGAGATGGAATCAAACCCAGAACCTTCTTGTTTAGAAGTGATAGTACTAACCTCTCAGCCACTGTTGAAACATGTATGATGTCAACAGCATCTTCTGCCGTGTAAATGAGAATGAAAATATAATGGCATGGTGAAAGAGTTTTTAACCATGCCATTATATTTTCATTCCCTAGGTTGCATTTATGTGACATCACAACATTTCAAATAGGCAATTATAGTTGAATAGTGCAGAGGAGGGCAGTTGTGGAATCTATAGGAGACTACAGTACATGATTTTAGTGTTTGGGAAAACTCATCGGCACTAACCACTGTGCCACCATGTGAGCGACATGTAGTAAAATGTAAAAAGTCTCCCTCTTGTCGGATTTTAATGCAATTTTTCGGTCAGGAACGCGACCTCCATGATTACATTGCGCTCAAGTCACTCGTACAAACACAATAACTGGCACTGAATGTTTGGCACTGATTGAAAAAAAACACCACTTTTACCTGTTTAGTGACCTCTTTGGCCAAGGCTTTGAATTCCAGACTGCTGGAGTTCTCATAAGCATCTTCAAAAACCTGGTTGGTGATTTTCAAAGAGCCGGTGTACATTCTCTTGACCCTGACGTCTTTACGAACTGCAGGGAAACAGAGACTCAGGTCAATCCAAAACCTTCTTAACTATCAGTATAATGTGATTTTCTCAATGTCCTGAATAGGGGTGGGAACCTCAGGGTACCTCACGATATGATACGACACGCGATACAAAGCTCACGATAACGATTATATCACAATAAGATGATTATCGATATATTGGTCAGAAATATACCATTTTATGGCATAAATAAAAGAAAAATGGTAAGTGAAAAAATACACTTTATTTCATGATAAATAGAATGTAGTCATATATTAAGTATTGATACTTAATACAAAATGGATACTTGGCAAATGCATATCGATAATCGTTTGCGGGAGCAAGTATCACAATCGTCACAGTCCTAGTCCTGAAGGAGAGTCTGCCACCTGCTTTGCTTGTCTACACACAGACTCTACAATATGGCATTTCATTTATCCATTGCCAAGAGACACAATATGTTACAGGCAGGCAATCTTTCTTTTATTTTGAGCTCTAGAAAACAATGTATTCAATTTCATAAATAATACGTGCCGTTTATCTCCAGAGAAAGCGTCTCGCCTGTGTAAATGTTGTAAAACTATTTGACGCTTTGGGTGAGTGGGGGTATTTCTCACTTTTTCAATTTTCTGTCTGAAAATGCCAATCTAAAGACGTGACAGAGGCTAAAAACACATACATGTGAAAACTTGTGATAGAACGATCATGATGAATGCCATACTGTGGAAAGTTTTCTGTCATTTCAAACTAAGTAAAAGCAAAACTAAAACGTAGGCCACAAGAACGATGAATGATTCAGAAAAAATATGCAATACACTATAATGTTGAAACTACTACTACAGTTTTCCACTAGTGAAGTACAGCAGGAAAACCATTTTAATATGGATTTTTTATTAAAAGTAAAAGAAATTGCTGGAGGAAAATAAGCACACATGTTTCTACTATTCCATAGAAAAAAGTACAGACAAATGAATAGCCCTAACAATGACTTGTCCAGACATCAGTTTTTGAGTGATAATTATAGCGACAAGCGACGGAGACAAAAACTCTGCTTTTTTTTTTTGCTTTGAAAACTTACAGTGAAAGTGCCAGACCAGAAGACCGGCCATTAGAGCCACGACTGCAGCGAAGATGACCACGCCGATCACCGCTCCCACTTTGCCTGGTCCCTTCTTCTTTTCGAATTTTTTGTTGTCGGACGCAGGCAGGAATTGATCTGCGGCGTCCCATTCTGTATCCTGAAAAACAAGATTAAGATTAAGAGATGTTAATGAATCATTATTGGTAAATAAACTGTATATGTCTGGTACAAAATTTAGTATTGTGTAAATTAAAGTAGAGTTCAAATTGATCAACTGTAATTTCACTGTTTTTTTTTGCTGTTTAACTTCTATTCTAAATGGATGAATAGTCATAAATTATTTCATAATATACTATTTACAGGTCACAGCTAATTTGGTTAAGACAAGCACTCGTGATGCACCAATCCAGCTTTTTCATGTCCAATACCAGTACTTTGGCTTTGAATAATAATAATAATTATTGTTTTGTTTGTTTTACAATTCCTGAAATGAACTGAAAGGGCATTTTTCCCCCCATAACAGGTACCACAATCGTATTGGTTATGATGTTGGCAGAAAAAATGTTGGCCCTTCCTCACACACTTCCTGTAGATAAATACTGGAAACGATGAGATGAAGGGGAAAAAGTGAGTTCAATCCGTGTCAAAAAAATGACATGCTAGGACGGTAACCTCTTTTGCTACAATGGTAAATAGAGAATAGAGGAAAGGTGGTGTTTGGGGGGTTGGGTCTAATAACAGACTAGAGAATGACCACGAGTTCGAGCTGGGCCTGATTCATCCCAGGTGGATTGATTTTACTCTAAATAACAAAGAGGAAACAGACGCGTTTTTGAGGAATGCTCTCATCGGCAACACAAACATTCCTCTGTCAAATTTAATACTTGTTTTATTACGGGCTCCGATTTTACTTGTAAAGTCAGGTGCCGCTGTATCTACATGCAGAAACCTAAATATAGTGTAGTGTGTCGTGCAAGAAGTGCAAGCTTGAGTCATGGGGGGGAGGGGAGTACAAAGGTTTCACCATGCAAAATCCAGTCAAACCTGCTCCAGCCATTTTTTAGCAGAGCAGAATACACACACACTGCTCCCTTCTCTTCAAGAATAATGTGTCAAAACATAATCACTCGACTAATTTTGGCATTTTGGCATACATTTTCACTTCATGACTCTCTAACTTGAACATGTTTCACACCACTTCAGCCAATGCTTTGAAAGGTCAAAATTCACATGTGTTTAGTGACAAATGTTGCCTGCAGGTGCAACAACAACTTTGCTTATTTCATGTGACCTGGGATGTTTACCGTACACACATTCAGAGCGTGCTCGAGTCTGGTTCTTACAGTCAGCCTAGTTTTGGATGGAAGGCCAAACAAAATCATGACTTTAGCTGTCATTTGCATTCTTTTTGTCGTGCTAATGCTATCATTTGTGAGCTACGAGTTGCAGCTCAGAACGCGTGTGACCCAAAGAGTGAGGGAAATGACTCAAGTTAGCGTGTCACGACAAGGCGGAGGATCCAGCAGGAATTTCAATTTTGACAGACCCGAAACGGTTCTCTAACGGCGCTGACCAAATAGGTCCAGGGTATCGAGTGTTTTGTCTGGTCGTTGCCAAATCAGTGATGAGGCAGCCCGGGCAACAGGGAGAATGCATGTTTTTTAAAAGATATCGTTGAAGTGATCAAAAACACTTCCAAAACGTCACAGCAGATTTACGTTTCAGTCAAAGCAAAATAATCCTTCTATATTTTATGTACAGGTATTAGTACAAACTGGTTGCTCTCAAATTCACTTGAAGCTGTCATTCACAGTCTGATTTTTTTTGTATGAAGAAATTATTTGTCAAGTGCTGTTTTCTTGAAAAGACAGAAATGTAATGGGATGTACTGTACATTTGGAAAACTAAACACCCATTTGTTAAGAAACAAGATTTCAATGAATCTTTTGAAAGAACTAAAAATGTCATAGAAAGTCTGCCTTTATAATAAAATGTATTCCCTCCCTTCGGTCTGAAGCTACATTTTGGGCAAAATATTGAATTGTGACTTCTGACAAACATTGGAATTGGAATTTTTGTTATTGAAAAAGGTGGCTTTTGTGTCCAATGATATAACTGAGAAAGTAAAAAATTTAAAATCCTATTTCCACATTTCAGAAAAAATAGTTTGTAGACGATTAAATTATGGTATAAGATATTATTTTTTGCAATAGAAAGAGTAAAAATGCCAAAAAAGACAAAAAGACTGGTTGTAAAATGCCAATGTCATTGTGTCCTTAGGCAAGACACTTCACCCACATTGAGTCAGATGTGTGCGTGAATGATGCGAGAGGGGCTGATGGCACACACTGGTTACCGAGCTTCGAAGAGTCTACCCCACGGCAGCTGTGGCTACAGTAGTAGATTATTACCACAGTGTGAAGGAATAATGCCACGAGAAGAGAATACACAAAACAAAACCAATTCATTATTATTATTAATTAATAAAAGGTCCATTTCTTTTCATAATGATTTCAATAATTGCAAACACCAAAATGTTAGATTTCATTGTAACTATGCTTGAAACTTAGGTATTCATTTATTTGTATTTAGAAGGACATTGGACGTCACAAGATGATTATTCTTGGTAAGTTAGTTTAATCAGTACATGAAGTAGGTCCTTATTTACATTGTTTTGCATACTAGTAAAGCTGTAACATTAAACTGGTTGCAATTTAAGTAATCCTAAACTATACCGATTAATTGGCCATGTAAGTGCTGAATCTCTAATCTATGACTCAACAATTTTTTCTGTAAATAAATGTCCATTGACATTGTCCACACAGCTTTATAAGGATATATAATAGCTAATATTGTATTAGACATTACAATATTTAAACTGATTAATCAAAAGAGTAATCAGTAGATTCATTGATCATTGAAATACGTGTTATTCAAAATATCCCCTCCCTTTCTATGTACAGTTGTTTGAGACTGATTCCTAGAAAGAAGAGGCGTTGTCATCGCTTCTGGATTTACCTGATTTGGTTGAGAACGTCAGAGACACCATTCAACATGCAATACAGTTAAATGATTGATTTAAGAATGGCAACAAGTGACTCCCGTCTGCGACATTTGAGGGTAGAGACAACACCCAAGGGACAAGCCAAACAAACATTAATTCATCACAGACACGTACTCGTCATGAAGTTACATCTGAAGAACTTTCTTACCTTTTTAGGGGTATATCTCGGCCCACTGTCCATGTACTCCATCCGAGACCACAGAAGCAACAGCGAAACCCGGGCACCTGATTTGTCTGTGCTGTTCTGTGACGCTGAAGCAGACAAAACAAACGTGTAGGGGGTAGATGCACCTAGCAAGAAAATAACTCGATGTAAAAATCCACGATCTCGGCGTGCTATGTCCCTAGAACTGTTTCCAGCGGTCTTCTCTTCCCAATATGTCGCGCTGCTCAGGGGAGAGGGCTTTTCCGGGTACCTGCAGTTTCCATGGGCGTGTCTCTGGGCTCCGCCTCGCGCACCTGAACCCACTTCCTGTTTACGAAAGATGTGAGAGAGACGCTTCAAAATAATGAATGAGGAGAATTATTGAGTTATCGAATTTAAAAAGGGAAAATGATCTGTGTAACTATTACCAACATAATTTAGAGACATCAGGCTGTTTTTAAAACGTATTTAATATTTTTGAACAATATTAGAAAGATGGATTAAACAAAACAAAAAAAAGTTCAGAATCAATTTATAGACAGAAAGTTACTTTTTGAATTGTTCTGTGAAACCAAACACATCTGTTTCACGTTCTATTCTATTATTATTGTTTATTATATTCTCATATACTTTATCCATAAGCAGCACATGCCTTGCCCTCCCATTTGTGTCTGCTTATTGAATATAGAATGTATTTTGAAATCTCTAAGATGCACAAAGACAAAGATTTGAATGATATCACTATCATTTTAACTGATTTAGAAGAAACAGACACATCTGATCCAGATCCTGATTCCAAATCACTTGTGAGGAAAGTAATTTATTGAATGTACTTTTATATATTTTTTAAAATGGATAAATATAGAATCCCTACCTTTTCTGTAGCAGGCGGTTATTGTAATAGCAGGTTAGTTATAATATACTATAAATAGGTCAACTATAGTATCAGTCACGTGTGTTTTATGGGGGCAGTAGAAATGATGACTCATCATGATTCATTCTGAGATTTTAGCATCAGAGTAAACAACACATGTCAGAAATCCCCCAAATCTGTCTTAATTTCAAGGGGATGGGGAGCTGTATGGTAGTTAGACTTGCTTTTATGTGTGATAGTCAGAGTAAGGAACAGTGTGGAAATACCTTGCGCATATATTATGGGCGAAAGAACACTCAATACCTGCCATGTATTTGTTTCATGGTTTAACAGCTTTATATAGAATAAAAAAAATCTATATATAAAACAATTGTAAAAGGATTGAAACAACTTTGCGGTATGCATAAATTGCAGTTTTTCTGTTGTTAAATTATAATCTTGGGTAATTTATATCGGTTTATAATACTCACAAAATAGGGTTCTGCATACGCATTTTTGGCACAAGTACTTAGTAACCTCTTCAGACCATAACGAACTGTAGCAAACCCAAACAATTTTAACCGCGTATGAATTGACACCTCTCCTTGTGTCTATTTTTCAAACATTTATATCAAATCTTCTGTGAACAATTATTTTGTATTGCTTTATAATGGATCGTTCAGTAGACTTAGCAACAGAGAGACACCACACACATATATGGAAGTTGTGAGTTTATTGATGTGTATCCCCCTTGTATTTATAAATCAATTTCCATGGGTGACAATCAATATTTTAAAATCAGTATGTATATTATATTAGTTCTGTTCCCACAATCAAGCAGGCAGTTACAAGATCAAAGCTGTTTGGGTGCATAGTGAGACAGTCACATACAGAGATACTGTCACAGGAAGAGAAACAAATAGAAAACAAGAAAAAAAACTTAAAAATATATAGAATTTCATATAAGAACAATGCACATCACAGAAAGTCTTCTGGAAAAGCCATGATTGCAACATCAACTATACAAGCATACAAAGACAATACTAAGAGTTAGAGAGGGTCATTGGGTGGACATTATTTGTGTCATTCTCCATCTGAAAAATACACAAGCTTTTTATTCAGAAACCAGCTCTTCAAGCCCCTCTGTTTTGTGTGTCTGTCTGCAAAGCCCTCCAGACAACTCCGGACCTCTTCACGAACCTAAACCGAACCAAACCTGACGACACATTTGACTGGGAACCAACCCGGTCTAGTTATGCAACAAAGGAACATCACAGAGCTTTGGGCTTCAGAACCAGCAAAGCCAACAATACAAATTTGCAAGTATATTAGTCAGACACTTTTTACAGCAGGACATGGGAATTTTTCTTTACACCCTTTCATGGTACATTCTAGGCACATTCTAAGCATTACTTCATATGTAGTCATTCTTCTGATAAAAAGGTGTCAAAATATGTAACTGGGGTAGCATAACATTCATTTAGTTGGTTCAAAGTGTCACACGTTTTGAGCCAGAAGCCTGTGCACACCTTCTGCCGTCAAAAGCGTGCCTGCAATTGTCACTCAAGCCATTTAACCAACTCACAACCTCTTTCCCGGAATAGGGTGGATTAAAAACATCTACTCTTATATATATTTATACTGTATATTTCTTATTTCATCATAAACAAACGAAAAATAATCATCTCAGTTTAGCTTTTTTTGATGTTAAGCTATACAGTAAAGTTGGTACAGAGACCATTCCTATACAAGCAGTCTATTGATAGTAAAAACCATAAAACCATCAAAAACTGAGTATGGATCGGTGGAGCAATTGGGTTTTCTGTCAATTATTATGATTTAGAACAAGTATATTTTCTTCTTCATTTACTTGTTAACGTTTGAACAAAACCTCTGAATAAATGTTTTACATCCTGGTTATTACAGTATATTTGCAGAATCACATTTTTCCCGTTTAAAAATACATAATCAAAACAAGCTCTATAATACAATAGTAGCAGTAGTAGAAGTAGTAGCATCATTTAAGGATTGTTTTGAAACCAGAAAATGGAGTTTGGATATAAGCAAACTGTTTTAACATTAGCATTATGTTCTTGGTCAGTAGTACGTATGTGTGCCCCCGCTGATGCAGCTGCAGTGCCTCCTAGCGGCCTCTGTTAGATCTGCATTTGCTCCAGGTATTTGTAGGTGGGGTTTTCATAGCCATGGTTCTGCATCTTGTTGAGGTGGCGTTCCTCGGGTGTCAGCATTGGGTCAACCTAAAACAAATAGAAGGGTAAAAAAAAACAAAAACAAGATGAACTATGATGATCATCCCAAAATGAATCATATCAAACTTTCCTATTCAAAGTAACTCACCTCTACAATGCCATGGCTGATGGTGCCATATTGCCTCTTCCTCAAAAGCACCAGGCTGATTACAATCACAGTTGCTATAGCCACAGCTATCACCGACAGGCCAATAAAGGCACTGCTCCCAAAGCTGAAATCTTCTCCCAGGGGCCGGTAGGGCTCCTGATAATGAGACAGGAGACCAATTTAGATTATGACTGCACCACGATGACCATCCCATCTAACTAGAATATAGTAGTTGTAGTCCACAAAGCAATTATTTTAGACTAGCTATGACTGGTGGAATATTGTTGGATTCATTATATTTTATAAACTGACTAGGGATGGGAACGCCTTACCAAATGCATGCAATAAATGTGTCATAGTGGAGGCTTGTGTAAGACTTAACAAACTTTTACACCAAACCACATTCACTGCACCCATCTCCACAAAGTAATTCATGACATATGATTCAATCTGATCATATGAGTAATATCCCACTTATTTTCACACATGAACTGAGTTTATCCAGTATGTGTGGATTCACGCCCACTTCCACTGTTGCATTCAGATACATTGACATTTCACATGCACTCATGCAGAAATAAGCAAAACGTACAGAAATCTTTAAAACAGGAGTACTGGTGCTTAAGTATCAGTAATGCAGATTCCAACTGCATGGTAGAATTCCCCGCTTATTTCTTAATGTATAATTACAGTTCTCCAGAGAGGTCAGCAGAGGGCGCCGCTGTACTCACCATCAGCTCATCACCATGCATAACGCTGACTCTCTCTGCACTGTAAAGCACTTCTTTAACATCCAGAGACTCATCAATCACCTGTCAACACAGACAGGGAGTCCAGGTTACACCTACTGCAACATGTACAATTGAGTGCATCAGAGGCAAAGAAGTGAGCCGCAAAACAGAGCCATATCAGTGTGCAAGCTAACACCCAAACTGTCAGGATGGTACATTTGGAGCCGTCTAGTACAATGTAGAAGACGAGAGGGAAGGGATTACAGGGATCCATAG